CTTTGATGAAAATTCTTTGACTAGTGAAATGTGAGTGAAATATTGAATGTTTGAATAAATTATCTTTAAAAAAAAAAAAATGAAGACGGTAAACAAATTAATGCAAAAAAATCGGAAGCATAAATTCAACGACCTTGTTAATTAACATAAGGCAATGAACTTTAAGACCTTCTTTATTTAATGGCATTTAAAAAAAAACATAAATTATTAACGAAAATCAAAAATAGCGACAACAAATTTGTATTTCATATAAATATATAATCTAAAAAAGAAATATTTATTTAAAATTAATTTACAAGCAAATTTATTGAAATTTAATTAAATTAAATTAATTTCAATTTTTAATATGCAGTAGCAGAAAATTTTTATATTTAATTTCACAAAAATATGCTTTTCGAAACGTTTAAATGACCGAAAAAATTTGTTTACTGTTTTTTTTTTTTGTATTTACCGTAATTTAATATTTATATATTCTTTTTACATTTTCTAACAAAATATTGTTTATTTATAAGAAAAAATTGTTTTTATCTAAAGACGAGATTTTACTATAACATTTTGTTAATTTTGACTAATTAAGAGCCCGTTTTCACCGTGTGGATAAATATTTTAATCTTCCGAGAGGTTAAAGGCATTTTTGCGTCTGCGCAGAATATTTGTAGCTTCTACGCAGACTCAGAACTTAATCTCTTGGAAGATTAAATTTATCCGCACGGTGAAAACGGGCTCTTAGATTTAGAGAGTATTAAACTTACAAATTACTGTTATAGGTCAGGCACAATTTTTAAGGTTAGATTAAGCATAACATCTAAATTTTTTTTAAATGTTTTAATATTATTTAATGTAAAATGTTATTTTATCGAAAACCTAATTAGTCCAGTCAAATTAGTTGAAAAACAAGGCATATCATGTTTTAACTCAGGACCTCAATTTTTTTTTTGCTTAAATTCTTCATTTTTGGGGTAAAAATAAAGTACTTAAATTTGGTACTTCGAACTCCTACTGGAAGACTGTATCTCTTCACCCCCCCCCCAAAAAAAAATGACATAAATTTTGAGGTTATGTTCGTTTCAAAACTGAATAGGATCTAAAGTCCTACCCTCTCTCCGTATTTCCCGCCAAAAGTAACCTAAATTTTGAGGTTATATTGTTTTTAAGACTCTGAATATAGCCGCAAGTCCACCCCTCTCCTCTCCCCCGCCAAAAATGATCTAAATTTTGAGGTTATGTTTGTTTCAAGACTCTGAATAGAGCCACAAGTCCTTCCCCCTTCCATCATCTCTCTCCGTATTTCCCGCCAAAAATGACCTAAATATTGAGGTTATGTTCCTTTCAAGACTTTGAATATAGCGCAAATCCCCCCTCTCCCCATTCCTTACCTTCCCCATCGCCAAAAATAACCTAAATTTTGAGGTTATGTTCTTTTAAAGACTTTCAATATAGCCGCAAGTAAAGGTGGATTTCCCGCCAAAAATTACCTGAATTTAAAGGTTATGTTCGTTTCAAGACTGTGAATATAGTCGCAAGCCCCCCCCCTTCCTTATGTTGAAGGGGAGGTGGAGTTTTTTCCAAAATTGAACTAAATTTTAAGGTTATGTTATTTTGGCGGAAAACGACCAAGAAACAAACATAACCTCAAAATTTGGCGCAAAAAAACTAAGAAACAAACATAACCTCAAAATTTAGGTCCAACTTTGAAGGAAAATGACCAAAAAACGAACATAACCTTAAATGTAGGTCAAATTTTAGCAGGAAAATTTAAAAAATTAGATAAATTTTGTTTTAAAAATTAAAAATAATAGAAATTATTATTAATAAAAATCCTAAATAAAATTTAAAAAAATAAATCGTAAAATATTAATAATACAAGTTTTAAATTCCAGAAATTGGCCAAACATTAACTTAAAATAGGTCATGAGGCCATCTACAAAAAAAAATTAAAACCGGGGGGTTGGCGCGCGAAACGCGCAGGGGAACAAAGCCCCCCTAGTGTATATATATATATATGTATATATATATTGTCTGTTTGAGAAAGGGGCTCAAGACATGCTGCATCGTGAGATAGTCAAAGTTGAAGACAAAAGATGCGCATATAAGGATCAGGGATGCAAATCGGAGAATAGCTGATTACTAAGGAACCGGCTGGAACAAGACGAAGTAAGTTATTACGTGCACATACAAAGCTTTCTCTCTCTCTCTCTCTCTTGCTCTCGAGAATTTGGCGCTGAGTTTATATAGACACGAAGGGGGGGGGGGGTATTATATACACGTTTTCGGATGAGATGAACGATGGACGGAAGCGAGAAAGCCTAGCTTCAAAAGCAAATTAGATCTTGTAGACGCCGTCACGATCAGATCGGATCTCTCCCCGGAACATGGGACAAAAGCTCTAAATTGAATTTTGAAATTGAATTCCACTCAATTGCAATCTAATTCTTTCGTCTACTTACAAAAAAAAAAAAAAATGGCACACTCTTTTCCTCCCCCTCTCACCACCTTTTTTCCTTTTTCTCGAAATTTTCGAAAATCGAAGGTTAATTTTCATTTTATTATTACTTCAAGGAGATAATATAATGCGTGTTTTTTTTAATAAAGTCTAATTTTAGCAATTTGTAAAAAAATATAAAAGATTTCCAACATAAAAGTGGCGTAGAGTAGGGGTTAGCGCTCTGGACTGTCAGCCATAATTAACGCGTTCGAATCTCGACGAGGTAATTTTTGTTTTTTATTGTTCATTAAATATTTTTTATACTATATTATTCTACCATCAATTTTTGTATATATTATATTACTATATATTACTTTACTATATATAATAATTATTTCATATATTATATATTACATATTATATATTTTGAGTTTAATTATTATTATTATTATTATTAAAAATAACTCCAATAATAAATTCTCTTTGTTTAATAACTGAAATAATAAATTTCATTGCTTTTTTGTTTTTTCACAATTAGTTAAACTTGTACTTCAGTATTAATTAAAAGTTATATTTGAAAATGTGTTATTAAAAATTTTTTAATTACCAGATCCTTTGATCAAGTTAACAAAACTGTGGGAATTTAATTTTTGAATATTTAACGGTTCATTGATAATTAACAATTTATAAATATTTCAAAATCAATTTTTATCATTTTTTTTCTCTCTCACTTTTTATTAGAGCGTAAAACATATTAATTTTAAAATTAATTTATTTTACGATAGACTGTTATTTTAAAAGGTACCTATTTGCAAAAATACTACTTTACCACAAAAACTATATTTTCTAAAAAAAAAAAGTGTATAAAATCCTTGAAGGATGATGTAAAAATGATATTTTTTCATAAAGTAAATTTACTTTTCTTTTAAAAAAATATTTAGAAAAATATTAATAAATATAATAAAGAGAATTAATAAAATTAATAATTATTATAATTTAATTAATATAAATATTAAGAAAATAAAATATATTGCAATTTTTTTTTTTATTACATACTTAACATCATAAAACGTATATTTTATTGTTATGTATACTATATATTTATATAATATTATATTATTCATGTAAAAATAAATTTTATACACCTACAATGTTGTTTATAAATACACCTGAACTGTATGTAAAAAAATATTCTTTTTTTTTTTTAGAAAATGTTCTACTTTCCATGTAATTAAAATATAAAAAGCACTTCTTTATTGAAAATTGCAAATTACAGGTATTTTAATTTTAAAACTCTTTATTTTTAAAATTGTTTTATAAATTTTAAAAGTTGTAATTTTGTTAAAGAAAAAAAAACACGTTTTTTAATTAAACTGAATCTAGAAGTAATATAGTAATTAAAAGCATCTGGCGAAATTAAAAACATAAACAACTTTCTAAAAAGAACAACAAAGAATCTATAAAGACAAGAATATTTCTTATCTTTATACCTGCGCGGATAAAAATAATTAATCGTTAACTCAATTTTTTTTATAAAAGTTTCAATTTTGTAATTACTTTCAAACAAAGGGCCATAACTTATCTCGTTGTGTAATTATTGATTTTGATTTTTGTTAATTACGTAAAAATAATTTTAATTAAGATTTATACTTATTTCAAAATATAAAATAGCATTGAAAATAAAACGTTTCCTTAAGTTTTAAATATTTATTCCCATGTAAATGAAACTTTAATATTTATATAAAAATTTAATAATATCTAAAAAATGAATTTAATTAATATTAACTTTTTTTTTTAATTATTTATATAACAATTAATATAGGTAGATATTTAATTTAAATTTAATAAATTAATTTTTATTTAAAATTTTGAGATGAAAATAAAATCTGCAATTTGGGTTCAAAATTTTATTGGAATGGGATTTTGTTTTGATACCGTACAAACAAAAGAAAAACCCGTTTGTTCACCTTTTCTGACGTTCTCTGATTGTGAACACGTATTGGTTGTAAACAGAAAGCACGCATCTAACGCGTGCACATCAGGGTCTGGTTATAAATAGAAGGTGGTCCCCTAAAGCTATACATTATAAAGAGAGAGAAAAAAAAATAATAATATTGACTCCACCACGTGAAATTATCAACAGGATTGTTTCAAGGTTAAATTAATTTCTCTCCACATTTAACACTTTTTTTTCAAAAGCAAGAAAAAAAAACAATTTTCCAATTACCAGTGGAGTAATTAAAACAATAAATCATTTTAATAAATTTTCCCCCGTTCAGAAAATTTGCATAAAAATACACTTTGATATCAAAAAGAAATGAAAAACTATTGAATTAAAAAATAACAATTGCTATTAATATATATTATTTTATTTTAAATAATTTATAATTAAAACCAAATAAAAAGGAAATCAACAACTTCCTTGATAAGGAATTCATTCAACCATGACACAAACAAATCTAAATGTCATTCTCTCTCTCTATATATATATATAATAAGGAATCGATTATCTTTAGATAAACTAACCTAAAAAATGTTTATCAAAAATTTAAAAATATAATTAAATGTCACTGACCTTTTCAAGACACTCCTGACCAATTGCCCTGGGGTCTACCTGAACCTCGAGGATCACCGAGTTCGCCTGGCTAATGAGACACCACATTTTTTTTTTGTTTTGTTTTGCCTTCTTTTGTTGCGAATTTTAACTTGTCAACTTGTAACCTAAACCTCTTTTGATTCGTTGGAAATACGTCGATAAGCCCTCAAGCATGTATAATTAGGAAAAAAAAACTAAACCAAAACACACGTCACAACACGGTCTCGCGCTTTTTCGACTAGACTCTGTTCTCCGGAATCGCGGCTGATGGTCGGCGACCGGCTTTACCTACTGACGTGCTTCTTGTCATAACAAATTAATGAAACAATTGATCAGTTAAATTAAATGTCACTTCGCGAAATCCCACAACTTCCTTTTCGTAAAACGACAAAGACAATGACAACAATCGCGAACTAGGGCTCGTACAGACCAAACGTGTCGTGTCGACTTCCATTTCTCGGTGCGGAATGACACGAACTGCTACTTCTCCTCCGTTATGAGAATTAGTTCGCCAAATTGAATAACCTTTCTTTCCCTATATCAAATGGCGCTAGTGTCCCTAACCTCTACTCCCTCTCTTTATGTGTTTAATACATATACATATGTGTATATACTATAAACAGATACTACCTTTCAAATGTGTTTCACATGAAGAATAGACTACTTTTCATGTGTGTTGGAATGAAAATACTATGTAACTCAGCTGATTTGAATTATATTGTTGCCGCCATGTTGTGTTTTCTGCTGTCATTTGATCAACAGCGAATCAGAGACGACAATAACGTTCAAACCAATCAGAGTGCTTGTTATAAATCACGAGCAATGGCGGGTAATTGCTTTCAAATTTGAATTTTGTTCTTTAATAAAAGGAGGAAGATATATTGTTAAAGTAGATTTAAATAAATAATGATTTTTTCATCTTAATTTTTCGTTTTTCTTTTAAAACATTGTATTAGATTGAAAATCAATTTTAATAATTGTTATACTGTGAAGGAAAAAATTGGTTGGCACCATTGATTACGATTCTGAAATCTCAGTTAAAAATTTCAAAATCAGATTAATTATTTTTGAATTATTTTCAATCGATGATTACGAAAATGAAGTGATTTATTTAAAATACGTAAAATAATATTGGAGGAAAAAATTATTATTATTAAAATAATATGTCGGAGTAGTTTTATAAAAATTGGTAAATGAAAAAAAATCAGTTTTTATGAATTTGATGTCTTTTAAAAAATCCAATATGGCGAAATAAATATGGTAGATATTTTAAATTATCAAATTTTCAAAACAGTAAACATTACTTTGTTTCTGGACATTTTTCGATTATTTTTACATAATTTTATTATTTTTGCCATAAATTTCTAATTAAAAGACAAATTTTGAAAATAAAAAGATAAATTAGAATTAAAAAAAGGAAATTCAATTTTATACTACAATAATAGAATTTAAAAGTGAAAAAATATGTTTCGAAAAACTAAAAAATAAAATTATGTTTCGATTGTTTAAATATCGAATTAAAATTGATAAAAATATTTTACGTTCGTAGTAGTTTTATAAAAAAAAAAAAATTCTAAATGTAAATAAAGTAAATAATTTGCGTAAAAAAAACTTCAAATAATTTCAAAAATTTAATATGTAATTTTTGTGTAAAAATTCGTAATTTCGTAAACCTTTGTTTTTTTTAGAATATAAAAATAAAAAAATGGTCAATCGAATATCGAAAAAAAAAAAAAAATTTTTATTCTCCAGTATTTTCGGAGTCGAATTAGAAGACAATTTTCAAAAATTAAAAAATATAGAATAAAAATAAGTTTATCAATTGTGTTTTGTTTTTTTTAAACACAAAGAAACAATGAATTTTTCGATCTTTTTTTCGGTTTTATTTTGAACACTAATACTGTACACAGATTCAATCCTCGGAATTACAGCAGATACACACATGAGAGAGTTACGGGCTTATCACATAACAAAGAATTGAATGATTATAAAATAATAAAAAAGGTACATCGTCGCGAGGTTCACAAAATTGGGAGCTGCGTGAACCCCGAAAGGCTGTACACTTTAAAAAGAAAAAAAAAAAAGAATAATTAAAAATTTGTCCTCGATGTTAAATGATGATACAATAATAATACGGGAAACAACACCTAATACATTACATTTATTATTTAATATACGATTATTATTATATATGTATATATACTAAAAACCACCACCATAAAATTATATAGATTTTTTTTTTCATTTCTAGCATAATATATACTCTTAAGCCAACTAAGAGGCAGTTTTTCTCGACAACGAACAGTGCATCAACATTATTCACTGTGTATTTTTTTTATATATATATATATATTTATTTATATAACAATTATATGTCATTTAACGTCTAAAGCAAATTCTCTAACTTTTCAATGCGATTTTATTTATTTTTTTCTTTAGTAAGCTTTGAAAACTCGAACAGGATAAGATACTTATTGTCCTGGAGAAAAAAAAATGAAACTATGGAATAATTAATAGCCACTGCAAACAATGGAAATAAATCCCCTAATAGTTTGGAGTAACGCGATAAAAACTAATTTTTGTTAATTTGCTGATATAACACTCTTAAACTTTTTTAACATCCTTTTTTATTTTGTTTGTTGTTTTTTTTTGTACGATGAGAGATAAGTCTAGAGATATGATAATTCAGGGGGTATTAATATATTTAATGTACATTTATATTGTACTGAATATAGATTTTTTTTTATATTTATATATAATTTTTTTGTTTGTTTTTTAAATTTATGTATATTTTTGGGGGTATGTATTCTTAGGCCTTGTGTGCTTAAGCTTCAATGCGATAATTCTTGTGCAACTCGGGCTTGATATCGTAAACCAATCCCAAGATTTCCATCATTACCTGAAGAAATAATTTAATTTTTTTTTTTTTTAATTAATAATTCGTAAAAAAATATAATTTACATTATTTGCTTTTATTTCTAAATAATTGTTTTTTTTATTTAGTAACAAATTCTACAGTATTTATTAATTTTTAAAGTAAAAATATTGTACTAATTTATACTTTAATTGTACTATATATTTTATAATAAAATTAATAAACTTAATGAATAAAAGCAATGAAAAATTTATTTACTTTAGAATTTTGTTTTTAATAAAAATTAAGATTCAATTAAAATAAATAATAAAATTAATATAAAAAAAATAATGATTAAATTTTTTAGATTTTATACTATAAATTAGATTTTTAATAATTTTTTTTTTTTTTCGATACTTACTGCAGGCTTGTGTACAGATATTTTTGTATTCATCTCCTCGATCTTCATCATTGTATCTGCATCAATCCGAGCAGCAACATCCTCTTTGGAGCCCATGTGCTAATAAAAAATTAATTTTTTAATTAATTAATAAAAATTATTTTAATTCAATATAATATTTTTAAAATACCCATTAGGGAAAATTAATTTTTTCTTACATCTAGCCTTTGAGTATAATTATATTGTATTGTTAGTGAAATCTTTTTTTTTTTATCTATACTTTGAGAAGAATTTCCAAACTAATTAGGATTAAGTAATTAAAATTCTAGAATATTTTAACGTATTTTTAATCATTAAATAGAAATTTTTGTTGAAAAAATTCCTTAATAATTAATTAAATTATCATTAAAGTGGCAAAATTATTGAAATTAAAAACAAAAAATTTGCAAGTTAAAAAATTGCAAAATCTTTAAATTACAAAAATTTATTATAAAATAATGAAAATTAAAAAAATTATTATTATTATAAGTGCGATTCCAAGTGAGATTTTGACTTTTTCGGAGTAGGTTAACCGATTGCAATGAAACTTTGGAATTTTGTTATATATAGTAAGACTAATCTTTAACGTAAATTTCAGCCTAAAATATTTGTTAGTTTACGAGATTTGCAATAATAACAAAAAATTTAAAACTGCTATATCTTCCGTTCTAATAAACGGATTGAGGTCTACTTTTTTTTAAAATGTCAAGGAAAATGAGAGCAATAAATCTCTTTCAGAACATTTTTTTATAATTTTACAACTAAAAAAATTATTAAATAATAATTGAATAACTTTCGCGCGACTAACTAAAATTCAATCACTTAAACGCTAAAATGATCTTACCTGTGTTTTCTTTAATGTTCCAAAGGATTTTTATTGTAAATGTAAGTTTAACTTAAGAAATTTTATTAATTTATTAGTATAAACAATTGAGATTTCTGCTAGTTGACGTGCAGACGACATTGCGCACGCAGCATTCTCACATAGCCAACTGACGTGATTCGTGGACTAAATTGGCTATGTGAGAATGCTGCGTGCGCAATGTCGTCTGCACGTCAACTAGCAGAAATCTCAATTGTTTATACTAATAAATTAATAAAATTTCTTAAGTTAAACTTACATTTACAATAAAAATCCTTTGGAACATTAAAGAAAACACAGGTAAGATCATTTTAGCGTTTAAGTGATTGAATTTTAGTTAGTCGCGCGAAAGTTATTCAATTATTATTTAATAATTTTTTTAGTTGTAAAATTATAAAAAAATGTTCTGAAAGAGATTTATTCCTCTCATTTTCCTTGACATTTTAAAAAAAAGTAGACCTCAATCCGTTTATTAGAACGGAAGATATAGCAGTTTTAAATTTTTTGTTATTATTGCAAATCTCGTAAACTAACAAATATTTTAGGCTGAAATTTACGTTAAAGATTAGTCTTACTATATATAACAAAATTCCAAAGTTTCATTGCAATCGGTTAACCTACTCCGAAAAAGTCAAAATCTCACTTGGAATCGCACATAAAAATAATAAAATTTCGAAGAAGAAAAACTAAAAATAGTATAATTTTTTTAAAAAAATTTAAGTATCTGAATTTAATAAATTAATAATAATAAATATAATATTAAATTAATAATAATTACTTTGGCCTCAAATTCACGGAATTGCTTTTCTCGTTCTTCTCTATATTTTTCAATCTCATCATGAGCCTCCTTTTTAGCTTGTTTTAGACGTTGGGCCTTGCCTGGAAAAAACAAATAATTGTTATGTAAAAATTAATATTCCTTTTATCTTACAATACAAATTATCATAAAATGAGGTATATTCTGTAAATTACTTCATAATACGATAATAACAATTGCAACGCCTTTCTTATCAAAAAAACAATTTTTAAAATATTACTTATTTAAAAATAATTTATAAAGTATTTAATTATAAATTATTTAATTATTATTATTTTTATTATTATTATTATTTAATTAATTAATATAAAAATTTATTTTAGATAGAAAAACTTTTAAATGAAAATTAAAAACCGTATTTTATATATGGGGAAAAGTTAATTATTTAATAACATAAAGAAAACTACAAAAGTTCTTTATTAATAAAAAAAAAAGAAAATTAAAAAAAATATTTCCAAAATACATTGAAAAAATAATTATCGTACTATTTTTTACCATTCGGTAAAGATTAAAAATGCCCGTTCTTTTTTTTTTTTAAACAAATTGTATAGAAAAAGAATAAAAAAATTTTGACCCACCCTGATAAAACAAAAAAGTAACTTCAAAAAAATTGCGCACGTGGTGTCACGAGATTTACGCTCTATTCACGTAACATCACCATAGGCGTAAAAAAAAAAAGATCAATAAAATTTACAATGTAGGTTTCTGAATAATCAATGGAGTGAGATATATTTTCAGGAAAAAGCACACACAAATTTTAGTAACAGGGTCAACTACATTTCGGAACAGAAAGCTTCGAGTATTATTATATATATATATATATATATATATACATACACACACATTAACAGACACATATACAATAGTTCAATTGGAAATAAGGTTGTACAAATATGACTTAAGATTTTATGAACTAAGTAACTTTTGCATGGCAAAGAAAAACAAAAAAGAACAACTTACGTTTACGAGCCTCGGAAACTTTTTCGGCAGCTCGTTTTTCAGCAGCTAAAAGCTGTTGAATTCCTTGTGTTTGACTGGCCATCTTGAGCGATGAGCCACAACGTATAGCAATGAAAAATTTTACAATAATCCAATCGTTTAAAGCAGCAGCAAACAACAAGCAGAAAAATCCACACCACACACAAAACTGCCAGGAATCCAGAATCACTAATCGATCATATGACTTTGTGTGTTTCCACTGTTCCCCTTTATTCTTATCGTGGCGCTACAATCGACCACGTGGTCTCACGTGAGCGCCACTGCCTTCGTTTGAATTTTCCCGCCTTCTTTTTAACTCGTTTAAAAAAGAAAAAAAAAACATTATTTACTATTTTCTTTTTTTATTCTCCTGGTTCGTTGGTGTTTTTTTTTTACTCTGTTATTTAATTTTTATTATATTATGTCAAGTATACTTTATACCAAAGGGCTTTAAGACCGTAAATAAATAAATATTTCTCCGCAACTATAATTATAATAAAAATAAATATTTAAAAAAACATCACATATTTTAAAAAATTTCCATTCTTTTAATAATAAATTTTTGAATTTTTAGAGAAATTTAAATCTTATTATTTATAATTATTAGAGAAAAATTAGTTTTCGAATAAAAATATTTATATTATTAATTACAAGTACTTATAATTATAAAAATATTAAGAATTTACTTTCTTTTAAATAATAAATTTTCAATTTTTGGAGAAATAGAAATTTATTATCTATAAACTATTGGAGAAAAATTAATTTTCAAAAAGAAAACATTTATTATTAACGACAAGTACTTATAATTTAATTATAATTCTTTATTCTTATTATTTTTATTATTAATATTTTTATTTTTTATTATTTTTTATTATTATTATTATTATTATTATTATTATTTCTTTCATAAAATAAATTTTATTTATAAAAAATATTGCTAATTTAACAATGAAATATTTTTAAATGCTAATATAAAAAATAAAAAATTCAATGACAATTAAACAATAGGTAAATAATTTAATTAAAATTGGTCAATTACGATAGTTTTACAATTATTGATTGAACCTTTATTTCTAAAGGGATGAAATTTATAAATAGAATTGAAAAGTATTGATTCGTGAGCACGAAGGCTTATACAAAGTGATTTAATTTGATTAAGAATTTTTATGCCAATTTAATGTCTTTTGAAGAATTTTATAAATATTTTTTTTTTTTTGTCAAAATTTTCAGTATTATACAAAAATTGCTAAAGAAAAAAATTTGCAAAATCGTGAAAAATTTATCAGATCATAATAGAAAAAGGAGAAAAAAAATTTTCGTTTAATAATATTAATTATTATTAAATAATAATGTAAAAATACATTGAAAACTATTTATCATTAAAAATTAAATTAAATTTGATTAAAAAATGAATAAAAGTTTTTTTAAATTTAAAAACTGATGGCAAAAAAAAAAATTATTAAATTATTAAAAATTATTAAAAATAGAAAATAAAATCTTTAATTCAATATTTATTTACTCGATTTATTCTAAATATTCAAATATCAAATATTTGATAAAGTACAAAAAAAAAAAACAAAAAAAAAAAAACTATTTTCATTATCTCACACTAAACGATTTCCCTGAATATTTACTCTGTTATTCAACATTATTTTCTCTTGTCGTTTCTTTTCATCTTTAAATGCTTCTGTATTTGCTTTACGTTCAATTCGTCGTTCTCTTCGATAATTCTTTAGAGATTTCTTTCTCTCTTTTCTCTCCTCTGGTGTCTCATCTTTTGGTCTTACACTCAATTCACTGACAATTGATTTCATTGTTTCAGCAATAGATTTCGTTCCCTGATGTATTATTGTATCGTGTTCATTATTTATACGATCGAATTGCGCTAAACTTTTTGCTGTTAATTTACCCGTTGGACCATCCAATACATTTTTGGGTATTCCTGTTTTTGTATTAATTTTTATTTTTCCCAAACCACGTGGTTCGGCAATTAATTTTGGATGATTATAAATATTACTGTATGTACTCAAAACACTTTCACAATCCCATTTATCATTTTCAGAATTATTTACAGTAAGTTTCATGAGATCAGTTGTTTCGTCTTCGGAATTTGAATTTTTATCATCATTTATTTTCATACGTTCCTTAATTAATTTCGATATATCTTTAGATTCATTTTCCTGAAATTCAAATTAATTATTAAATCATTTAATTTTAGAGATTTCGAATTTTTTAATGGAAAAATATTTTCAAATATTAAATATTAATTAAAATTAATAAAATATTATTTTCATATATTCAAAATAATTTCAAAACTAAATGTAAAATAAAAGATTATAAAAAATTAAGAAACTTACAAGTTGTTTTTGATCGTTTTTAAATTTTTCCACGTGTCTTAAAAGCACATCCATATCTGGTTCGCATGAACCATCGATTTCTTCGCCTTCCAATGCGCCAATTTCACTATCATCGTACTCAGCATACATCTTAAATAAATAATCAAAATTTTTAGAAAATATTTAAAAGTATATTTGAAAATTTGTTAATTATTTAAATATAAAAAAATTCGAATTCAAAAAGAAGATAATTTCATATAAAATTTATAAACAATTATTTGTATAATTACTTTAGTAATTAATTTAATTAAATAATTCAAATATAATAATAGTATTATAATTTTTTTTTTAATATTTATTTGATAATAAACATTCTTAATTTCTATATTAATTTCAATTTAAAAATAGAGGAAAATTTTTTTGTATCAGTAATTTTTTTTTTTTTTTTTGTATTAATACAAACCTTTTCAAATCGATCATCAAGTAATGTAAGTTGATTATTTCGTCGGATAACACTGCTGCTCATTGAATATTCAGTGAAACGAGATTTTGTCTCTTCATCTTTAAATGTAAATTGTCTACCATTTAGACTTCCAAGTTCATCTCCTTCTTCATCGGAAATCTCCATGTGACCGCATGAATCATTATCTGATTCCTCATCGTAATCGTCCTCATCGTCTTCATCATATTCACCATCTTAGAAGAAAAAATTAAAATAAAAAATGTTGAATTTTATCATAAATTATATTTTCTACCAGAGCTGATGAAAATCATTATTTTTTTTTAAATTCAATTCTTTTTCATTTAAATTTGATTATTTTTCCTTTTATATTACGAATTATAAAACCAATTTGTAATTATTATGATTAAAAGAATAAAAATTTTTACCTTCCTCGGGTATTTCACCCTCTTTCAAAACACCACCAGCCAATGTTATAAAATCCTCCTCAAAATCACAATCAGAATCCTCGGGATCATCATGTTTATAATCATCTTCAAATGTAGCAACAATATCGGGATCTAAATCTAATTGAAGACCTTTTGGAATTGCACGATTAAGAAGACCAATTTTCTCTTCTTCGGCAGATTCAAACATTTTTGCTGGTAAATTAAATTTTGTTATTTCAACTTCTTTTTTTGTCTCATTACTATTTTCAATTTTTTCCCATTCCACTGATTGTTTATTACTACTACGTAAATGTTGCATATAATCATAATCATCGTCAAAATGAATTCCATATTTTTCCTGTTCCTCTTTACGTTTGTCATTATCTTTTTTTAAATGTTTTCCCGCTTGTGAATCAACAAGTGGCCTTAATATACGTAAAGGAGCATCATCATCGGCAATTAATGGATCTCTCTGCGATCTATGCACCAATTGAAATGTCACGGAATTTTTTTTATCAATAAATTTTTTTGATTTTCCCTTCGGCTGAAATAAATTAATTCTATTATATATATATAGTAATAATATTTTTTACTTCCCAAAACAATGTAATTTTGTTTTAATAAAGTAATTTAAATGTAATTTAAAAAAAATAATTCAAGTAAATTTTAAAAATTGGTTAAAATAAAAAAAAAATGTTATAATTTATTTTGATTTAGATTAATTTATAAAAAATGAACTTTTTGTAACGAAGCTGAAGTACGCAACGTTTATAATAAACGATTTTTAAAGAAATAATTTTTTAAAATGAAAAATTCTATAATTTTTCGCCTAAAAAATATTTCTTGTAGTTTTCAGTAATCAACAAATTATAAAAAAATATTTTTTAGGCAAAAAATTATAGAATTTTTCATTTTAAAAAATTATTTATTTAAAAATCCTTTATCATAAACGTTGCGTATTTCAGCTTCGTCTTTTTGTAAATAATTTTCATTTTTAAAAATTAAATATTTTTTTTTCTGCTTCGTGATTACGTGGTCACAAACTTTTTGAGAGTTATTTTATTTATTTATTTAACCCGAAATATGGCTGTCAATTTGGATTGTATATGAATAACGAAAACTTAATAAAAAGTATAAAAAATAACATAATTTGAATATCGTTTAATAATACAATAACACATGGATTAATTCATAATTTTAATTATCAATTGCATTGTTATTTTATTTTTTTTTTTATCAAAAAATTATGGAAAAAAACGTGTTTATAAAACTGAAACGTTTTTATACAACGAAAATAAATTATTTTTAATTTTTTGTTCTTAAAGTGTAATTTATTTGCTTAAAATTTGAATTTTAAAAGGAAATAATATACAATTTGTTATGTAAATTTTATAATTAAAAATTAAATTTCCAAACATAACATAACCTCTATAAATGAAAAAAACATATTTGTTTACTTACCATATTGTATGTCCTATAAATATAATTTCATATATTTCTTCACGAAATTAAAGAAAAATAATTGTATCCAACGAAGAAACTGTACAATATTGTTTCAATTTATTTATTTATTCACATTCTTTTATTAGCAATTACAAAATGAACACATGTGAGACAGTGGTTCTCATTTTTTTACATAATAAGAGCTACCAAACCCTGGCTCTCAAACTTAAAGCTCGTATCACATGATTGGACAAATATAATTAATAATTTACTATTTATTTAATTGTAAACTAAAAATAAAAAATATTATACAAAAAAAAATACTATTTAATAAAATAGAATTTTTTTCCTATTTATTTTTAATTTTTAATATTCAATTCATTTGACCGGAAATAAAGAACTGATGAAATAGAAATGGCGACTGAAGAATTATTTCCGGTTTCTTCTCTCTCTCTCTCTTGTACTTTTTGCACCGAGGATTACACCCTGCATGCCGGTTACTGTTTTATTTTGATTTTAATTAATAATTAAACGTTATAATAAACGAAAAATAGTGTTTCAAAATGATGAATGGACTAGTGAGAAGTGCCTTGAGAGTTACGGCTTTAAAAAATGTCATAACACCGGCAGTAAATATTACAAAAACCAATGTTCAAATTAATCGAATGCTTTGGAACATGTGCAATCGATTAGAGCATAATTCTTCAAGTTTAACCAAGGAAGCGAATAAAATTCACAGTGAATTATGTAATTGCGGTGGTTGTCGATCAGCACATACAAAAGGTATCAAATTTTATGATATTTAATTGAAATTTATATTTCGCGTTATGCAAAAAAAAACACAAAAAAAAAAACCCAGTGTATTCTCAATACCACGTGAGGTTAATTTTGTTATATTTGATTTTTATTTTATATTTTTTTGGCACTCACTTTAGACTGAAGTCTATTTCTAGTTTTATAATTATAATGAAATTGTTGCGATAATAGTTTCGAGTTTTTTTTTTAATTTGCAAGAAAAAAAATTTTAATCATTTTTTACTAATTATTTACCTCTATAAAACCGAATGAAATTCGCAAAAATGTTTTACTATTTTTCGGTTTAAAAATAAAATTATTATTATTATTTATTTGGCCTTTGTATAATAAAAAATAAATTTATCTTATCTTTTTATTATTGAACAATTAAATATTTGTTTTTTTCTCCCTTTTGAAATATCACCAAAGTGTTGAGTACAGTTGACAATACTTTATTTGTTAAACTGATAATTGATCTTTGGAAAAGTGAAAACATTGTTTTGAATAAGTGTACTTTATTTTTTTCTAAAGTATTTTTCAGCAATGTGACAAAATTTAGTTTTAATTTATTAAATTTTCAATTTGTTTTACAATTTTGTAATTTTTTTTTTATAATATTCATTTTACATTAATAAATTTTATTTTTATATTCGATAATTAATTTCGTTACAAATTTAATTAAATTTAATTTGAATTTAAATTAAATCAAATTTTTTAATTAAAAAGAACTGACGAAAAAAATATATAAATTTACTAATTTAATTTTCAATTTTATCAAATAAAAAATATTAATTAAGGTGAAATTGTAATTATATTATTAATTAATAAATAATTAAATAAACATATGTGTAACAATTTTTTTTTATAAATATTTTGTATACGTAATGTTTAATTTTCTTTTTTTGTAGCCGAAAAAGAATTAGTTGAATTTCTTGCCGAGGAAATAGTAGCTGAGAAGAAAGCTCGAAAATTAAAAACAATTCCAACAGATCTCTATGGATTTAAAGTATCTCTCGATGGAGCTGAAGTACGTCTCGTAAAAGAAGAGGCAGCAGAAACGTAAGTTAATAAAATATTTAATGAATTTCAAAATTAATTACTCTGTAAATAATAAACAATAATAATTGTTTATTATTAAAATAAAAATTATTTTTTTGCATTTATTAATTTTTTATTTTCTCTCCACAGAATTACAATTTCCTTCAATATTAATCATACAATTAGTGCTGACGAAGAGCCTGAAATTGATCCTCAGGATGACAAAGCAGACGTTGGTGAAATGAGAAGCAAACCTAATTTTGAAATTGACATTGTAAGAGGGAATCAAACATTATCATTCACTTGTTCTTATAATAGAGAACCTGGAGCGTCTGGTGCTGACGAAAGTTATAGTAAGCATTTATGAAATTTTCTTTTAATACTTTGATTTTAATTTTAGGTAAGTCCACGTCAGAAATATCAGAATCTGCAAGTGGTTCTTCGATTTTAATGATACTTGGTAAAATTATAGCTTTATATAAGAGCAATGTGTAAGTAAAAGGAATTTTTAAAATATCTAAAATTGTAGGAGTTATATCACTTTTAATTTTGATACTGCATTTTTTTCTTTCCTTTATATCTCGGTCAATTTTCAACCGATTTTGATGAATCAAAAACGATTTTTTTCAAAAAATTACGTATTTTCAGAAAATTTTAAAATAAAAATAAAATTTTGTTATTTAAATAGAAAAAAGTAAAAAACAAAATTTCTTTTAGATTTTTTTCAATTTCGACCTCTTTTTTTTAATTTTTAATTTTTTAATAATATTCCTTTTTATTTTATCTTTAATTTAAAAAAAAATTCATCCTGGAGACTTTTTTAGATCTCGTGATATCGTTCTTTAAATATCCACATCTCAAGAAAACTAGGATCCAGATTTGTGTTTCTACTTTCATTTAATTTATAATATTATTGTTACAAACTAGAAACTTTCGCGTAATAATGTTTTTATTTTTAAATTACTTGACTAAAACAAGTGAAAATTCAAGCAAATCAATATTTTATTAATAGATTTGAAGCAAAGTTTTTATTTTTTGTAATATTTATAATTTAAAATAAATTGTAATGAAACCTTAACAATGCAACCTGAAATTGTAGCTGAAGTTTTTAGCGCTTTCTTTTAGAGGATTCTAAAACAAATAGTTATTCATAACCATAAAAAATTTCAACAAACAAATGAAAGTAATGATAGAAGCAAGTCCTGCGGTTTTCAAATTGATGAAGACTTATAATACTTAAAGGACGATATCACGAGATCTAAAAAAGTCTCCAGGATGAATTTTTTTTTAAATTAAAGATAAAATAAAAAGGAATATTATTAAAAAATTAAAAATTAAAAAAAAGAGGTCGAAATTGAAAAAAATCTAAAAGAAATTTTGTTTTTTACTTTTTTCTATTTAAATAACAAAATTTTATTTTTATTTTAAAATTTTCTGAAAATACGTAATTTTTTGAAAAAAATCGTTTTTGATTCATCAAAATCGGTTGAAAATTGACCGAGATATAAAGGAAAGAAAAAAATGCAGTATCAAAATTAAAAGTGATATAACTCCTACAATTTTAGATATTTTAAAAATTCCTTTTACTTACACATTGCTCTTATATAAAGCTATAATTTTACCAAGTATCATTAAAATCGAAGAACCACTTGCAGATTCTGATATTTCTGACGTGGACTTACCCTTTTTGAATATAATTAAATTTTTTTTTCACCCTTTTGAAATATCCAAAGTGTTGAGTACAGTTGACATTATTTTTATTTGTTAAACTGATAATTGATCTTTGGAAAAGACAAAATATTGTTTTTGAAAATTTGTACTTTATTTAATTTTCTGATTAAAGTACTTTTCAACAATTTGACAAATAATTTAATTTTGAAGTAATTTTTGAATTTGATTTTGAATGTATTTCTAGAATGAGAATAAAATCTAAATTTTAATTAAGAAAATTTTTTATTATTTCTTAGCAAAATATAAATTTAAAGTAGAAAAAATGGGAAAACTGATTTTTATCGAAATTTATTGATTCAATTATTTACTAATTAATTTGTTATAATTAAATAAAATGAACTGTAAGAAATGCGTTTTACTATCACTTTTTCTATAAAAAAAAAAAAAAAATAGGTACAAATTATTAATTTTGCGTTGTTTTTTTTTCTAGATGACATTTTCGGAATTGACGAAATTACGCTTTATGAAGGCGAATATTCCGACAAAGTTTATGCCGTAAGCGGAGAAGTCATCGATGGCGTAAGTATTTTATTTCGTTAAAATTTTAGAAATAATTTTTTAATAATTTCTTTTTTTAATTATATAAATATTATAATGCTAATTAAATATTAATTTATCTCGTTTGCTCAACTACGAATTTTTAAAATGAAACTTTAAGACATTTTTTTTTAGAAATTTGTTCTAGTTAATTAAAATTTTGAAATTTTTTTCTTACTTTGATTTTGAAATATTTGAAATAAATTTTCTTGATACTATTCTTATAAAATTAATCTTATTAAAGAATTACTAAAATGAATTTAATATCAAATAACATTAGTTATTTAATGTAAATTATTTATTAACTAATTAAATTTAATTAGAATAAAAAAATCAACTTTTTTTTTTAATTAAATCGACTAAAACTATTTTCTTGCGCTTTAGAACGATCCGAGGCCTGATTATTCAATATTTTAATTAATATGATTTTATAGTTCTCATTTAAAATCGTTTAAGTTTTCCTAATTAATTATATTTTTTTTTTTTCTCCTTTTTCAAGTACCTCTACGACCTATTGATGAACTATCTTGAGGAGAAGGGAATATCAAATGAATTCGCAGAAAAAATGATGGAACTCAGTACATCGTACGAGCACACGGCATACATTAGTTTACTTGAAGGTCTTTCCAAATTCACCACACCAAAATAAAAAAAAAAAATTTCCATTTTATATTATTTTGAGTTCAATAATATTTCCAGTGACGTGAAAATTCGATTCTCTTCGAATTACACAAAAACACAAAGACGTAATTAATGTAATTATATGCTTAAAAAATTTTTTTGTTACAGTTAGACGTGTATTTTAGTTTTATTTTTCTTTTCCAAACACTATAGACGATACTTTTTAGAAAATGTTACAATGATTTTTCAGAAAAATAAATTGTGTTGAAAAAAGAAACAAGACTCATTGATTGTAATTAAATAAATTACGATATAATTTTTTTTTTAAAAAAATGCTTTTTATTTCATAAGAAAAAATTGGTGGAAAAAAACTGTACAGATGTAAATACTAATGAAAGATGGGTAACAAAAAAAAAAATAAATAAATAATTACCATTCGGGAACACCAAACCTGCTGATTCTCTTCATCTGTGCATCCAAATCCATTTGTACTTTTTTTCTCATATAGAAAATGGGACAATCTCGACTGTAAGAAATATTTTTTTTTAAACACAAAACAATTAGTTTTCTTTTTTTTTTTATTAAAAATTATATACTTACCTAGTACACAAAACTTCCTGATGAAGACTTCCCTGACATCTCTGACATTCGGTCCATAATCGACAGAATTTCTCCTCAAGTTTACGGCCAGCGGTGACTTCTTTTTCAAAATATTCACCCTCCTTCTCCTCGCAAAATTTACATAGAGCCAATTTTTCACGATCCGCCGTTAAAACAGCCTTACAACCAAGGCAAATTTCTTTTTTCTTTGTAAATGCAACAAGTGCACCAACACGCGATGTTGCAACAATTTTTGTACGCGTATGCTCACCCTTCAATAAAAGTGATTCGGCTCTATCGCCTAATATTGGCTCAAATATTCTCACCAATGGTTTTGACAATTGATTTTGTAAATAATAATTTGTATCAATTGGAATATTATTTTCTAAAACATAAATTGGATCCTCAGCTTTTTGATAGGCTGGCGCACCTTTTGCACCATTAATAAATACATATGGTACACGATCACCAAGTTTTGGCGCTGTACCAGCGTCACGTTTCTTCATTTTTGCCGCCAATTCAACGTGCGCTTGTTTTGCTGTATAATCAGTTTTTGTCAATTCTTTTGTCACAACCAATTGTGAAATGTCTATTCGATTACATAAAAGATCGCTGATCACTTGTTTTGCATAGTCGACTGCATCGTCTGGTTTTCTATTTGCAAAAAAAATAAATAAATAAATTACGAGATTTTAAAAAATAATAGAAAAAAATATAATTTACCTATCGATGAGCAATTTTTGCAAACATGTGTTCATCATATTGGCAACAAGGGGACAATTATCACGGCGAACTGTTTCCAAACCTTTGCAATCCATTTTGTCATATTTCTCAGGTGTTGTGAAATAAAGACCGGCGTAACGTTTTTTATTTATCAAAAGATATGGATAGTAGACTTTTTCGAATTCAAGTTTTATTGGTTTTATAAATTTCGATGAGACATATTCGGCGGCCTCTTTTCCCAATTGCATCGCTTCACGAATATCAGTGACGCCAAATTTCACCATCACCGAATCCGTATCACCGTAAATAACATTTGAATCATGTTTATAGCCATTTTTCTTACAATAATGCTCTTCGACTTCTTGTTTTGTTTTTTCAATCATTGTACGTCCATAAGCCGTTACACTCTGTGAAATTCAATTAATTTTAGTTAGTGAATTAATTATTATTAATTAAAAATAAATTTCTTTTTCTCTTACCGCTGATATTTCCAAACAGGGCAATTTTCCCATTTGAGCGCCAGTGAAACCATAAACGGAATTCGCCGATACTTTCAATGCATATTGTCGTCCATCGAGTACTTTTTTCTTGAGGGGATCCTCTTCTTTTTTTAATTCAGCTTTTGCAATTTTTCGCGCGCTCAATAAATTCTCAAGAATCTCAGGTAAAAGTCCCTTTCGCACATTTGTTTTAACAAACATTGAATTATGCGGTGTTTTTGTGATATCATCATTTGGCAATTGTAATTTATGCTGTGCACTAGGAGTGAGAAGTGTCGTGTAACATAAATTGTGTGCCATAATAATACTCGGATATAGTGAACTAAAATCTAAAGTTGCAATTGGATCACTGTAATAGCCACGTTTTGGTTCAATAACAGTTGCACCTTCAAATTGATCGTCCACACCCTGACCCTGATGAGTTGGAATCAAATATCCCTGTTCTCGGGTCTAAAAAGAAAAATTTTTAATTACTTTTTAAAAATTAATAAATTTTACGAACAAAAAAAAAATACTAGAATAATTATTTTAACACTCTCACCTTTCGTAAAAGTTGTGAAACAACTTTAATTTGTTGTCCCCTTGTCAATAAAGTTGATAATGAAACGCCAGTAACTCTTGCCATTTCCATATAAATAATAATACACATTAATTTATCTAATAAACGAAGAGGTAACATTGCGTCTTTCAAACAATAAACGGCAAGTCGACGACGTGTTTGGGCATTTCCTTTTTGTAAATCAGAAATAATACTGTGATGAACGTCCTCTTTTTGTTCTTGTAAAAAATGATAACTCACTGCATTTAACGTGTACGATCGCAATTTGTAGTCTCTTACCAAGACCTGAAATTTTTTTTTTTTTTTTTTTAAATTTTCTTCATGTAATTTATATATTTTAATGAAAAAAGAAAAATGCTTACCAATAATAAATCGAAGGGTACTCGTCCTTCAAAATTAACATGTTTATTTTCACGTCTACCCATTTGTTTGCTTTGCAATACTTGATTGCGAATAATTGATTTGATATTTTTTATTCGTCCCAAATAATTGAAATCGTTCACTTTTAAATGTTGTGCACGATTAATTAAATAGGGAAAATCGAAATTATTAATATTGTAACCGGTAAAAATATCGGGATCCAATTGTCGAATAAATTCAGCCCATTTCTAATGGAAAATTAGAAAATATAATAATCAATAAAATTAGTATCAAATTCTTAATTGCGTAAAAGTTATAAGCAGATTTTTTTTCAAAATCATAATTTTTATATTTATTATTATTAAATATTTTTAGAATAGTTTTATTTTAAAGTTTTCCTACCCTCAACATTTCTTGTTCGGTTTGATAACTAAGCACTTGACATCCAACAATTGGAGCACATGTGTCCAAGGTGAAAATATTTCGTAAAAAAGGTTCAGGCTCACCCTGTCTAATCACCATGTTAGCAATTTGAATAACTGGATCGTGATTTGGCTCGGGAAATATTCCTGAAAGTACAAAAAAAAATGATTTTTTTATACATTTTTTAAATCACTAAAATTAAATAATTATTAACAATTTGATTACGAAAATAATTAAATTTATAAAGATTTTTTTTTTTTTTTTTTTTCTTGAAAAGTTTAAAATTGTTAAACACTGAAATATTTCTTCTTCTTTTTTTTACCTTTACGACCGGCACATTCGATATCAAAACTAAGAATTCTGAATGGAGCTACTTTTGACCATTCGCCTTCCGGTGCATGAGCGATGAAAGCGTCCCAGGCAACATCAACTTCCATTTGACATCTTGAAGTTATTGGTAAGGCGTGATTATAATAACCACGCGATTTCCATTTTCCAGGTGGTAATTCTATCCATGAACAGCCAACCATATTTGTGTCAACCATAAATCTAGAATAATATTCAAATAATAATTTCAATTGCAATCATTAAAAAAATAAGAGTTATTTTTTTTCAATCACATTTTCAAATTATTTAATTCAATTTTATATAATTATTAACATTATTTTTAAATAACAAAAGGAGTATTTCAATAATTGAAGCGAATATTTATAATAATTGATTTTTACATTAATTAATTAATTTCGAAGTATAAATTTTAAAAAAATAAACATTATTGAATCAGTTATTAAATAAATTCAATTTTTAATCTGAAATTATAGTTTCAAATTCATATTAGTGGACCAATTTTCAAGAAAGTAAATTATTATGTTTTTTTTATTAATTACCGAATATCAAAATCGATGTTACTTTCAAAAGCTTGATAACAGTGATTACTAAAGGCGGCGTAAACAGCTTCTTTTTCCAATAATCGTCTACAAGGTGCAGTTAATTTTGGTAAAGCTACTGTTATTTTGAGAAATGGTTGCAAATCTGAACCGTTGTATCCATAAACACTTTGTTTTTTAACTAATTCAACTGCTAAAATCGCTTCTTGAATATTTTCAGGATTCGATTTCATATCTTTTATCACAGCATTGTTAAGTGCTTCCTGTTTGACAAGAATTTAAGACATTAATAGTTAAAAAAAAAAGGAATTTTTTTTTCCTTGCAGCAAATTTTACTAAATTTTTTTTTCTCTTATATAATAAATAATTATTAATTTAAAATAAATATTATTTTTTAAAGTTAGAGAATAATATTAATTAATTCAATTTTCTAAGAAAAGTGAATATTTCTTTAAATTATTAGAATTATATCGAAGGGACATAAAAAAAAAATGTTGTCCATAAATATACACCCTTATAAATTTGATAATAAATTCTTTTGTACCTTGAAGGGTGCGCAATGATTGTTTGTAAATAAAGTTGGTGCAGTGACAAACAGATAAGGACAAAATCCATGTACGTGACAACAGACTGAATTTCCTTTTTCTGTGACTCCGTATAATCTCATCACTGGAACAGGACCTACCTTGCTTCCTGGCATACCAGGAAGTGGTTGATCTAAAATTAAAGAAAAAGAAAATAATCAAAAATTATGAAAACTACAAAATTTTACGAAAAAGTTATCTGAAATGATTTTAAATAATAATAATAAAAAAAAAATCGAGATTTTTACGAAGCTAAAGTACGCAACGTTTATGATAAACGATTTTTAAAGAAATAATTTTTTAAAATGAACAATTCTGTAATTTTTTGCTTAAAAAATATTTCTTTTAGTTTTCATTAATCATAACAAATTATTAAAAAAAAAATATTTTTTAGGCAAAAAATTATAGTTTTTTCATTTTTAAAAATTATTTCTTTAAAAATCGTTTATCATTAAACGTTGCGTGATTTTTCTCTAAAAATTGGAAAATTGCAAATATCTCAGAAACTAAAACCAACAAATTTTACCTTTTTTCATGCGAACTTTTTATACATAAAAATAATTGATAAGTCACTGATTTTCGAAAAAGAAAAAAAAAATTACCTGTATAATGATCGACGTCGATTTGTTGAAAGCATAATTTATCTTTTGAAGGATTTAAATTTGGAGGAGGAGGTCTGCTCCATTTTGCCGAAGTATTTTCCTGCTCTGGCCCCTATTACATTAAAAAAAAATTAAAATTAATTGAAACAATAACAAATAATAATATTCTAAAATTGATAATAAAAATGCTGATTAATGCGTAATAACTTTTTTTTATATTCTTTTTTATAATTTCTGTTTCTCAGTTACTAATTTTTTAAGTACATTGTACTAAAGGGCTTTTATTCCAAATATAAATAACTAAAATTAACCTAGTTTTAAAAACAAAAATCTATTCTCGAATTTTTTTTTTTATTTCTTAACAAATTACGTTTCAAAATTTATAAACTTAACAATAATAATTAAATAAATTTATTTGCATAAAAGCCAATAAATAGAAATTTAAATAATTTAATTTTGAAATTCTTTTTTTTTTAAATAGAAAAATTGTTTTCTGATTTTTTACCTTCTTTTTTGGAAGAAAATTCCAGTTCATTATTTATTATTAACGTTTCCAATTAGCAAAAAAAAAAAAACATTTTGACATTAATTTCTTTATAATTGACAAGATATGAAGCATATTGCATATTTCTAATTTTATATAAACATTGACTGCAATTTACATATATATATATGTGCTCGCGAATAAAACCGCGCAATTTAAACGTTTCTAATAAATTTTTTCAATTGACATATAAAGAAATGACGTGGTTTTTTGCCGATTTTTTTTTGCAAAAAAATAAAACAGGTAAATAAAGAAAAATTAAAAATTATTACTTACTTCTCCTTTCACGGTGTCCATTTCCAAAAAATCATCATCTTCTCCATCGAACATTGATGCAAGCTCTGATTCAAATGTAGAAGGAGTGTCATCGTCATCTCTAAGAAATCAAATTATTTATTAATAAATAAAAAAAAAGTTTATTATATTATTTTTTATAATTTTATTCATAAATTAACTATACAATTATTTGATAAATAAAATGCGATTCAAAAAAATGTATCTATAATCTTTACTATTAATTTTTAATTTCTTTAAAATTGAAAAATCAAAAGAGATATTTTGGATTTTATTTATAAAAGAATAAAAAATTTTCTAATTTTCATAATTATATAAAAAAAAAAAATGAGAAAAATATAATTAATGAAATTTTTAATTTATCGTTAATTAATTAACCATTATTATTATTTTCATTATAATTTAATAATCTATCTTATTAATATTCTTATACTAATATTAGTGTAAATCAACGAATTCAACAATATTAATTAATAAAGAATTAAATTTGAGAATAATTAAATTTTTAGAGGTTAGAATTTTCGAACGTTATATTATTTAACATAGGCAAAATGTTTATTTACCCGGTTTTTGACTTTTTCGCCGGAGGACCAGTAAATGGTTTCTTATTCATATTTATTATTAACAAACTTTCACAATTTTTAACAACAATTGACAAATATCACACTACAAAATAACACAAACAACAATCATTAAAGAATCTCGTGTAAACGGCGCAAAATATTGTCAATTTGGCGCGAATGCATTTTGTCCAAACTCTTTAAATTGTCCATCTTAATTTAATGGCTGATTTACAATATGAAAAATGTCAAAAATAAAAAACAATTATTTAATTTTTATAAACAACGAATAGAATTACAATTTCTGGAATTTTGTCAAAATGAATTTTGTTCATAAAATTATTCCATGGCGGGTAATTTTGAATTAGTTTGCATAAAAAAAACGTTTTTGCAAATAATATAAAAATAAAATGATTTTAATATGTATATATTTGAAAATAATTATAATTAACTAATTTTATTACATCTTTATGTTTTTGTATAAAAGAAAAGAAAATTTTTTTAAAGACCACGGCATTCTCATGAGAGAAGCTATAGGCCATTTTGAGTTCTGTTTGTGTCTCCCGTCATTTACAGTTTTTGTACTTCTGGACTCACCTTTATTATATATAGAAGTGTAGAAAGATTTATTGAATCGCGTCTCGAGAAAATTATTTCTCAAATAAAAAAAATTTAGATATTAGTTTCAATTAATTTTTAATAGACTTTTTTTTCTACAAAAAAACTATAGAATCATGGAAGAATTATCGAAGCATTTAAAGAAAATTAAAGTACCTGAAGGATCCGATAAAGTTTATAAAGATGAGTGTGTTTATTCTTTTGACACTCCAGTAAGTTGATTTTCCTTTAAGTTAAAATATTGAAAATTTATATTTATTAAATGAAAATTTAATAAATATATAATTATTTATATTATTATTTTTTATTAGGAAAGTCCTACTGGTTTATATATTAGTCTTTCATCATTTTTTGGACTAAGTCAGAAGCATGTTGAATGTTACTTTAGGGAAACGGGAAATGCTGTTTTTCTTCATATCTTGAAGACAAAAAAGGAGGTACATACTAACATTCTTTTCTAATGATAAATAAGATTGAATTACATTTACTTAAAATATCACGAAAAAAAAATTCGATAAATTTTTGCTAAATCTGTAAATATTTATTTTAATTTATTTTAAGTATATATAAATAAAAAAATTAGTAATTTTTATTTCTAATTTGGAAATTGAAATTTGTTTTTAAAGAATCTTAAAAATTTGTATTATTGAAACATATTTAATAAATTATTATTTATTCATTTAATAATTAATTATTACAATGCTTAACTCGACAATATTTATGATCAACGATTAAAAAACAAATTACATTTTTAAACGGAAAATTATACAAAATTTTTTTTCTAATTTTTTTTATCAATAAAAAATAACATTGCAAGAAATATTTTTAAAACGAAAATTCATAAAATTTTTCCTGATAAATTAAATATTTTTTTAAATTTGTTAATAATTATTTATTCAATAAGAATGTATATTAAAATTGGAAAATATTTAAATAATATATTTGTTAAATTATAATTAAGATTCCAAATGAAAATATGGATGGACCGGAAAAGAAAATTACACGATTAGCTATTGGAACGCCTGGAGGATTTAATCCTGATCAACAAAAATACACTTACGAAGAACATTACAAAATTGTTGTATTACCAAATTTTACGGAAATTTCTTATCCTAATGAGGAATTGCCAATGTTGGTACAAATGTCGGTGAAAGCAATTTTAGAAGCTCAATCCGCATTGAAAATTGCCGAACAAGAAGCATTGGCAGGAACTTGGGACGGAGAAGCTCGAGTTGTTTCAAAGTAAAATTATTTTTTTACTATTAAAATGAAATATCTATTTATCTGAATTTTATAGTAGCTGAAAATTTTATCCAATTTTCTATATTATACTTAAATGATTCAATTGACACAAGTTTGATTTATCAAGAAATTTTTTGGTGATTAAAAAATTATTTCTATCAAATTTCAATAAATATAAATTTAAATTAGTTGTAGTATTCAGGCCTCGGATTATACGAATTTTTCTACTTTTTCTGACTTTTTTTTCGAAAATACGACTTTTTTCAAATTATTTTAATAATATGCGACTTTTTTTTTATATTTTTTACAAATTTTTTAAACAAAATACGTCTTTTTTAGAATACAATGCAGATTTTCTTCACATCTTCTATGTTTCAATTATTTAACAAATTTTTCTCGAAATTAATTATTTTAATAAAATTCTTCACAAATTCAATATTATTTTAAACTATTTTTCAATTAAAAATTTTATAAAATTTAACAATTGTTTACAATTTAAAAAAAAAATCAAATAAAATTACCAAAAATTTTAATTTAAAACTTATTAAAATTTAATTATTTTTTTAAAATTTTCCATCTAAAACTTTTTGAAATTTAATAATTTCAACTGGTAACTCTTTCGAAATATAATTATTTTAAATGATTTTTATAATATTCTTCGAAAATTCAATTATTTGAAAGCATTTTTCAATTAAAAAATTTTTAAGTTCAATTTTTGTCTTTAATTTTTAATAAATACTTTAGCAACAGAAATCAACAAAAAAAATTCCAATTCAAAATCACTTCAATTCAATTAATTCGAAAAATTTCAATTTAAAACCTTCTAAAATTTAATTATTTCTAAAAATGTCAACTGTGACTCTTCTAAAATTTAATGATTTTTATAATATTCTTTAAAAATTCAATTAAAAACTTTTGAAATTCAATTTTTGCCTATAATTTCTAATAAATTCTTTATCAACAGATATAACAAAAAATTTCAATTAAAAATCACTTGAAGTTTAATTAATTTCAAAAATAAGAATTGTAAATCTTTAAAAATTTAATTACTTTTAAAAAATGTTATCAAAAATTATTTGATAAATTATTTTCAATTCTGTGAAATTTAATTATTGTCTGAAATTTTAACAAAATCTTTGGAAATTTAATTATTTCTAAAAATTTCAACTATAACTCTTCCAAAGTTCAAATTACACAGGCACACAAAAAAAAAAAAGTTGTCTGTTTCTTGAACTACACATATATTTCCTATAGTATTTTGGCCCGCTGAAACCGAATCTGAGGTCAGAATTGCTCCATCACCCTCAGTTTTTTTTTAAATCGACCAAAACCACCCTTAAACGGACAAATTCACACTTCGGAGATAAAAAATAAATCAACTTATTTTTTAGAAAAACCAAATTTTACATCTACGAAACTTTGCTCCACTAACTCAAAAACAAAGCCAGCATTGATCCAGCACCCCCTGAATTTTTTTAATCGAAAAAACTACCCCTAATCTGAAGAATCAAATTCAGGAGGTAAAACAATAAAATAACTGATTAAAAAATTTTATAACCAGGTATTTTTACTCCAGCAAGGCAGAAACAAATCCAGAAATGCTCCCTCACCCTCTAAATTTTTTTTAAATCAAAAAAACCACCCTTAAATAGAAAAATTCAAATTTAAGAAGTAAAAAAATAATAAATTACCGGCTTTTTTTAAAAACAGAACCTTACATGTTTGTAGTTTTGCTCTACTAACTCAAAAAAACAAAGCCAGCATTGATCCAGCACCCCCTGAAATTTTTTTAATCGAAAAAACTACCCCTAATCTAAAGAATCAAATTCAGGAGGTAAAACAATAAAATAACTGATTAAAAAATTTTATAACCAGATATTTTTACTCCAGCAATGCACAAACAAAGCCAGAAATGCTCCCTCACCCTCTAAAATTTTTTTAAATCGAAAAAACCACCCTTAAATAGAAAAATTCAAATTTAGGAGATTAAAAATTAAATAACTGACTTTTTTAAAACAGAACCTTTCTACATCTATGTATTTTCGCTCCACTAACTCAAAAACAAAACCACCATTGATTCATCAACCTCTGAATTTGTTTAATCGAAAAAACTACCCCTAATCTGAAGAATCAAATTCAGGGGGTAATATTTTTTTACTTCTTAAATTTGAATTTTTCTATTTAAGGGTGGTTTTTTCGATTTAAAAAAATTTAGAGGGTGAGGGAGCATTTCTGGCTTTGTTTCTGCATTGCTGGAGTAAAAATATCTGGTTATAAAATTTTTTAATCAGTTATTTTATTGTTTTACCTCTTGAATTTGATTCTTCAGATTAGGGGTAGTTTTTTCGATTAAAAAAATTCAGGGGGTGCTGGATCAATGCTGGCTTTGTTTTTTTGAGTTAGTAGAGCAAAACTACAAACATGTAAGGTTCTGTTTTTAAAAAAAGCCGGTAATTTATTATTTTTTTACTTCTTAAATTTGAATTTTTCTATTTAAGGGTGGTTTTTTTGATTTAAAAAAAATTTAGAGGGTGAGGGAGCATTTCTGGATTTGTTTCTGCCTTGCTGGAGTAAAAATACCTGGTTATAAAATTTTTTAATCAGTTATTTTATTGTTTTACCTCCTGAATTTGATTCTTCAGATTAGGGGTAGTTTTTTCGATTAAAAAAATTCAGGGGGTGCTGGATCAATGCTGGCTTTGTTTTTGAGTTAGTGGAGCAAAGTTTCGTAGATGTAAAATTTGGTTTTTCTAAAAAATAAGTTGATTTATTTTTTATCTCCGAAGTGTGAATTTGTCCGTTTAAGGGTGGTTTTGGTCGATTTAAAAAAAAACTGAGGGTGATGGAGCAATTCTGACCTCAGATTCGGTTTCAGCGGGCCAAAATACTATAAGAAATATATGTGTAGTTCAAGAAACAGACAACTTTTTTTTTTTGTGTGCCTGTGTTATTTATAATAATTTTAATATTTTTTTAAAAATTCAATTATTTAAAAAAGTTTGAAATAAAAATTCTAAAATTAAATTGTTATCAAAATTTTTTTTTTTTCACTTATTAATTTTTTAAATATTAAAATTAAAAAATCTACTTTTTTGTGAATGTAAATCGACTAAAACAACTTTTTTTGCACCTTAAAGTCGATCCGAGGCGTGAGTACTTGTTGATTAAAATTGTAATCGTTGTAAATTTAAATTCATTCTAATTCTAATTAATCAGCCATCAATTCAATCAATACAAAATTCAATTTATCCAAATTTGAATATATATATTTAAATTTCAATCTATTCAACTTTTAATTGATCCAAATTTCAATGTAATTAAATTTTATTCGATTCAAATTTCAAGTAATTCAATTTTCAATAAATTCTAATTTTTTTTAACGAAGCTGAAGTACACAACGTTTATATAAACGATTTTTAAAGAAATAATTTTTTAAAATGAAAAATTCTATAATTTTTTGACTAAACAATATTTCTTGTACTTTTCATTAATCAACAAATTATAAAAAAATATTTTTTAGGCAAAAAATTATAGAATTTTTCATTTTAAAAAATTATTTCTTTAAAAATCGTTTATATAAACGTTGCGTACTTCAGCTTCGTTTTTTTTTATATAGTTAAAATAAAAATTTCTTAGGTAATTAAAATTTTAATAAAATTGCAAATTCAGTCCGAATTTTAATTGATTATCCGAATTTCAGTTTATTTAAAATTTAAATTGATTTAAGTTTAAAATTATCCAAAATTTAATTTAATTAATTAATGAAATAATGTAATTAATAAAAATAAATATTCAATAAATCAAATAAAATTTTAATTTTCTGTACTATATAGACACGCAGAGAATTTAAAACAATTAGACAATGGAATTAAAATACCGCCAAGTGGTTGGAAATGTGAAAAATGTGATCTCACACAAAATCTTTGGCTAAATTTAACTGACGGAAGTATATTGTGTGGACGTAAATTTTTCGATGGAAGTGGTGGCAATGATCATGCTGTGGAACATTATCGTCATTCGGGTTATCCATTGGCTGTTAAACTTGGAACAATAACAAAAGATGGAAAAGGTGATGTCTATTCATATGATGAAGATGACATGGTCCTTGATCCAAAGCTGATTGAACATTTAGCACATTGGGGTGTGAATATAACGCAAATGGAAAAAACAGAAAAATCCATGATTGAATTGGAATTAGATCTCAATCAAAAATTTGGCGATTGGGTAACATTACAGGAATCATCGACAAAAGTTTATGGTCCCGGTCATACGGGTCTTGTAAATCTTGGAAATTCATGTTATCTCAATAGTGTTTTGCAAACATTATTTGTCATTCCTGATTTTATCAATCGGTTCGTATTTTCTATTTTCTACTTTCTTTTTTGTTTAATAATTTAATTATTTTATAAGTAACATTTTATTAATTATATAATTAACTATATTTATTTCAGATACCATAATGAAGCGGACAAAATTTTTACAAATAGTGTTCACAATCCACCAAATGATATTAACGTCCAAATGTAAGTAGGAAAATTAAAATTATTTTAAAATAATTTTCAATGACAATTTTTATATCTAGATAATAATTAATAAAAATTATTTTTTTTTCTTTCTCTTTTTTTGACCTCTCTTCTAAACAAAATACTTTTTTGTGGAGATAAAAAAAAAGAAATAAAGAATAGTAAATTTATTAGTTAGGATTATTTTCTTTTTTATAATCATATAAACTGATTTACTAACATTGATGTGTTTAAAATTTTTTTTTTTTTTCAATTTCACATAAATATTAAAAGAGAATTGAGGGGAAAAAAATATTGATTTCAGGGCAAAATTATCAATTGGATTACTATCGGGACAATATGCTCAACCTCCAAAGTCGGATAACGATGAATCAAGTCAAGGAATTTCACCGCGAATGTTTAAGCATTTAGTTGGGCGTGGACATCAAGAATTTTCATCGAATAGACAACAAGATGCTCAAGAATTTTTCCTTCATTTGATTAATCTTTTAGAAGTAAGTATAGAAATATAATTTTTTTTGCTTCACACTAATTTCGTTTTCTTTTTTAAAAAATAATTTTTTAAAAATATAATTATTACAATTTAAAAAATAAACAATTTATTCGTAGATAATATTTATTTAATTTTAAAAAACGTGTGATATTAATTTACTTTTTTTTTTTTTGTTCAACAGCAAAATAATCATCATTTAGAGAATGCGGCAGATTGTTTTAAATTCAAAGTGGAGGAACGATATGAATGTAATAGCTCGAAAAAAGTTCAATACACGTCTCGACCCGAATATCTTTTACCTTTACCAATAGCTTTAGATTGTGCAATAAACAAGGTAATTAATTATTGTTTACGATAATTATATTATAATTCTTTGGAAAATAGAAAACTCATCATTTTTTTTTTTTTTTTTTTTTTTTAATCGTATTTAGGAACAAGTTGACGCATATCTTGCTAAAAAGGACGAGGCGGAGAAAAATAACCAAAAATTAGATTTTCACGATATTGTAAGACCAAGAATAAAATTGTCCTCATGTTTGGAAGCTTTTGCAAAAAGTGAAATTATCGAACAATTTTATAGTACGGCCTTGAAGGAAAAAACGACCGCTGTAAAGTAAGAATTTTCTAAAAATTAAACTAACTTTTTTTATAGGAAATTTAATTAAAATTTAGAACTTGATGGATTTTTCTATTATTATATTTTTTTATTTTGAATTTTCTATATTTGTAATTATTGCTTTTATTAATAGTTAGCAATTAGAAATTATTATTATTATATTTTGTTTATAGAACAACGAAATTAGCAACATTTCCCGATTATTTATTGATTCATTTGAAAAAATTCACGGCAAAGGAAGATTGGACGCCAATTAAATTGGACGTTGAAGTTGAAATGCCGGATTTATTAGATTTAAGTTGGTTGGAGGGAAAGGGATTACAGCCAAATGAAGAATTATTACCAGAAGTCACTGAATTGGAACATCCACAACCGCAATATGATCCGGCAATTATTGATCAATTAACGGAAATGGGCTTTCCATTGGAGGCATGTAAAAGGGCTGTGTTTTTCACCGAAAATGGTGGTTTTGAAGAAGCCACCAATTGGCTAATGACACACATTGCCGATGATAATTTTTCCGAACCATTTGTACCACCTGGTATTATGAAAAAAAGTTGGTATTTTTCTTTTTCTCACAATTTTGTTTTTTTTTTTCTATATATTTAAAAATTATTTTATCTATTTTATTAAGAAATTTTATATATTATTTTTTAATGGGATATATTAATTTGTTTTTAATATTAAAAATGAAATGTTTTATTTTGTTTTTGTAATTATATTAATATTGGAATTTTTTGAATTTTAAAGATCAAAATAGTTTTGTACCAAATGAAGAGAGATTGGTAGAAGTAATGAGTATGGGTTTCACTGAAGAAAAAGCGATAAGAGCTTTAAAAGCAACAAATAATAATATGAAACATGCGGTCGATTGGTTATTTAGTCATTTGTCTGATTCGGATGAAACGCCAATGGAAGTGGATACAAACTCAAAGGATGGAAACTTTAGAAACGGAAGTGGACGTAAGTCAATTTAAAAAAAAAAAAAAACGATAAAAATTGATAATTTTCATTTCTTTAAAATCAGTCTTATAACAATTATTTTGTTTTTTTGCAGTTTTTAGGTAAAATTTATATTTAAAAAAAGGAAAAAAAATGTTCCATTCTCACTATTCATTCATTAACAAATAAAATTTAACTATGTGAAAAATTATACTTTTTTCTAAAACTTCAAATCGTATAAAAGAATTCAATTTTTAAAATTCAATTATTGCAAAATTAAAATATTGTGTAATTTAATTATTTAAAATTTTTTTCAGGTTATAAATTAATTGGTTTTATTTCTCACATGGGAACTTCTTCCATGGTTGGACATTACGTTTGCCATTTATTAAAAGAAAAAGGTTGGATCTTATTCAATGACGAGAAGGTAAACAAAAAATTTGTTAAATTATTAAATTTTATTTCGATTTTCAATTTATTTTTTATTTAAATGAATATTTTATTCAGTTTTATATGATTTCGAAATTTCTCTTTTATACAATGAGAATAAATAAAATTATATTATTATTATTATTTTTACCTTTAACTTTTAATTTTGCAAATTTTTAAAATTTCAAATTTATATAATTTTAATTTATTTTTAAAATTTATTATTTTGTATTTTATTTTAATTAAATAATTTATTCGGTTTAATTTTTAATAATTTAATAATTAAATGTTAATATTTTAAATTTTGCTCAGTTTTGATAAATTTTCCATTTAATTTACAGGTTGCAGTGTCTGAAAATCCTCCTAAAGATTTAGGATACATTTATCTGTACGAACGACTTGATTAACAAGAGCATTATATAAGTTGCCAGTTTTTGTATAAATAATTATTATATTTACAATTTAACAATAAAGAATTCAATAATTCTAACAATTCATTCTTTCAATTTAATGACATGGACTCTCATATATATATGGAAAGAATATCAAAGTTTTTAATTTTTTTTTTCTAAAATAATTTTATTCCTATTTCTTTTCAACAATGGCACAATTTTTAAATGGAATGTACCAAAAAACAAAATTTGTTACAATTTATTCTCAATTATATTTCACAATTATATAGGCACATTATTAAAAATAATAATTAAATGCGTTCACAAAAATAAGCCATTTTAGGATAATATATAGAATACATTTCAATATTTTTTTTTTTTTTTGTAATCTTAAAATCGTAAGTACAATATTTAATTGAAAAAAAAAAAATAATGTATTTTTTAACAATGCAGTAAAATATAAAATTCCAACTAGGTATTTCATGAAAATTGTCTGTTACAAAAACTTGTATAAAAAAAAAAATTCGTCTATATAAATGGAATTTCTTAAGTACCAGTTTGACATTCTTTTTTTTTAATAGAAAATAGAATAATTTACTTTTTCGAATATAAAAATGATATTAGTCATTTTTTCCTACAAAAATAATAGTGTGAATAATAATAAAAATTTATATAAACAAATAATTGTAAGCACCTTAAGAATAATGACTGAAATCATTTTTATTCTCGAGTCAATAAAAATACTTAATTAAAAAAAAAAAATTGTATAATTCTCTGCGCTGTAAATCAATTATGCATTACATTTTTTTTTATATTAGGCGATATTATTTACAAAAAAAAAACAAACTTAATAATAAAAAAAAAATTTTGCGCGCGCACCATCGTTTTTTTTTTTTATTCAAATTTCTTTTAATTCTCTCATTAAAATCAAAATTCTAGTCACTGTAAATTGTACTTTTTTTTTAAGTTCAGTACAAACTCACAAATGTGAGTCAAAAAGAATTCGATTTAGAGAAAATGTGTATATAAATATATATATATAAAGATTTATTTAATGCGTAATAAAATAGAAATACTTTTTTATTTTCTCTCGCCTTTTTAAGACTAGCTTACCGTTTTGATTCTCATTTTATCGTCAATTATTCCAATTGATGGTGGAACTGCATAAAGAATATTGTCGCCATTTTTCGAAAATATTGGCTCAACAATATTGGGCAATACTTCAATGCTTAATACTTTACTTCTGTTGCCCAACATGCATTTGAATCTTGTTGCAACTGTCACTAAAAGATCGCTTCGTCGTAATCTTGAAAAAATAAACGTAAAGAAAATTTTTGTTAAACGTAAAGAATTTTTTTTTTTTTTTTTTAATTTAAAGAATTAAATTTAATACACTTTTGATTTTAATTATTAATTGAATTACAAATGAAAAAACTTACTGAAAATATGCGTTGCACAAAATTCCCACGAGTTCACCAATTCGATCTTCTTTCGATAATAACGAGACAATTAAATCATTTCCATGATTTGAATGAATCGTAATAAGTTGATCTTTTCCCGGCGAAACACTAAGGCCAGTGATTTCAGAAATTGGCATTCGTTTTTTCATATTTTTAAATTTAATCCCATCTAATTTATAGACAGAATGCTCCGTCACTAAAAGTACTCGATCCGCTTGTTTATTATGCCTGAAATTTTTATATAATTAATATTCAACTTATTATTTATTAACTAGAATATGAAATAATAAGTGCAAAAAAAGAGTAGTTTTAGTCGATTTACATTCCAAAAAAAAGTCTTGTTTTTTAATTTTAATTAAATTTAATTAGTTAATAAAAATTTTTTTGTTGAAGAAAAAAAAGTGTTACTAACTTGTTTGTCTTTTTAACGAAAGCGCTGAAAAGAACGGATTTGAAGTGATCTGTATTCTTTAAATTATTAACGGATGCATTGAAAATATCACTGTGAGGATTCTCGCGCAAATAAGAAAGATAATTTCCTTCCCAATTACGTTCCTGTCCCCAGTAAGAACGTTTTTTACACAAAGCTGCTCCAGCTGTCATCTAAATAAAAGTAAATTTAACAAATTTTAATACATTAAAATATTGTACCTATATTATAATTTACAAATTTAGTAAAAAAAAAAAAAACAAATACAGATATAATAAAAAATGATTATAAATATAATTATATATTTTTTCTCTTATAAAATAAATTAATTTACATTACCTTTAATCTGAGCTGGGGCCATTCTTCTTTTGGAATATGCCTTAAAATCATCCACGCTCTCCAACGGGCGAAGATTTTTTTTAACAATGGAACACTACGTCGAACAGCAAAAGTTTCACGAGGCCATGGCAAATGTTTACCATAATCGGCCAACGATTTTGCATGTCTAAATGTTTTCGATAGATCGCTAATATAAATATAAAGTTTATAATTTCGATAATATTTCATAATTGTTAATGCAGCCTTCATTTTCTTATAACGTTTTCGACCCAAATAACCTCGCCATTGTTTTTGCAATAAAATAACAATTCCCGGAATTAAATCACTGCGAGCCTAAGAAAGAGAATACAATTTTTTTTTTTTTTAATTCTATTTTTTCAATTTATGAAAAATTAATTTGCAAAATAAAGAAAACAAACCTTTTCAAGAGCAAACAAAGTTTTTGGGGATCGGATAAAAATTTTTGTTTTTCCATATTGAACGTCATTTTGAAATCCTTTCTCTTCCATGAGAGTGTGAACACCATCTTTGTCGGTTCCTCCACGAAAGTTTGGCCACGTGTATTGAGAAATCATTTTGTACCTGCGATAAAAATTTCAATATATATATATTTATATTTTATTAATTAAAATATTTATTATTAATATATTTTATTAATTAATAATCTTTTTTAGTATATTTAAGTAAATTTTTTTTTTTATTAAAGAAATAAAGTAATAAATTACAAACCTTTTCAAAAATTTATCATAAGATTGTCTGTAGACGAAACCAGCTCGTCTGACTAGAATATTCTCAACGAGACCTAAATATCGCACTTGATGGCTCACTCTTTCTTCATCGAAAACAACGGGAGACTTCACCTCGTTTGGTTTAATACATCTCACGTAATATGGCTCTTTACTCGTTAAATTCTTAATCAATGCGATCATTGAATTTTTAAAGAGCGTTCCAGCAGTCAACGGCCTTTTTGTCGTCTGAAACATTTATTTCTACATGAGTTTACGAAAATAAAAAAAAAATTATTTTGTGAAATAGAAAATAATCAAAAATTATATGTAAAAAAAAAAATTAAATTAGAACACTAAGATTCAATTTTTGAAACTTTTTTTAAAATTTGGAAAAAAAATGTACCTTTGTAATGTCCTGGGCACCTTCAGGCCACATACTGCTGATATTAGAATTTTTGCTTTTAAACAATAAACGTTTAAAATCCTGAAATAGTGTGTCTTTATTTTTGTCCAAAAATCCATCGATACTGTAAACAACATCTCCTGCATAGTGTTTTATTCTAAATTGAACTTTGTGTTTCAATTCCTTATCAAGCGGTTTCAATTGTCGTGACATGTAATGATTGTGATTAACAAGCTTTTTGTCCATTGCCTCAAGAAGCAACTAAAATAAAAAAGTTACTAATAAAAAAAAAAGAGGAAAAGGACAATTATTTGGAATTTTTAATTTCTTAATTCTTAGAAGCAATTTCAAAAAAATGTCTTTCACTCACCAAAAATAAAAAAAAACAAAGAAAAAAAAGAAATTGTAAAAATGATTGTAATCTAAATTTTTGTTGTTACCTCATCTGTCACTTTGCCAACATTTAAGCAAGCTTCGTCAATAATTGCTATAATTCCTTTGTGGGATTGTTCCACGAGGTCACAAATCACCTGATTATTGAAATAATCAATATTCTGCCAGGCGATTCCTTCTTTTCTGTATTCTTCCTGTTCCTGTTTCAAGACCAATTCTGTGGAGAATAAAAAAAAAAGTGTTAAAAGAAGCGAAAAGATAATCAAATTATTGACGCATTGATAGAAAATAACATTAAACAATAAATTAACAAAAAAAAAACTAACAAGTTAGAAAACTATTATTAAAAAAAAAATATTAGAATTGGAAATTTTTAAAATATTATTATTATAAACAAATTAATTTGTTATTATATTTCTTTTTAAATATACAAAAAAAAATTAATAATTCCTATTTTCAATTATTAAAATAAACATTAATAAAAAAACAAAATTTAAGAATTATATTTGAAATTATAATAATTATTATATATTACATAATTATTCTGAAATTTTCTTTTTTTTTTACCAATAAAAAGTTGTTGAAGTTTTTCGTTACAATAATTGATGCAAAATTGTTCGAAACTATTGATGTCGAAAATTTCAAATCCATAAATATCCAGTACACCAATGACGGTTCTGTACCTTTTATAAACACCATCAGTTGAATTAACGTTAATTGTTTCGTTAATCCTTTGTACGATCCACGTAAATAATCTCTCGTAAATAGCCTTAAAAAATAATGGGAAATAAATTTTATTTCAAACAAATAATTATTATTCGTTTCCGAATACAAAATAAATTCAAATAAATAAAATTTCGTTGAAAAACAATATTTTTTGAGTCAATAAAATTTCGATTATAAAAAAATTTTTTTTTGAATAAAATTTCCTTTTTGTTACTTTATAGAGAATAGAAAATTTTCAATAATTTTAGGAAAGATCTTTTGGTAACTCTTGTTAATGAATAAAAAGGAAATTTTATTAACTTCCCTTAAAAATAAAAATTATGAGATAACACTAACCTTTGCTAAAGCATCTCTGCCATATTCTGCTTCATTTAATGTATGTGTCTTTTGCATAACTTCCCCGCCAGCGGCAATAACTCTATGTGATAAGGCAGTGTTAAGCTCATTCGAATTAATTGATAGCAACTGAGCGACACTATTAAGTGCATTTTTATTGACAATTACAACCACATCGTCATTAAGATTAAATTTTATGTTGCCCTAAATCAAAAAAAGAAAGAAAAAATTCATTAAACTTTCGCCTTTTTCTGTCTAGATATCAAAAATTTATTATTTTTAATGTTTATTGTAAAGTTTAATTTAAACTTTTAAAATTACGATTAAGAAAAAAAAAAAACTTTTTCTTTAAAAAAGAAGAAGAATTATTATTTACCAAATTCAAAACACCACCAACTACAGACCAAATTGTTTGCACTTCACTTGGAGAAAATCCCAAGGTTGCCATGGCATTTGTGACAGTTTTATAGTCCGATTTATCCACCGTTGTTGCTTTAACATTATTATTGTTCACGTCACAACTTAAATAATTATAGGCACTTGGATTTCGTTGTAGTTGTAACGATTTCAGTTCACTTTCATTGCATCCATTGAGCAACTAGAGACAAAAAAAAAAGTCCTTTCAAAACTTAATTCATAATTCACATTTTTCTTTTTACTAATTTTTTAAAAATATAAGATATAAAATTATTTTTGAAACTATATATTTTATTTTTTAGCATTAATTTATTAATTCACAAACTATTGAAAATAAAATAAATAAATAATTATAATTATTTATTATAAAATAAGTAATTTAAAACATAATAATAAATAATAACAAAAATAATAGGAATTAAATAAAAAAGAGAGAAATTGAAAAATTATATATTTAAAAGAAAAAGTTGTATCTAGATTAATACCTGATAAAAGCAATGAAAATTACGCTCTCCCTTTTGCTGATAAACAACTCGAGATTTTTCGAGAAGATAATTTGTTACATCACCACCAACAGGATCGCCTTTAAAATCGAAATTAATATCCATGTATTTGCCAAATCGAGAGGAATTGTCATTTCTGTTGGTTTTTGCATTGCCAAACGCCTCAAGAATCGAATTCGATTGAATGAGAATATTTTTCACTCTAAATTAGTAGGAAAACAAAAATTATATTCTTTTCTAATATAATATTTTGACAAAAAATTTCCGTACATAATTAATTAAATAAAAAAATATATAATATATTGTTGTTTTAAAAAGAATTAATTTTTTTTTTTATACAATGAAAATAATTTTTTACAATAGGTAAAATTATTATTTTTTCTAGATTAAAATTTAATTAAAAAAAAAGAAATCAAAAAACTGAATTTATTGAAAAAAACTATTCAAAAAAAAAATGGCAAATAAAGTTGATTTGCAATTTATAACAAGAAATAACTTTCATTTTTGTGTTTAATGAATTGGAAACTAATACAATTTTATTTACCGGAAAAGTGCAAGTTTTGAATCGTAAAAATGCGACGTGAAAAAAAAATATTTTCTTTTGTCAAACAAAAATTCATTTTCTTAAAATAAAAATGCTTTGTTTTTAAAATTTTTACTGTAAAATAGATTGTTTTGTAATTTTGTTTCTAAATTAAATTAACTGTATAATTAAATTGCAATTGGATTAAAAGTTGATTATATAAGAGAAAAGAATTTGATGTAGGTATTTAAATTCTCAAACTTTAATTTACGTACGGAATAAAGATAATTGGGTGTATAATTGAATTATAATTAATACTATTATTAGGTAATAATATGTATAACAAGGCTTTGATTACTAATTATTATTATTAATTGGATTTTAATTAACTGTATCAAATAATTAATTGCTAACTAAATAAATTTTAATAAAAAATTTACATTTTCTAAAAATTTAATATAAAGTAATTTAAAATTTTTAAATTTAAATTTCATAATTTCTAAATTAATTTAATTAAAATCTAATAAGCGAAAACTTTCTTCTAATTTTTTTTTTTTTTTTTTTTTTTTTTTTTTGCATATGTAAAATAGAAAATTGATTTAATAATTTTTCATAAAAAAAAAATTAATAAATAAATTAATGATTGTAGATAAAATTGTGTGCTTTTGTTATTTTATGTAGTTATAATAAAAATCAATCTTATTTTACTGGTTTAACAAAAATGAAAGTGAAAATTGGAAATCAAGTAAATAAAGTTATTTTTCTAAAAATTAGAGTTACCTTTCTATTTCCTGCTGGCCACAGACATTAGTAACGGCAGCAATATATTTCATAATAATCTTACTGGCTTCAGTTTTACCAGAACCTGATTCCCCGCTAATTACAATACATGTATCGCGACCCTGTTGTTTCATCTCTCTGTGTACAGCATCCGCGATCGCAAAAATATGAGGCGGATTCTCGAAAAGTTCTCTTCCTAAAGAAATTAAAAATTTTTCCATTTATTATTTTCATAAAATTTATTAAATTAAAATTAGAAATTATATTTATAATTTTAAAATTTTTATATTTAAAAAAAAATTAACTGGAAAAATAGTAAATTAAAAAAAAAAAATCAATAAAATATTTTTGTATTAAAAAAAAAAAATGTATTCCTCTGAATCTAAAATTGAAAATATGAAATTATTTCATGGCTGTTTCGAATTTCAAAAGCGAAATTTCTGAATTAGGTTAATGATTCTTTTGCGAATGTAAAAAAGAAAAGAGAAAATCACTACATTATCTGAGGTCAGTGTAAAATACAGTTTAATGTGCAAAACGATGCTAAGAAGGATTTACCAATGCTATATTATTAAATGACTCATAATACACGAGTAATGACACTCAAAGAGCTACTTAATTCAATGATCTCATCATTCGTTTATGTTTTTTTTGTTATTTTCACTTTTCTTATTTTAGAAGAAGAAAAATCGTCTTTTTAATGAAAAAAAAAATATGTTAATTTAATAGTAAGAATAAAATATAAATGAATTACATTTTTTTCCATTACTTAATAACTAGGAAATGAATAAAAAAAATATATTCAAATTAAATCATCGATGATTCACAATGTGAGATTAATAAATCAATTTTTTTTTTCATGATGCTAAATTCCATTCAAGGAGTTTTTCATGTGAAAGAAAAAAAAAATGAAAAGTATAGAAATCATCTTCGTAATTTTGACTTCATATCTATGACGAAATCAATGTCGCTAATCTTGTTTCAATACGTGTGTCATGCTTGTCAATTGTCATTGACTCATGTGCTATAATTATTGACATAACTAGCATCTCAAAAATATTAACTATTGACATATCATTCCAATTAACGTGCAATGAAATGGAGAACAGAAAAAAAATATCATCAATTTATATGGCTTTTAATATATTATATTGTTTTTAATAATAGAATATAAATTTTTAATTTTAAAACTAAAATATATTTTTTAATTTATAAATTAGTTTTCTTTTTCGTTGTTTTTTTTGTTTTCTTTTTATAAAATATAAATTTGCCATTTTTTTCCTATATATATATATAAATTATTAAATAATATAATATTTAAATTGTTTTTAATAATAATATTTATTATTAAAATTTAAATTATTAAATTTTATAATAAAAAACAATTTTTCTTTGAATATTACAAAAAAAAGTTTGTTTTTATTTTACATAAAAAAATAAAATTTGCATGAAAATTTATAAATTTCCCATTTATAAATAAATGAAAATTTCTTTATTTTAATTAAAATAACTAAATGAAGAAAATTTTTGCACATGATCAGTTTGAAAGTACATCAGCTATATATACCTGATAATTCTGGAATCCATATATGAAAAAGTTGAAATAACTTTTTTGAGAATTAAAAAAATACACATTACCTTTATATTTGTTAACGTAGTCTGCATTGTAGATATTTGAACTCCTGTAAGGATTAACGCTTACACAAACCTCTCCAATGTATGTATAAATTTTGCCACCATTGAATCTGTAATATAGGTAAAACTAACTAATAATGCAACTAAAAAGAAAATTTACCCAAAAAAAAAAAAAAAAAATATTTCAAAATACAAAAGTGGAAAATTAATATAATAATTAAATTAAAATAATAAGTAAATAAAAATGAAAAATTATAAAAGTAACAGTAAATATTGATGGTAATAATATTTTTACAATAATTGTAATTATTATTATTATTATTATTATTATTATTATTATTATTATTATTATTATTATACAATTATAATATAATAATTAATTATTCACGTTTAAAAAAAAAATTAAAAAATTCTATTATTATTAAATTAAATTATTAAATTCATTTATTCATTCCTTTTTTCATTTTTTTTCATTCAAAAATAATAATTATTATTTTATAAAAATTATATTATCATAATATTAATATTCAATTATTTTATTTACCAATAAAAATTACAAATAAAAATTAAATTTTCTTATCAATAATTGCTTATCTACTAGACAATGAATGATAAAATTTTCTAAGAAACCCTATAATCATTATCGTCGCAAGTTTAAAAAAAAAAAAGTGATTATATCTCTCTTGACAATAATGATCATTATGAAATCAAATTGACGTTAATTTTATTCTTTTCTTTTTTTTTCACCTGAAATCGACAAATGATACCGTTCAAGTAACCAAAGATTGCAATTTTACTGATTAGTGAGACCTTGGATTGAAACCTGCTCAAGATAATTATCGTTGGGGATAAGGGAAAGGGGATACATTAGAGGGAGAGACGAATATTATTATTTAACTTAAAAGAATGCAAATTGGTTAACCTATTATATTTAAACGAAAAAAATAAACAATAATAAAAAAAAAACAGTCTCGAGACTAAAATTCATTTCTCACATTCCTTTTATGAAATTAATTTGCATTTATATTTGTGTTTTTTTTTTAAAGGAAAAAAAGGATTATTTAATTATTTAAACTAATTTTGAATATAAAATAAAAATGTATAAAATAAAAAAATGGATTAATAAAAATATATAATTAATAAAATTTTCTAAAGCTATATTATGTTATTCAAAAACAGTTATTTTTAGTTATCAATACTATACACGTATAAAAGATAACACATGTAATTAACACATTTTACAAGTCAAATGCTCTAATACATTTATTATACAAAGAAATTTTTTTTTTTTTTTTAACAGCTAAAAGTATTTACTCTATAAAATACAGTGAAAATGCAATATTTTGATGTCATGCAAACACATGCGAGTTGTAAAAAAATCTCTTGACAGATGTGAATTTTTGAATAAAAAATTTCTTGTAAAAAAATCAATTTTAAGGTTATTTTTCAAAAAAAAAAAAATTCTTTTTGAAGATAACGTTTTTCTTCTTCAAAATTAATGATAAAATTTGACTGTGGTAAGCAATTTAAAAAATGAGTCATCCGTTAACACGCAATGTCTCATCGTTAATAATTATAATTCTAAGCATTTACACATTACATGAATGAAAAACGGGATATACATAAAAAAAAAAAAGCTCTGGAGAAAAGCTTAGCGCAGGTTACTCATAAATTGTATTTTTAGGTCATTCGTAAATATAAACTTGGTGAAAATTAAACCACGCCCTCTGGGCGCTTGACAAAAATTGAATAACAGGTGGTTTATTGTCACCTGTACTCTTAGAAAAAAATGAATTAAAATAAATAACAATTGACAAATTTTTTTTTTTTATAAAACAAAATTATCGAATTAGATAGTTTCGCGTGTTTGTCATTATTATTATTATTATTATTATTATATTCACATACACACAAACAAGAGAGAATTGAAAATTTTTACCTGACTCGTAAATTTTCAACAACTTTCTCGAGGGTGATTTCGTCGAGAAGAACAAAATCCCCGATGCCGACACCCTCTTCAGCAGCCATGGCTTTTTAGATTCTTCGCTCTTCAATTCCAAACATTTATTAGCAACAAACTGAACTTGAGTCACTTTTTTTTTATAACTCTTTACCTCGCGTTTGGCCGCGTGCGGCTGTCAACGGATTGCATTTACTAAGTAACGTTGAATTGTATATACATATATAGACATTGTATGTGTATATATATGTAGACATTGTATATATGTAGCGGATTTTCAGTGACGTAACTATATAGTTTTATAAATGTTTCCTTTCACATAACTGTTAAAAGTAACGCGCCACTATACAGAATAATTTCAAATAACATTTAAGTCATTTAAGAAGAAAAAAACAGAATTTACAATAATAATAATTATTTTATTATTGAATAAATTTTATTATAATTTGAAATTCAAAAGATATTTTTGTCCGGATGGGAAAAAATACGCCACTGTGAGAAAAAATACCAACAGCAGGCTTGCCAATGTTAATTGTTGAATTTATTTTTTTTTGAATTCAAATTAAAGATAAATATTCCCTTATTCTTCTTGGTGATTATGTTAGTGGTGCTAATTTCCAGGAGACGAAATTTTCGAAACATTTTTTGAGACTAAAAATAAATTTGTTTTCTTTTTTCTTATTTTTGTAGTCCGTTATTCGATTGGCAAGATTTTATTATTTAACAATGCCGGGAAATTTGAATTTCTAGTATTTGTTGACCTTTTTTTTTTTTGTTTGAAAAATAATAAATTTAACATTTATATTAAAAGTAATTAGCTTGTTTGCTTGAGAAAACGATGTTAGGTTTACCAAATAAAAACAAATTGAATTCACTTTTGTTTAAAATCAAACATTGAATGTTAATTAGTTTGTGAAAATGAATTCGAATTAAATTTTCAAAATAGAAATTATTGCAAATAAATAAAATCAAACAAAATATTTATATAAATGAAATGAAATTAATAAATATTTAATAATAATAATAAAATAGGGAGAAAAAATTTACAAAACATTTATTTATGAGAAGAAATAAATTAAAAATAAAACAATTTTTGTAAAAAATTTTGTTAAATTACATTAAAAGGAAAAAAGGACAAAAAAAATTAATTAAATCGATTATAAATAATAATTAATGTAAATTAAAAATTTTTTGTTGCTTTTTTTGAAAGAAAAAGAAAATATTTGGATTTTTAAAATTGTTTTTTAATTGAATTTGAAATTACATATACAAAAAATTACTCTCTTTCATAATAATTAATCGGCTTACGCTTTCAAAGCAAATTTTCTTTGAGGGAACGTAGACATCTTTCTGACGGCCTTCAAAGGCTTAAGATTTGCCTGGAAAGGTGTGAGTTTTCTGCGAATAGCTCTTGTTTTCTTTGGCCTCAAGTCCAAAGGCTTGTATTTTTTATTTTTATACAAAAGCCGAAGATTTTCCTTTTGCTTTTGATGCATAACAATATGCACACGAGCAATGGCTTTACGAAGAACTCGGCTAGAATAGAAAGAAAAAAAAAATTATCTTTAATAATATTCAATTTAATAATTATTAAATTTAATTTTATAATTATTTTATTTTTAAAGTTAACTTTTAATTAATTTTGTAATAAATGATATATATAAAAATTCATAGTTTAATAAAATTTACTTTAAAATTATTCAACTTTGTTTAAAATAAATATTTTCCATTGAAACTGTTCTTCTTTTTTTTCAGTAATATTAAAATATTTGAAGAAGATTTTTTATACAAAATAAAAAAATGTGTAAAAAAAGTAATTATTACATTTTTGACAATTTGCTGGCAGATCCTCCGGTCACCTTGGCTACTCTGTGGGACATTAATTCATGTTTGAATTCCTCCAAGAGTTTCTTCAACTCTTTCTTGTCCTTCTTACGAAGTTCGGCGCACTTTGCTTTGACCTGAAAGAAATTATCCTCAAATTATATATATCCTCCATTCATTAAACTATTGCAAAATAAATCCTAAAATATCAAATAAAAATTATCTTGTCAAATTAAAAACAGTTTGTCCTTTTTCTTAATTTGCCCAAAACTACAAATTTTACTAAAAAAAAGAGCTTCAAGCAAACGAGACAATTGAAATAACCTTAAATTGACAAAAAAAAAATAATAATAAAAGTAAATTAACAATCCCAATAGTTGCAAACAAAAATGTAAAAAATTAACAAAAAGTTTTTTTTTAATTTTAAAGAAATATTTTGCAAAAAAATGCCTGAAAATTGAAAATGCATTTTTTATTCTGTCTACAAACGCGTAAAAACGTGACAAAGTGAGGTTAGGCTGTCATTCAGTGAATTATTGTAAAATATCATGTTGCAAACAATTGGAATAAAATAAATTTCTACTATATTTTAATAATAGATATCGATGCATCAAAAATTTAGAAGAATTTCTATATATAATTATAAATAATAGTAAATTATTTCAAGAGTTTTGTCACATACCATTTTGCCAGATTGATGTAAAACACGAAAGAAGGTAAACTCTCGTAACAAGTTGTATGGCACCTTGGGTTAAAAAAATGTTTGTCAATTTTGAAAATTTTCTCATTAATTCACTAGTCAATTGTTAATAATAGTTAATAATTTTTGCAATTTAAAGAAAAATTTATTAAATAATTTTACTATTAGTTAATTTTTCATTTTTTAATTATATTGTAAAGAATATTTTTCAAGGGCATTTTTGATACGCTCCTATAATTGGAAAACGCATGCGCTGTGAATTTTACATGCAGAGTTGTGTAGTTATCGGTGTAAAAAACTGAAACATTTGGGATGTTCCACTGTAATTGCAGATATGAACGTGTCTTAAAATTTTTCGAAATTCACGTCTCATGGTTGCCAGTTTCAAAAAAATCTATTTTACAAAAAAATAATTTATTATTCCAAACAAATGTTTTTCAAAATTATATTTTATTAATTAGGAGTATAAACACTTTTTAAACAGTATAAAACAGATAATTGTGTTTACTTTTTAAGAAAACAAATAATTCAGTTGGCTATTCTGTTTCTGACATCAACTATATTCACACTCTTACGTCATTTTGTATGTTTTGTAGTTTGTAGCAAAAATGCATTTTGGAGTTGTTTATATTTGATATTATTATAAATTTTGTGTTTAAAAATTAAATCACAATGACCAATAAATCGGAAGTTCATACTAATGGAAATGGTAATTTCAAGTATTTCGAAGAAATAAAAAATGTAAAAAATATTCCCCGATTTTGGAGAAGAATTGAATTTAATGAAAAAACTTTTAGTTTAGTTCTCTTCTTTTTTTCTTTAATTATTGTTATCGGCAAAATAGCCACCAATTACGGTAAGTGATTAGCTTTTTTTTTTTGTTTTCAATTTAATTTTAATTGTATTATTTTTTTTATTCTCTTGATTTGCTAGTTTAAAAAAAAACTATTTCTAACCTATATATAATTATATCGTAATATTTATTTAATTTGCAAAAACAAGTTATTTTAGAATTTATTTTTTAATTTGTTACATTTTTAAAATACATAAGTATCAAATATTTCTTTGAAGTAATTTTTTTTTCTTTTTTCTATTTTAGGGTTTTTTTTTTTTATCAATTTTCTTTATCTATTTTTATATGATGTTTACTTTTTTTTTTTTTTGATAATGAATATTTCAAAATTTTGAATTATGATTGTAAAAGAAATCTTTTTAGAATTATTTATTATTTTGAAATATATGTTCCATATGCTAATAACTTTTCGATTTCACGTTGATGAGTCATCAGACTTATTTTGGTATAAAAGGCCTTGCGTCCTAAAAAAATTCTCAATGACTTTATTGATTTTTTTTCTTTTTTTTTTAACTTTTAAATTAATATTATAATTCTTAAAAATAAATGAACATTATTGTTGAATTAATTGTTTTTCTTAATTAATTAATTTAATTTTTTAATTTTTCTATATTAATATTTTTAAAAATATTGTAATTTTATTGAGGGGCAAAAATGTAAAAAAAAAACTTGATTTTTTCAATAATGTAATAAAAATAAATCCATTGTCCATAAAACAGTTTATTAAAAACAGAGGAAATGGATTATTATTATTAGCAAGGGTTTTGTTACAGCCCCTTTGTAACAGGAATTATTATTAGATTTATTTGTAAATCTAATATGTCCTGTTTGACATCTTCAGGATATGTGAACCATTGGCTTATTTCGGACAATGAGAAATTTCACCGAATAGAAGAATTCAATGTAAATCAGAGTTTTTTTGAATTAAACTCGGGAAACATTGAATTAATTGTTAAATATGGATGGATTATAAAAGCAATTCTCAGTGGTTTGGCAACACTATTTATTACTTGGTACATTATTTACATGGACAGCAATATTCCTGGAATTAATCCACCGTCACCTTTTCGAAATTCAAAAACTAGGTAAAAGAAAAATTCCTACAATTTTTATTGTCGTTGATAAAAAAAAAAAAATTGACAAATATTTATTTTATAAAATTGTAAATAACATTTAGAATTATTATTTTTTTAAATGTTGAAAGAATAATTTAAATTTTCTATTACAGATTTAAGAAGGAATTTGAAATTTCAACAAATTATTTCGTGGGAATTTTAAATGGTCTGCTCATTTTTTTCTACATGTGTTTTTAAACATAAAAATTAGGACGTAAAACTAAAAAAAAGAAGGAAAATAAACAACTTCATGTACAAACAATTCATCGATATTTATTATATATATTTATATAAAAAAAAAAAAAAAAAAATGCTTAGTAAGTCATTAAGTAGATGAAAAAAATAATTTTTTTGTTCAAGTATGTTCGTAAAATGTTTATATAAAGTATTTATACGAATATGGTGGTGTGTTATATTCAATGTTTAATAAAGTTTCTGTTTAAGTAAATTATTTTATCATTTTTTTTTTAATTTAACCCATATTTATTTTCATTTTGAAAAAAAAAAAAAATACAAAAATTACCTCGGAATTATTATAAAAAATATTTTTTATGAACAAAAATTTGTTAAAAAAATTTTTATTTTTATATTACATACTTTTATATTTATAATTTTAGAAATGTCAAATTTTTTTCTATTTTAATTTTGTAAAAAATACAAAAATTACCTTGTAATTATTATAAAAACTTCATTTTTTGCGAAAACAAAATTTATTGTATAATTAATTTTATACTTAAAAATAACTTATACAAATAGTATTTGTTGTTAATTTAAAATTTTAATTTTCAAAAAAAAAAAGAAATTGTTTACAGTCTAACCAATATAAACGAGTTCGTTTTTAGATTGGTAAGCCTGACTCATTAGTGACATAACATAACCTCACATTTTTCGTGCGTATAAATAATAATGGAACGAGAAGAAAAAAAAATATTTTAGTCATACAAAAATATTTACTATTTTACTGTATACCAATGCGTATATATATATAATATGTTTATAAAGTGGCAAGCACAATTAAATGAAATGGTGCGCTTAAATTATCAAATGAAATATTTAACGAAAAATAATAAGAGAAATTTTTTTCAATTATCAGACAATAAGACAAGCGCTAAATATAGGTTTTATTTTTAGGTTGGAGCTAGACAAAGTTTAATTCAGTTTTCTGGTCCAAACCAGGTATACTAGGAGGTTCGTAATATTTACAGAATTATGTTATTCCATCTTTTTTTTTTCGCTATAAAGATTTTCGCTCCATGTATCGTTGAATCATCTCCAACGCGCATACGATAAAGTCGTCAAATGTTTTGTTCACAATGTTCGATACAAAAAATAATAGTTTCTTGTATTTTGTAAGTAATTTTCTATATTTACAATTCACTCCCGCCCCCAAACTATTTTATTTAAATAGATTTCTATATTTCAATTTTTGTTTGGTAAAAAATTAAAATTTTTGATACAAAAAAAAAATTATATTTTTACTTTAAAACAAAAGTTATTTATTGTATACAATTTTTTATCATTATTTTAAATTCTTATCATTTTATATATATTTTTTTTTTATCGTGGATTTTTCACATTCCAATGAATCAGTGACAATATTTACAAATTACTAAACATTGAGTTTTATATATATATTTTTTTAATTAAAGAAATGAAATTAAAAGTAACGTGTGAACTAAAGTGAAAAGTAATTATAAAATAATTATTGTAAATTGATATTTTCTTTTAATAATAGATTTTTAAGTTTATAATTACAATTTTTATGTGAATTAATAAAAAAAATATTTATATATTTAGAAAATGGCTAATGAGTTCGCAAGGAGAAGTGACGAGAGACTTTTAGAAATTAGTAAAAAATTGGAGGAAAGGCATTTGTCATATTTGCAATTAGAAGACACTCCTTTAAAATTAGAACAGCGACAAAAACTTGAAGGTATTAATTTTTATTATTGGCATTATTGTAAATTACAAAAGTATCCAGCGGACCTTGAAATCCTTGAAACCTCCTTGGATTTTTTTTTAAACCTTGAAAGCCTTGAAAGGTCCTTAAATTTTTTTTTTTTTTTTGAACCTTGAAATTCCTTGAATTTTAAAACAAAACCTTGAAAATAATAATTGTTACACTGACAATTGAATTATTAATATAGAACTAACAATCTTTCTCTCAATGTTTTCCTCAAACTATTCGTGTTTTAAATTTTTTCCTACAAATTCTTCCTTTTATTTTAAGAATTCTTAAAATTTATTTAATTATTTAATTTTTCAATTCTTAAACTATTAAATGTAAACTAATTTTTTTAAGCAAGTTTAAAAATATATAAAAAAATTTAATATAACAATCAATAAATCAGGGAAAAGTAAGGTAATTTTTTTCTCGTGAAAACCAAACCAAATCTGATTATTAGATTTAACAAATTCAATTTTTTTTTTCCAAAACATTCCTTATATATAATTCAATTATCTGAAAAGCATTTTTCAATTAAAAAATTTTAAAATTCAATTTTTGTCTTTAATTTTTAAAAAATTCTTTAGCAACAGAAATCACCCAAAAAAAAAAAATTCCAATTCAAAATCACTTCAATTCAATTAATTTTAAAAATTTCAATTTAAAACCTTTTAAAATTTAATTATTTCAAAAAATATCAACTGTGACTCTTCAAAAAATTTAATGATTTTAAATGATTTTTTTAATATTCTTTAAAAATTCAATTATTTGAAAGTATTTTTCAATTAAAAACTTTTTAAATTCAATTTTTATTTGTAATTTCTAATAAATTCCATAGCAACAGAAATCAAAAAAAATTTCAATTAAAAATCACATGAAGTTTAATTAATTTCAAAATTAAGAATTTGTAAATCTTTGAAAATTTAATTACTTTTAAAAAATGTTATCAAAAATTATTTGATAAATTATTTTCAATTCTGTAAAATTTAATTATTTTCTGAAATTTAACAAAATCTTTTGAAATTTAATTATTTCCAAAAAAAAAAAAATAACTTTCAAAGTTCAATTATCATAAATAATTTTAATATTTCAATAAAAATTCAATTATTTAAAAAAGTTTCAAATAAAAACTCTAAAATTGAATTGTTTTCAAAATTTTTTTTTCAGAAATTTGTTCTAAATAATTAAAATTGAGGAATTAATAAAATGAATTTAATATCTAATTACATTAGTTATTTAAAGTAAAAAAGTAAATTTAATTAAAATTAAAAAAAATTGACTTTTTTTGGAATGTAAATCGACTAAAACGACTTTTTTTTGCGCCTTAAAGTCGATCCGAGGCTTGTAAATACAAAATTTTTCCTTAGGTTCTACGTCAAAAGTGGAGCTTTAAAAAAGTTATTTTAGACCTTGAAAAACGTTGAAAAGTCGTTTTTTTTTAATTGCTCTACACCTTGATTACAATTAATAATTTTTATCTGAAAATTTGTTTTTTTATCTTTCATTTACAGATATTATTAAGAAGTATTTATGCCTGGTGCAAAATGAAAGGAAATATTATTTTCCATCGACTGCAGAAATTTTTCATAGATCTGCAGCGACTGTAGAAAATTTCAGTGGCTACAGAGCTTGTACAGCATGGAGTGCAATTTCTTTATATGCCGCTAATCTTCTCGCTCAACCTTGGCGAAGGGAATACAGAACATTAAGAGTAAGTAATTTCGTTTAAATTGAAATTAATACAAATTATCGATATATTTTTTTTATTGTTTTTGTAAAACTAATTTTACTACTATTTTATTTAATAAAATTGTTCCATTTAATTATTTTTTAATTTTCAAAAAAATATTGTTTTATTCTTATTAATGGTTAGAAAAAAAAATTTTTTTCTTTTTGTAGACTTACAGTGGATATTACAAACATGAGGTGGAAGCAAATTTAATCGGAGCTGAAATGATGTTTGAATTAATGGGATATAAACACAGTGGCCTAGGAGTTTTAACACTTGAGGGTCCCATTGATCCTGATAAAGTTTCATTTGTCAGCCGAGACGCAATTGTTGCCTCTGTTGAGTGTCAGGTAAAAAAAAATTTACTCTTGTAAAATTTTTCACTCTTAATAACTTTTATGAAATTTGATAATTTTAATTCTTAGTCTTTTGAAAATAAATTATTTAAAATTTTTAATATTCTTCAAAAATTCAATTATTTCAAAGGAAATATTAAAAACAGAAATTAAACAGAAATCACTAAAAAAATAACTTAAAGTTCAATTATTTTTAAAAATCTAAATTACTAATCTTCGAAAATTCAATTATTTATTTGCCTTAAAGTCTATCCGAGGTCAGAAAATATTTTAAAATTAAATTATTTCTAAAAATTTCAACTTTATCTGTTCCAAAATTCAATTATTTAAAAAAAAAATTTTTTCTAAAAATCTCTAAAATTGAATTATTGTCAGAAATTAAAAGAAAACAACATTTTTTAAATAACCAACAGACAATTACGTTTTATTCACCTTTTTCATAATTAAAATTCATAAACGTAAAAAATTTATCTATTAAAAAATTAATTTTCTTTCCCCCCCCCCCCCTCTCTTAGATATTGAAGGAAATTTGGGAAGGCGTCTCAAAGAATTTCACAATAACATGGCTTGAAATATTGGAATTTCGTGAAAATCAGGTTGGTACACCGGAACAGGCAATTCGCGCTTTAAATTATCGTTTTCATGAGAAATTACGTCACAGTCAATCAAAGCCACACGAGTCATATTTGAATTATCAACATTTTTCATCGCCACCCACCGATATAATATCGCCATCATTACAATATCCATTGTCAGTGAATAATTACAATAATAGTACATCAATAACGTGCGCTCCTGAATATTCTTATTTAAATGAAGGACCAACATTTGGCAATTATCGTCTTTGCCTTGAGAATTATGGTAATCAATGTAATACATATGGTTATCGAAATACAAAACACTATGGTGTTCCTTATCATTCAACAATGCCAACTAGTTGCACATCACGTGTACCAACTGGTTGTTTAATTGAACTCGATCCACCGTTACATTCAATAAAACACAAAAATTTTGTCGATGAAGTTGATTTTTGTCCACAGCAACGACAAATTATGATTGCCAATGAGAGGGAAAATCGTAAATCAAGTACACCGTCGTCAAATACAGAAAATTGGGAATATGTCTACGATGGCCTTCGAAGTAGTGGCTACTCCAAGGATCTTGGTGATCGCGATGATATTCTTTGTAAAACAACACGAATTCCCAATGTTAAACATCATCGTCAATCATCGAAATTCGATCAATTTGACGATAAACTTCTCAAGCAATCCGAAAAACGTAAAATGACAAGATCACAAAATGAATTAGAAAGTTTTGCCAATACAACATCGCGTTTAAATCAACATCAACAGCAGCAGCAGCAGCAACATCATCATCATCATTCTCATCATGATTATATAAGTCACAAGAAAAAATCATCTTTTGACTCAGCCGATTTGAAATCGTATTCGAATTTTTATTTAGACAAACAACTCGAGGAGAAGAGTCGTAAAAATTGTCAAACAATGCCAAATTTGAATATTTTTCAAACAACACCGACGACGACGACGACGACGACGACGACGACGACGACAAAGGAAACAAATGAACAAATTTCACAATATTTGAAAGATTTAAAAATTGATCATCATCAGGACAATAATAAGCAAATTGAACAACGATGGCAATGTTCGTGGTGTACATTTTTAAATTTGCCACAACTTTCTATTTGTGAAATGTGTCAAAAATCGAGGCACAAAGGAAATGAGGATGTTCCACTTGCAAGTGGTGGTAAAGAGTGTCCAAAATGTACTTTGGTTAATGAAAAAGACGTTTTACAATGCACCGCTTGTTATGAAGACTTGACAAATTCTCCCACTTATATTTAAAAAAAAAAATACAAAATATTAATATAGTTTATTCACCTTTTATTTTTCGTTCAAGCACAAATTTGTTCTTTCGACAATATTTGCTGGAAATTGAAAAGATTTGATAAAAAAAAAAAAAAAAATTGGAGCGCACGATTGTCCCATTAAAATTATTAATTAGAATTTTCAATTTAAAGAATTTTATTAATTAATTTATTAATTAATATATTAATTATTTTTTAGATTAATTTTTATTTTTTGAATTAGCATTTGACAAAATGTCTTTTTACACTCATTTTTATTTAACAAAATTTTTAGCTGCCAAACTATTTTGTTTTGCAGAATTTTTATTTTCTAGTCATTTAACAGAATTCTCATTTAATCGAATTTTATGTGATTCGAAATTTTAAATGACAAAAATTTCAATTCAATGAATTTTAATTTGTCCGAATTTTTAATTGATAGAATTTTTAAGATGACGAATTTTTATTTGTCCGAAATTACAAATGACCGAACAAAGAAATCGACAAAAAGATTTTGGCGCAATTTTTTAAAATTTATTAATTATTGAAAATAATTAAAATAAATTAAATAAATTATCAAAAACATCGTGATTAGGCAATTTTAAAAATTTGCACTGAAATTTTTCTGTCTATTGTTTGTTCGGACAAAATAAAATTCGGTGTCTTAAAAATTTTATCAATTAAAAATTCGTACAAATAAAAATTCAGTGCAGTGGAATTTCTGTCATTTAAAAATTCAAATCATGTAAAATTCAATAGAATGAGAATTTTGCTAAATTAAAATTCTCTTAAATAAAAAATCATCTAAATTAAATGACTGTCAAATAAAAATTTTGCCAAATAAAAATTCGGTAGCTAAAAACTTTGTTATGTTAAAATTCGTATAAAAAGAAAATCTGTCAAATTTTAATTCGAAAATTCAAAATCCGTCTGAAACATAATTACTTCTAAAAAAAAATACTTCAAAATAAAAATTCTAATTAATGATTTTTATGGGAAATTCATGCGCCTCTAAAAATTTTCTTCAACAATTATTATTATTATTATTATTATTATTTTTAAAAATTATAAAAATTTCTTTGTTATGTTATTGTTGTAAAAAAATAAACTATTATCGAACAGAATAATTCAAACACAACTAAAATAGATTTTGTATTTTCAATTTTTTACAATAATAATAACAATAAAAATAATAAATACTAGTAATAATAATAATAATAATAACCATAATAATAAATATTCAAAGAAACAAAAATGAATTTTGTGTGACAAAAAAAATACCACAATTTTTAATTTCTTCTTAATCTTTTCTTTTTCCAGAAACAAATTTTTTTTTAACAACAATTGTCGAATTTAGCAAAAATTTTCATTAAAAATGAAAATTAAAATAAGATTTTTGAAAAAAAAGAGTTTTTGAGTAATTTTTGGACTAAGTTTTTTTTTTTGTAATGCAGCGTAACGAGTGTGATAAAAAAAAGAATAACCTTCGCCATGAGAAATATATGTAGTAGCTTTGAAAAGTGTGAAAAAAATTTTTTGTTAAATTTTGTGAGAGAAAAATTTTATTTTTTTAAAAAAATTATTGAACCGCTCTTTTATTGGTTATACGTTAAATATTTTAATGACGAAGAATATTGAAAAAAAATAATTGAGAAATCATGATCTTCGATTGATGAAATTGCGTATACAATTGAAATGTGATAGACATTTTTGAGAAAACAAAATAAAAAATATATAAATATACAAAAAAATAGTATAAAAAAAAAAGAATTAACAGTATTTGTGTGAACGACTTTGTTATTTCTCAATGAAAAAAAGAGTCTTCAGTCCTAAAAAAAAAAATTGGGAAGCAATATATTAATAAAAGTAAAGAAAAAATGAAAGAAAAGAGTATTACATGTACGAATCGAAAGATTCATTTAGGATTAAAAAAAAAATGTGTGCAATGCTAACAGTGTTTTTTGATATTAAAAAAAAAAAAAACTGTTCAAATGTTAAATAATTCGATGTGTTTTCCATTTTAAAAATAATGTTCTCGAGAAAAAAGTCTAAAAAAAATGTGAGTTTAAAAAATTTGTTGAAAGACAATAGTTTTCTGGCACTAAAAAATGGAAAGAATATATTATTATAGAATTATATATAATATAGAAGAATTTTAAAGAATGTATGAGATTTTTAACTCTTTATACTGTTGATATAACAAAAGAAAAACTGAGTGTAATATTTAATGAGTTGAAATTGAAAATATTGTTAGTGTGTAATAAGTGATTATATTGAGAATATTTATCCGCTTTCACCTTCGTTCTTTAAAAAAAAAAAAGAGAACTCTTTATTATTTTTGAGCAACTCTTATGATATTACTAAATATATTAATAATATTAGATAAGATGATGAATGTTTGCAATTTTAAAGAGAAAAAAGAAAAAAAAGAGAGAGTGATTATTGAGTGAGTTTTTATTGTTGATTGATCGCATTTTATAAAAAGACCAAAGGTCGATAGTTTTCTTCTTTTTTTTTATTCTAATGTCATTATTTTTTAATACTGTGTTCACAGTTTGATTTCAATGTTAATAATTTAACTGATCTTCCACACAATTGATCTTTTCATTTAAAAAAAGAAAATCCCTTCTTTTTTTTTTTATTTTATCGATAATGTTCAAATCCAAAAAAACAAAATTATCTATAAGTTTCAAAAAGTTAGTATTTTTATTTTTAAAAAATTTAGAGATTAAAGAAATTTTAATATAACTAAATTGAATTAGGTATAATGATTAATTTCTATAAATTTATTTGAACTTTGAAAAATTTTATTAATTCATTAACAAAAAAAGTTTTTAAAACTTTCGAGAACTTAATTAAAACGGTAATTAAAATAATTAAATAATATTTAAAATTCAATTAAAATTTACACATTGTTTTTAACATTGGATCTAATTTTCATAACCCTTTCCAGTAATTTTACAGCGGCACGATGTATCTTTGAATCCAGTTTATCTGCAACAAGAAGAAAAATTTGATAACTTTAGTTAAATAAAAATTAAATAATGATTACAAAATAGTATACTAATAATTAGTAAAATAAAATTAATTACAAATTCCAACTTATTGAAATTAGAGTTAAAAAATAATCCTATTTGATTATAATAAAAAATTGTCCCTTTTTAAATTATTTTAATATTGATGATAATTTTTTTCACATTCGTTTTCTGTTTTTACGTTAGATTTTAATTTTTTTTTTTTTTACTAACAAATTTTGTGTTTTCCTTGCATTGGAAATTTAATTGGAAGCTGATAAAAGTCTTCGCAAATGAAAACATATGGACAGTCACTCTCGCCTTCTGGATAAATTTTTCGATATTCTTCTTGTGATAAAACATCCGTCACTGTGACACAGCCTAATAAACATCCTGTGGGATAACTTTCAGGAAACGTGATATTCTCTGAAAAAATTAATTTTATTTCCAAAATATAAAAAATAATAATTTATAATTATCTTTTAAAGATATAATATTTAAACATATTTGTTATTATAGAACAAAATTTTTTTTTATTTATATTATAATAATAAATAAAAATAGTTTATTAGTCGTTTTTAGTTAACGTTTTATATTAAAAATAAGATTTTTTAAAGACGTACAATTTTACGTACCATTTTTCAAAATTCTATATTGTTGTTCCAAGGAAGAAATTTCTTCACTACTTGGAACTTTGGATGCTGCAGCAATCCATAATCTTCCTCGATGCGATGAATACCAAGTACGACCTTCGTGACTGTAATATACCAATTTTTAAAAATTGTAATTTTTATAGCATTAGTTAATATTAATTCAATAATAATAATTATGATATTATTGAATATTTACATTTTTATTCCTTCAACGAGAAGAGAGGCATAAGGTTGATGCATACTTAAACAATATCCTTCGTCTGACATTTCTAAATATTCTTTATCTTGTATTCGTGATTTATCGTTAACAGTTGTTTTTTTAACTTCGCGTGGCCATAAATTTAATTCCACATACTGCAAAAAAGTAAATAAAAAATTAAATATTTTAATTTTCTTTAAAACTGATTTTTTTTTTAATTAAATCAAATTTCTCTTTATGTAATGTTTTATAAAAGTTAATTTCTAAATATAGTTATTTTCATAAATATGTAGTTAAATGATAAACTTAATAAAAACTTAGAAAAATATTGATTTTTTTTTTATTAAAGACTTTGACTTACAGTTGGTCGTTCAAATTCCATTGTTCGATATGTGTTACTACTTGAAAATTCATTATTATCCATAAAATCATCGATTTCCGTTTCTTCAATATGTGTATCCTCATCAACAATTTCTCTACCTGCAAAATCCAAAGTCACCTTTCGATCTAATCGAGATTTATGTTTTTGAGCTTGAATTTCGTCCTCGCGCTTTTTTAATCGTTCCTTCTCAGTTTTTGATAGCCAAACACTATTCGATTGGTAATAATCACTTTCATCATCAATCACTTTTGTTCTTTGTGCACTGTAAAAATCAATTTTATTAAATTAACGAAAAAAAATTTACACGTTAACGAATTTTTGATTTTTGTTAATTTTACTTTTTGTTTTTTTTTTGTCAAAGAAATTGTAATTATTTTTTTTTTTTAATAATTGGGAAAAAAATTGAATTATCAAAATGTTTATTCACCTATTTCTATCGAATTCAAGAAGTCTATTTCTCTGCTTTACTGATTCCTCGTAACCTTTTGGTTTCTTATCCATTAGTTGATTGTATAAATTGTCTGCATGTCTTGAATTACCAGCAAGAATTTGTTGTTGTTCAGGCGAACAAACTAATTCACCGCAAAAAAAACAGGGACCAGCGCCTTCTTGATTGCAAACTATTCTTCCGCAATTAAGACAATTATTTATAAGTGAATGTTGCTTCCCTTCACAATCACATTTATATCGTCCTAGTTAAATAAATAAAATAATATTCAATAACAGTAATTAAATTAATGAACAATAATAAAAATATTCAAATAAAAAATCTGTTCTGTTCATTAAAAAATTGGTAAAATTAAAATTTTATTTATTTTTTTTTTTTTTTGGAAGAAAATATTCTCGTATAATATTAAAAAAAAAAAAGAACAAGATTAATAGAATATTTTACCTTTAAGTAAGATAGATCTATCACGACCATCTTCTGCATAAAGATTAACGAACTTAATTTTTTTCTTCTCCACTTTTTCGGGTTTCACAACATCCTGTAAATTGGATGCAAACTTTTATTATTTTACATTTTGTTTAAAAAAAAAATTTTTTTAAATAATTCAAAAAATATAACGAACCATTGAAGAATCTCTTAATTTAATTTTTCCCTTTTTCTTCTCATTGGCAGGTTTTAAATTTGACTCTTCATTTGAAGTTGATTTTTTGTATCCAATTAATTCTTTGGAAGCTAAAAGTTTTAAAATAATTTAATAATTCTTATTGAATTAAATAGAAATTAAATAACATTTCGTTTATAAAAAAAATACAATAATAACAATTATTATTATTATTATTTAAATAATCACCTTTTCGTTTTTTTAGGTCGGAAATAAACTGCTTATGTTTAGGATTATCGTAATCCAACAGAGTTCGTAAATATTCGTCCAAATCTCTTTCATTTTCAATGGATAAAATGTATCTGTAAATTTTAAAAACTTTAACATCACAGCAAATTTACTTTAAAGTAACTGAAAATTTTTATTATATTAGTTTTACTTATTTTTAATTAAAATACAAATTATTGTTTTCGGCAAAAAAAATGGAATAGCGAATTTAAAGCATTATAATATATTATATACAATAATTAAATATGAATAATATAATATAAAATCATTTTTTTTTTACGAAAATTCCAAAACTTACTCTGTTAAATCATCGGGAACTGGAAAATCTAAAAGAGTTGACAAATTTTCATGTAACCACTGAAACATATTTGTAAATTTCTGTGACACTGTTAAATGACACTAATCACTGTTAATTAAATTGTGACACTAATTATATACTTGTAATTTAATTAAAATAAATTATTAATTTATATACTAATGTCAACATAACCTTTAAACAAATGTCATAATAAATCACAAAAACAATTATTTGCACAAAATTCTTCAGATTTTACACGAAATTTTTTTATCACAGTTTTTCTAATTAATGGTGAATTTTAAGTGTATTATGAATTGTTTAAATAATATTTTAAAAAAATATGTAAAACTTTTTTTTTTAATAAAACAAAAATATATTTGAATGCACTGGAGACTCCGAAATATAAAATAGGGTTGGGAAACATAAAGACGTAAAGGTGTGTGACCACAGTTCAAAAGAGTAAAATTTGTCCAATTGCAAGCCAATCATAATTGAAGTTACATGGGAAATAATGATTATTTTGGTAATTCCCAATTTAAAAATTCAAATTCAAAAGAGAATTTTTTATTTTTATTATTTTTAAATGCAAATTTAAATTTATAAATTAACTATTATTCACATTTACTTTCTATTAAATATTTCTATTATATTAATCTTCAATTTTTTCATTTCTATTTTGTATATTAATTTTATCAGGTCTAAAATTTAATATTACAATTTTTGTTAATTTATTCTTTTTCAAATTTAATTTTTTTTTTTAAATTATATAAGAAATTAAAAAATTTTTTTAACTTTTTTCTATTAATTATTTCATAAATTTTTTTTAATAATTAATCTTCAATTTTTAAATTTTCATTTAATATTAAATATTTAATCATTTCTAAAGCATAAAAACTTCTTTTATCAAAGCAAATATCAAGTTTTGAAAGAATATTCTTTTAAAAAATAAATAATTTTCCCATTATAGGAACAAAATGAACTTTTACAGAGTTTTTTCAAATTCATTAGAAAAAAAAGACAATTTATGCTTGAACAAAAAATAATTGTAAATAGATTGTTTTTTTTTAAGTAAATTTTTAATTATATTTTTCATAGTAATATAAATTTGCTAAAAATTACTTAATAATACCTAAAAATGAAGTTATTTTTTCGAAAAGAAAAAATTATTTTCAATAATTCATATTGACGCACAACAAATTTTTTTCCACATGAACACTATAAAAAATGTTGCTACAAATATATATCAATATGATAAATGTATTTCCATTTACACTATATGGTTTTTTTTTCTTGCTTTCTTTTCTTTTTTTTATTCATTAAAGCGACACAATATAATTTTTTTCTCGACACTCAAGTTTTGTAAAATTATGCAATAAATTTGTGATGCAATCTGTGCTCCTTTAAACATGGCATTGAGCAAAATTGATTGGCATTATATTCAAAGGACGATTGTATTCGAATATCATTTCCACATTGAAAACATTGCAATGTACATTTATTTCCTTGTCGCTGTTGTATTCTTCTTTCGGCAGCCAAAGCTCTCTACAAAAAAAAAAGAAATTATTCTCGTGTCTACTTATTTTTCTAAATTAAATAATTTTTAATTAAAATAGAATTGGGAAAAATTAAAAATTTATACCTTTTCCCTATCGCTGAGATTAAGAAATTCTTGTTTTGCAGCTTCCGCTTGTTTTTTAATTTCAAACTCCTTTCGTTTCTCTTTCTTTTTATCGCGTTTCAATTTTCTCTGCTGTTTTCTTTTTTCCAATTCTTGTGTTTCAATATCATCATTAAGTGGTCCAGGAATTTGAGACTAAATAAGAGAAAATTAATCCTTGTTTTCATTTTATTTAAATATTTATCAAAAAAAAAAAAAATTAATTTACCTTACTGTAATTGAACTTTTCAGGATTTATACTTAAATATCTTCTAAATGTATTTCTAATTTCCTTATCACTTGAAATTACATATGGAGTTTGTAATTTTTTATTTTTATTACAAGGATCAGAACCTATATCCATTAAAATCCTGTAAAAAAAAATGTCTTATAAATTCAAAAAGAAAAAATTAATAAACATTTTTATAAAAAATATTTATTTTACCAAACGCTCTTTAGATTTCCACTTATTGCCGCTAAATGCAATAATGTATTTCCATCTTCATCCGAATCATTTACTATTTTTAATACATCATCTTTTCCAATTACACTCGATTTATTATTTTTATTTTCTTCATTATTCTCTTCATTATTACAATTTTGTACAATAGACAAAAAATCTTCTAAAATTGTCATTAATGCTTCAAAATCTCTCGATTTAAATGTTGACCATAATTTTAGTTTTGTTGTTAGGAATAAACTAGTTGGCAATTGTTCTAAAATATTACAAAAAAAAAACAATTTTATTAGTCAATTTAATTAACCTTCGCCGGACTGGATACTTTTTATATACACGGTTGACAAGATCCCACCCAGGGTGGGCCAAATGTTTTCTTCTTTGTATATTGCAATAAAAACTTAGAATCATTCAGTTTTTTTCCAAAATTGTTATATGTTACCAAATAATATATTTTATTAATGTTTTGTTGATTTTTTATTTGTTTAAACAATTTATTATTAATAATTTATAACTTTTTCAAATATACATATGACAGTAGAAGAATTTTATAAATTTGTTACCTTTTCTTCGTAGTTATTAATTCAAAGGTTATAAATAAAATAAAATATATAATTCAATCTGCAACAACTATTATTATAAATTGTTTAAACAAATAATTGTTGCTATTTATTAACATTCTTCATAATATTGCTAGAAAATTGCAATTTTTTTCTAATTTTGCAACTTAACAAGCACAACATAATAACACAAAGATTTTATATGAATTTACTATTTAACCAATTGTTTAAACAAATAATTGTTGCTATTTATTAACTTTCTTTATAATGTTCCAAGAAAGTTGCAATTTTTTTCTAATTTTGCAACTTAACAAGCTCAACATAATAAACATGAAGATTTTATATGAATTTAGTATTCAAACGATTGTTTAAACAATTTATTGTTGTTATTTATTAACTTTATTTGTTTAAACAATTGTTGAATTAATAATTTTACTTCTAATCTATCTTTTATTATATTCGGCTTGATAAATTGCAAAATTAGAAAAAAACTGCATCTTTCTAGGAGCAGAACAAAAAAAGTTAGTAAATAATAACAATAATTGTTTAAACAATTGTTGAATTAATAATTTTACATCAAATCTATCTTTTATTATATTCCGCTTGATAAATTGCAAAATTAGAAAAAAACTGCATCTTTCTAGGTACAGAACAAAGAAAGTTAATAAATAATAACAATAAATTGTTTAAACAAATGAAAAATGCAATATAATATTTTTTATATCTATTATTTGACATCATAAAACACTCATAGTGAAAAGTCTGCATGATTTCAAGTCTTTTTGTAAAATAGAATTAAAAAAATATCTGAATCATCCCGGTTATATCCGTACATACATTGATAAAAGTTATAAATAATCAAGAAGAAATTTTTTTTAAAAATTTGTTTTTACATTTTTTGAAAGTTCTTAAGATTTTGTTCAGTGACTTAAAATTGCGATTCAATTAAGGCAAAACTTTAGAAGATATGGCAATTTCAATTTGTCTGGCCCACCCTGGGTGGGCATCTTGTCAAGCGAAGGTTAATAATAGTAACAATAATAGTAATAACAATAATAATTTAGAAATACCTTCGCTGCGTTCTTTTCTTGTTTTTCTCTTTTGTTGACGCATTTTTTTATTTTTCAAATATCTCGGAACGGTGTCTTGGAATGCTTGTAAATTTTCTTCAAAATCAATTTTCAAATCTTCGGCAGTTAAATGGAAATTAATGTTATTTGAAGAATTTTCCTGACAGCCATAATCTGATTCGGATGATGAACGTGCCAATCTAGCTACTATATCTATAGAAAAAAAAAGAAGAAAATTTTACACTTTATATAAAAAATAATTATAAAAAATAAATTACAAGAAAAATTTATCTTTACCTGGCAGTGGTCGTCGGGGACTTTTTCTTGGTTTTGATCTATCAATTTGCATTCGTGTTGAGACTCGCGCCTGTCTTTCTTCTTTCTTTTTATCATCCGAAGGACTACTTACGCTACTTACACTACTGTCATCATTTTTTGCAACTGTTCCATTTTTACTTTCATCGTCCATTGACACAATTTTCCACGATTTTTTCCTCAATGGCTGACGCGGTGAAATTGGAAAACAATCGGCAAAATCCGCCGCTGAACCTGTAAATAATTATTTTTCATTAATAGAAAATTTGACAAATTTTTGATGTGAAATAAATGGAAAATTTTTAATTCAGAAAAAAAAATTATGTATACATTTGAAATAAAATATTTTTTTTTGAATAATGATATTAATATACCATATATTTCCATTGTGCTAAGAATATCGTAAACCCGTTGAACTTCACTGAAAGTCGCTCGTCTTGTAGGAAATGGCAGTGGTCGTAGTTTTGGATCATTTTTATCAAGTGGAGGATTTTTTCCCCCAAAAAGAACACTTCGATTGTAAGGCCCCACGGCTCTGAATAAAATCAAAGACGAATTATTGATGTGCGTTGTCCATGATTCCAGTATATCCTGTACATGCTAAAAAAATAAAATAAAATTCACTGTTAATTGGCGTAAAAATTTACAATTTATAAATTATAATATTAGGAAAAAAAAAATTAGTATAAAAAATTATTAGAATTCTTTTTATTCTCGATTATCACCTGAATAAAGGCAGCTTCATTATAACGTCGAAGACTTGCTCCGGCACTTTTTGTATGACCAAATAAGCGACCATCTCGATTATTTTGAGATGTTCCCTGTCGTGCTCTAACAACATAACTGTGAAAAGTTTTGTGCACAACAGCCTCGCCACCTTTTTGTCAAAAAGAATTTTCTTTTTTTTAGGAAATATTACATTTTACCTCCCATTAGATTTTAAATGACGATGAAATTTTTAAATTTTAATAATAATAATAATAATAATAATACATACATACCTATAAATACTGCAGCGGCAAAATGTCCACCTCCAAGCATTATTACAGTCCAAGTTGATTTCTTTCCACTTTCCATGGCTTGTGCAATCATTTCATTATCAATTTCCGGAATTTCCTATAATAACAAAAAAAAATCTCTATTTAATTGAAAAATTTTCAAATAAAACTGTTAAAATAAATTTTGATTGAAGTAAATTTTGAAAAATTCAGATTTAAATTTACTATTATATTTAAATTAAAATGTAGATTTGAAATATTTAATTAAAATTAAAATTAAATTAAATTAGACTCGAAAAGAATGGGTTTTTCACCTATGTAAAATTAAGAAAATTAATCTTGAAATTAAAATCAAAATATATAATCATCTTGTAGTTTTGTTCTTCGGAATAAAAAAAAACTATTAAAGTCGACCAACTTCTCAAAATTATTATTTATTTCAATAATTCAATTTAAAAAACGGTATTTCTGAAAATAAAAGAAAAGAAAAAATAAAAATTATTAGAATAGTTGAAATAAAAGGAAAAACCACTGAAATAACAAAAAAAAAAACCTGTTTTTATAAAATTTATTTAAACAGTATTTCTTTAAACATAAAATTCCAATGTAAAGTAAAATTGTCTAATTTCTATTTTTTATTCTTTTTTGATTCACAGTTTTCATCTTTATTATATTTTATCGTTTTAATATTCAAATTTCAATTTTATTTCTTTTTCTATTTATTCTTTTAAATTAAATGAATTGTTTATTTTATTCGAAAATTCAAAATCTCAACTCGTCAGTAAATTCAATTAAAATCAATATTAAAGTTAAAAATTATATTATTCTAAGCAAAAAAAAAATGTAACAGTAAAATATTTTTAAAAAAATATAAATACCTTTTTGTTATGTAATAAACATCGATAGATACTGAAAATATTGCCCTCGTCATTTTCAAAAAAAACTTTGGCATGTCTGCTTGCTGTGGCTAGAAGAGAATTTTCTTTCTTTTCACACGAGCCAGATGACACGGGAGTGTTTTTCCCACCCGTTTCCGAGGTACCAGTGTCATCTTCATTCTCCGATTCCTGTTCAGAGCCAGATATACTCGAAACATCATCTAGGAATAATTAATTATTTTTTAATAAATAAATATTTCAATATTAAAAAAAAAACAACGAAAAATTATACGAATTAGAATAAAAATCAAATTTTTTTAATTTTTAGAAATAATCAATATTAATCAAAACCTTTTTCAGCAAGAAGACTAAATCCATCTTCAGTAATTGATTTAAGACCATTTAATCGTTGTTTTAAATTATAACGATGCCAATCTAATTTATAATGAAGTCGTTGTTGAGATTGATCCTCAAAAACGGTGTTACAAAATGAACAACTTAAAGAATCCGATATTACTAAATCATCTAATAAACTCAATGGATTCTTTGACTCTGAAACTACAAAAACAAGCGCATTATTATTTAAAAATATTAAATTTCATACTATATTTAATAGAAATATATCTGTTATTGAAATATCAAAGTATAATAAAAATTTAATACATATATATGATGTATTCCACGCCAAAGTGTAAGTCCATCAGCAATTGCATCTCCGATTTTTTTTTCTTTTAGTATACTAATTGAGACTAGCTTCCATGAATTTTTTCAAATTTTTTTAGCAAGCCGTTTTCGAGTTATGAAATTTTGAAAATTGGAGAATTTTCATGACTTTTAATTTTTAAATCCTCATAACTTCCTTAAAAATGCATCAATTTTAAAAGTCTTTTTTTTTCAAAATGTGTATTTTTAAACAAAAAATAGAAAATTTTTTTTAAACGATATTACTATCAAATTTTTGAGTTTTAATGATAAAAAATCATTTTTCTCATTTGACGTACTGATCAATTTTTTTCAAAATTTTTTCAAAAAAACTACTTCTTTTTACGGAACTTTTAAGCAAACGCATTTTTACAATATTTTCGAAATTTTTCAAAAATTTTTGAATTTTGAATTTTTTAAAAATATTTTTGGTTTTTTTTATACTACGTACTTTTATGTATTTTGATGCGCTGATTACGAAAATCATAGTGACAATACCTAAAAATTTTGATTTTTATGGTGAAAATCATAAAAAAGTCCCAAAATTTATGGTTTTTTTCGTTTATTGGGTAAAATATGCAAAATTAAAAAAAATGCATAAGATGAAAAAATGTATTTTAATAGGATCTATAACTTTTGTTTGAAAGTTTTTTTTTTTAATTTTGCATATTTTACCCAATAAACGAAAAAAACCATAAATTTTGGGACTTTTTTATGGTTTTCACCATAAAAATCAAAATTTTTAGGTATTGTCACTATGATTTTCATAATCAGCGCATCAAAATTCATAACAGTACGTAGTATAAAAAAAACCAAAAATATTTTTAAAAAATTCAAAATTCAAAAATTTTTGAAAAATTTCGAAAATATTGTAAAAATTGTTTGCTCATTATCGGGCTAGGCTTAAAAGTTCCGTAAAAAGAAGTTGTTTTTTTGCAAAAATTTTGAAAAAAATTGATCAGTACGTCAAATGAGAAAAATGATTTTTTATCATTAAAACTCAAAAATTTGATAGTAATATCGTTTAAAATAAATTTTCGATTTTTTGTTTAAAAATACACTTTTTGAAAAAAAAGACTTTTAAAATTGATGCATTTTTAAGGAAGTTATGAGGATTTAAAAATTAAAAGTCATGAAAATTCTTCAATTTTCAAAATTCTATAACTCGAAAACGGCTTGCTAAAAAAATTTGAAAAAATCCATGGAAGCTATGTCTCAATTAGTACTAAAAGAAAAAAAAATCGGAGATGCAATTGCAGATGGACTTACACTTTGGCGTGGAATACATCATATATTATCCGGAGGTAAAATGATATATATTTATTTCAATATGTGTGTGAAATTTCAATGTCACCTATATACATGCAAGCGATCGTTTACAATAAAGTAATAAACACAATTTGTTTTGTGAAAACTAGACAAAAAATAAATTCGAAAAACTCACCTGATGATTTAATTCTCATACATTGAGCCACTTTGATCCCTTTGGTTATTTTTTTGAAATCTTCTTCATTGTAAATCTTAATCGATTGATTATCCATAATTATATATATATATATTATTTCTTCGTAAAATTTTTTTTCCGTAAATATATAATATTACAAACTTTAAACTTTTGTAAACTCTTCAGATACAAAGCTTTTTGAAATATTTATAGTATATATAAATATAAATATATATACAGTAAAAAAATATATAAACTAAAAAGTATAAAGTAATAAACTAATGTTTACTACAAAATAATTTAACTACAATAAAAAGTAGGCGGAAAATACTTATTTCATGCTTGATAAGTAACCAAACTGCTGTGGTCGCTATATACACAGCTTATAATTTGTGAACTGTATATATTTGATATGTGCAATAAATTACATCATTCCTGGCTATTCTTTCCAAAAAACATGCAATCTTTCATTTAGAAGAATATAGTTTTTGTTAACATATAATAGAAAACACCAGGTGTTTTCTGATTTTTGCATGTTTGACGCAACATAACCTCAAAATATACCATTGTTTTCCAAACTAATACAATTTTAAAAACTAAATAAATATTTACCTTAATAAATTAGGGTTTAAAAATTAATTTACTTTACAATTAGTATATTATTTTTCGAAATTAATCACTTGTAAACAAGTTTTATTAATAATTAAAAGGGTCGAGAGACCCATTTTGAAAAAACAAAACAAACTAACAAGTATTTATTTCCATTGATATCAAAAATCGCATAAAGAAAATTCAGTCGCAATTGATTTATATAATTTATAATAGATTATGATTATTGAGAAATGTTTTAACATTAAAATAAAATGTAACATTTAATTAAAAATTGAAAACTATTTTTATTATTCAAAATTTCCCGCATACTTTTTGTATTTAACGTATTTATCAAGCGACACTAGCGACATTCAGGGATGTACAAAGAATTTCTTTTTAAGCACACATAAATTTTAGGTTAATAAAATACTATATAAATTAATAATTAGAAAATAGTAAATTGTAAATTATATGATACAATATGATAAATTCTTTTAAGTATAGAAAATACGGTTTTGTCTTTTTTTACATGTATTAAAAAGTAATTCATAAAATTAATCATTCTTCGGGTTCCCCATGTGGCCACTCCTGATACCGTTATCTATTTTTTATCAAGGTTTTTTGAGCTCGCTTTTTTTTATTCTGTATTTGTTTTACAACAAATTTCACATGAAAACGTTAAATGTAAAAACTTTATCAAATAGGATAAATATATATCTGTGTATTAATAGATAAAAAAAAGCAGTTTTCAATATAATGAAATAATACATTACGTATGACGTGTAATTTTATAGTTTCATAAAAATATATTATATTATACTTTAAAGATATTATTGAAAGAAATTTCTGCGCAACCGGCAAACAGTGGTTTATTAGTGGTCTGAAATCATCGTACAATAATTCTAAATCAGTAACATTTATTCCAAGAAGTGTCATTTCACGCTGGAAAATCAGGTAAATTGATTTATTTTTTTTTTAAATAATTATTTAATCGATAATTATATATTGTTATTTTTCTTAGATCTATAAGCTTTATTTTTTTTTAAACTTTCATTGTTTTATCATTTTATAGAGGTTATTACGATTTTTTGGAGCATATTATTTGTGTAATGTCAAATTCTATATTTTTTTTTAATAATTTAAAAATACATGTACAACTTAATTTTATTAATTTAATATATTCCATTTTTGTAATTTTTAATTAATTAAAGTTGTTCATATTTTAAAAATATATATTTGTCAATAACAAAAAATTTTTGTATTATAACAAAAAATTTGAACTTGTGCGGTTAATATCATCGCATTAATATTTTTTCAAGTAATTTGAAATTCATTCGTTTAATTATGTATTTTGCGTTTATTACTCTATATTCAAATTAATTATTCATTTATTGCAAGGAATTTTTTAAGAAGTTAATTTTAGTTATCAATTTTTTTTTTTCATTTAAGTAGTTTCCAAGTTTAGCATTGGGAAATTTTTATTGGAAACTCTTGGATAAAAAAAAATTGTAGTAAAAAGTTTAAATTAAAAATTATAATTCTAATATTAAAAAGGTAATATAATTTTTTTTTTTTTTATAAAAATTGATTAATTTTACGATTAATTTTTTAATCGATTTACCTGATTCTTAACAAATGACAAAAAATAATTTATAATGAGAACAACGTTCAGTTCTTGGAAATAATTATTGGGAAGTGGATGGAAGGGTGATTAGAAATAAAATCTCGGCAACCTTGAATGGTTAGTATTTCATTTTGAGTGCCAGTCATTTCTCTTCTCGAATTCTTCATATGATCGAATACAATATAATTCATTGACAAGAAATTTGTTCTCAATTAACTTTATTGGAATTTAAATTAATTCACACCAATTGATAGCTTGTAATTATAATTTATGGTAAATCGTGTTCGGACCAGTTTGAATTATTCAAAAGTGAAAATAAATTAAAAACTATAAAAATCAAGAAGGTAAATTTTTAAAATGTTAAAAATTAACACAAATAAATAAAAAAAAATAATATAAAGTATTATAAATGTTTAAAATGTTAAAAAAAAATTTAATCTATTCATTATAATTAATAAAATAACTATAAAAATTATATTCATTTTTAAAAAATAGGATAATATTAAATTATTTCAAGTTATCAAGTTAAAATATGAAAATTAAAAAAATTGTTCTAGGTCATATACAACTATTTTCTAATTTGAGACATTATTTGTTGTTAGTGTTTTATGATACTTATTAATGGTTACTGATAAAGATGGAAAAATAGTACTTTAGTTAATACGAACGTTTTTTTAAACTAGTTGATATTTTGTTTTTATAAATAGTAAATTTTGCTGAAGATAATTTCACATTTTCATTGAAAAATAATATTTCGAAAAGTAATTTTTTTCTTTTTTTTCAGAAAAAATAAAAGTAACATGTCTGCGAATTCGAAAAATTTGATTTCTCAAGAAAATGTTGATTGGATGGATGATTTACCTTCGGGAGGAGATTTGGAAAAATATCGTCAAACTGCCACTTTTAATTGGAAACAACTTCGTATGATTTTAGAAGATCCTGATAAAATTCGATTAAAGGTAAAAAATTATTTACATTTATTTAATGAGAAAATTAATTTTTATCATATATTTAAACAAATGGATTAAATTTTTATATTGAAAAACGATTTAAACATAAAATAAGGGCATATCTCTGGAACTTTTAACTTTTCAATAAAAGAAAAAAAAAATTCTTTTTTTCGAGCACAGTATTGAAACTCTGTCAACATAAACTTCAAGTACGAAGATTTCAAATTATATAAGTGGACAGATAAAATTTTTTGTCTTAAAAAAGTTATTAATTATTTAAAATTGCAAATTATTGTTAACCTAAAACAGAAAAGTATTCAACAGGTGGTTGATTTTGGAATGAAAAACAATGGAAAGGAAATTACTGTGAAGTTACAATTTTTTAAAAATGATAAAATTTGGTTAATAATTTCAACATTTATTTAAAATAAAATTCTCATTTTGTACACACGTGTTTTCTGTTATTAAAATTACAATAATTTTTTTAAGACACGAGGCACATCAATTTAATATGTCTCAAAATAATTCTAATGACTTGAACTTTAATTTCTCATAAGTTATTTTGGTGTGCCAATTGTCTTATCAAAGAAAAATGCTAAATAAGAGGATTGCAGTCAAAAAGGTTAAAAGTGAGGGACAACTTTTAAAAGCTTATAACTTTTTTTACAATTTACAAAATGTTAATTTTCTTGCGAAAATGTGTTCATCGTTTAATTAACTTTAAAATGACGTATCTTAGAACTGGTAATTTTTTTTAATAATAAAGTTTTATCGTTTAAAGCACCACAAAGTATGGTTAGGGACAAGTAGAAATTGTTGAAAATCGTGCATTGAAAATTAAATAATTATTTATTTATTTAATAAATTAATGTGAAACCTGTTGGAAATGATTGCTCGTATCAAGTATTGATTTTTCCAACAAAAACCAGATAAAATTTCATTGGAATTAACAAAATATACGCGAGGGACATAATAGTTAAAAGTTCCAGAGATTTTCCCATAAATATAATTAGTAATGTATACATTTTTTTTTTTTTTTTTTTGAAGATTCAATTATGGAAGGCAATGGAATCTGATCCAGAATTTCATCCATATCATGGTGTTACATTGAGCGCTGACGAGCAAAAACGACGATCAGCAATTCAATTAGCTCGATTACATCATCAGAAGTTATTACCAAAAAATATTAACCAAATGGGCTATGGAACGAAGGTAATTTTACATTTTTAATGAAAAAAAAAAAAATTATTAATAATTTTGAAATTCAATTTTTTTTTTGTTTTATTTTCTGAAAGTTAATGAAATTCTATTCTTTTCGGAATATATACGACTTTTTTCGACTTTTTTAGACTTTCTATTAGAATTTTTTTTTAAATACGTCTTTTTTAATATACAATGCAGATCTTCTTTATTTCAATTATTTGACAAATTTTTAACAAAAATTCTTCTCTAAATTAATTTTTTTCAATCATTTTCATGAAATTCTTCTTCAATATTATCTTAAACTACACTTAAATCTCGTTATAACGACAAGGTCGGGACTTTAAAATCTCGATATAACGATGACAAGAGGGGCCCCCACTTCACATTCTATTTAAAAACGTGAATTTATCTGTAACCAACTTTACAATATGTCAAATTTGTTTGACATTTAATATAAACATTCTTTAGTGTATACATATACGAATAATATTAATTTCCAATTATGGAATCGGATAAAAAAGTAAGTAATTTCTGATTATTTTATAAGTGAAATTACAAGGTTTCAAAAAATAAATATTTGTTTGTAATTACCGAAATATTGCGGTTAAACTAATTAAGTACATAGTTGGTTACTATTTAACCTCATACAAGTTAATTGAGCAACAAAAAACTTTTTAAATTGATGAATCTAATAGCTTACATATTTAAATTCGATCGTGTTTTTTTTTAAATTGGTGGGGGTAAAGGGGACAAATTTTTGTCGTTATATAAAGAGTTTTGGTGTTCGTAATAACAAGCGAACGTTGTATCGAGATTCGTTATAACGAGATTCGAGTGTATTTTTTTTCAATTTAAAATTTTATGAAATTCAATATGTAATAAGTTTAAAATTAAAAAAAAAAAAAATCAGCAAATTAAATTACCAAAAATTTTCAATTCAAAATCACATGAAATTCAATTATTTTCAAAATTTTCCCATCTAAAACTTTCTGAAATTTAATAACTTCAACTATAACTCTTCCGAAATTCAATTATTTTTAATCATTTTTATAATATTCTACGAAAATTCAATTATTTGAAAGAATTTTTCAATTTAAAGTTCAATTTTTTTCTGTAATTTCTAATAAATTTTACAGCAACAGAAATCACCAAAAAAAATTTCAATCAAACATATATTATTGTCAATTACTATAAAATTTAATTATACATAATCTGAATTTTGAAAAAATTTCAATTATTTCTTAAAAATTTTAATTGCAACTCTTCCACAATTCATTTATTCTTACTAATTTCAATATTTTAAAAAAGTTTCAAATAAAAACTCTAAAATTGAATTGTTGGCAGAAATTAAAAAAAAAACTACAGCTTTTTAAATTTGCAGAAAAATGAATTTCAAATTTAAAATCTTCTACAATTCAATTATTTAAAAATAATTTAATTTAAAAATATATATAAAACATAATTTTTGTCTGAATTTTTTTTTTGCCTGTTGAAACTAAAAACTATGCTAAAAATTTTAAATCAAATAAATTGCTTAAATCAGACTTCAAAAAATTTTTTTAAAATGTGTTTTCGATTCTGAAATATTTGAAATAAATTTTCTTGATACTATTCTTATAGAATCATTTTCATTAAGGAATTAATAAAATGAATTTAATATCTAATAACATTAGTTATTTAAAGTAAAATATTTATTAACGAATTAAATTCAATTAAAATAAAAAAAAATCGACTTTTTTGCGCCTTAAAGTCGGTTTCTATATTTTTGTCGTTATATTTTTTATTTTTAGTTCATAATATTTCCTTTTATTTTTAATTTTCTTAGACAGGCTTTCTGATGACTCTGAATGAAGCAACTGCTATGTTTGATCCTTCATTATCAGTTAAAATAGCAATAGGTGTTTATCTTTTTGGCAATACAATATTAAGTTTGGGAACCGAACGACATTTACCAATATTTAACGCCATTTGGAATAAGCAGGTAAAACATTTGAATAAAAAAATATTTTTTAACTTTCAGTGAAATTAATCTCTTTTAAAAAGAAAAATCATTTCTAGAGAGAAATTCTTTTTTTTTAATCGAATTACTATTTTTTTTTAACTAGTTTCGATTAAGATAAAAATAATAAATTTTCCCAATATTTAAATATTTAATTAATATTTAATATTTAAAAAATGATAAATATTGATATTGATAAACATATATTCGTATATAAATGAAAATAAATGTTTAAAAAGTTGTTATACTTAATAATTTTCTTTATTATTATTTAAAAGTTATTAGGATGTTATGCATTAACGGAAGTGGGTCACGGAAGTAATACAAAAATGATGAGAACGACAGCGACCTATGATCCAAAGACAAAAGAATTTATTCTTCACACACCCGATTTTCAGGCTGCAAAATGTTGGGTTGGTAATTTAGGTAATTAGCATTTTTTTATTTAATTTTATATAAAATTAAAATTTCATTTTATTATATTTCTTCAAAAGTCGATGAGGAATATTTTTAGGCTTCATTTTATTTTATATTCTATTTAAAAAGTATAGAAAATATTAAATTATTATTTTAGGAAAAACGTCAACAGTAGCAATTGTATTTGCTCAGCTCATATCTCTCGAAGTCTGTCATGGTCTTCATGCCTTTATAGTACCTGTTAGAAATCCAAAAACCTATTTAACTTATCCGGGCATTATTGTTGGCGATATTGGCGAGAAGATTGGATTAAATGGAATTGATAATGGGTAATTTTTTTTTGTCGTCAATATAAAATTTTCAATTATTTAAAATTCTTTTCATTTTTACTATTTTTATTCAATTTTTTATTATGTTTTTAAAATATTTGTTTTTATTTATATTAATTATTTGATTAATTGTTTTATTGCAGATTTATATTGTTAACTTTTTTTTTTTATTGCAGATTTATAATGTTTAACAATTATAGAATACCAAAAGAAAATTTATTGAACAGAACAGGAGACGTTACTCCAGAAGGAGAATTCGAAAGTTCTTTTTCTGATCCGCAAAAAATTCTTGGCGCTGTTTTAGAAAATTTATCAGCTGGTCGAATGGGTATTTGTCAAGAATCAACAAATAGAATTGGTGCTGCTGTTGTTATTGCAATTAGATATGCAGCAGTTAGAAAACAATTTGCCTCTTCTTTAACATTAAAAGAGGAAATTGAAACTCCAATAATTGAATATGAACTTCATGTAATTAAAATTTTTTAATTTATATATATTTTTCGTATTTTTCAAAATAGTTGATTTTGAATTTTTCGAAATTTTATGATAAAATCTACAAAATCAGATCTAAATTTATAATTATAGATTTTTAATGTTTAGAACAATAGTATAAATTTTTAGCAAAAATTGTGAATTTTCTATTTGATCATAAAATAATTGAAAACAATTTTAAAAAAATTTTTTAAATACAAATTTTTGATATAATTTTTTTTTGTTATGTATTGCAGCAATGGAGATTGTTTCCCTATTTAGCAGCCGCCTGTGTCTTTAGAATTTTTATGTCTGAATTTACTACAGTGTACCTGGAAAATGTAGAAAAATCTATGAAAGGTGATAATATACCCAATCTTGTAAGTAGAAATTTTATTAATTGATTAATTCCATTTTTCAACGTCTTTTTATTTGTGAAATATTTAAATTAGATTTTTTTTTTATCAATATTTAATAATATTTTTAATATAATTTTTAAAACTTTTTTTAATTTATTTAAGTTATATTAATTTTGTTTTCTAATCGTTGATCATAAACATTGTGGACTTTAGCATCGTAAAAAAATGTAAATATTTTCTTTTTTAAAAATCGTTTAATTACAATTCTAGAGTCAAATTGTATCTGAAATTCATTCAATCGTCTCAGCGATTAAACCTTTAATAACGTGGACGTGTAGAGACGCTATTCGCGAATGCAGAGAAGCTTGTGGAGGACATGGTTATCATAAAGGTAAATTTTGAATTGGTGAATTTTTTTTATAAATTTTGTCCCTTTGAAATTTTTTTTTAAAAATTCGCATTTTAATTTTCTTTTAAATTGAAATTTGTGACGAACTATCCTAAATTTTTGATCTATCTCGAAGTAAAGCGTTTCTTGAAAAAAAATGAAAAACTAAGCATTTATGAAAACAATTTTAATATTTTTAATGAAATTTTAAATAAATTATAAATAAAATGATAATAATTTTTTTTTTTTGCATTAGCTGCCAATTTGTGTGACATGGCAGCAAATCATGAGCCAACGGTAACGTATGAGGGAGATAATAATGTTCTTGTTCAACAAACAAGCAATTGGATTCTAAGACAGTGGAATAATTTACAAAATGGTACAGCAACTGAGAGCCCTCTCGCTTCTGTTCCATTTCTTCTAAAGGGTTCAGATATTCTTAAAAATAAATTCACACCAAATGGAAAGAAAGATCTTATGTCTTTGGAATGTGAGTATTTTTTTTTTTTTTTTTTCTCAACAAAATAGAAAAAGTTGTCATGTTTAGTTGATATTTTAAACAATAATGTTTTTAAAATTATTTTCTACTACATTCTTATTATTGTATAATGATTATTTTTTTGTTTTTAAATCTTATTTTCCAAATTTTGAAGTTGTCAGAGACGCTTACGAGTGGTTAATCACATGGTTAGTGAGTCAAACACAACGAAAATTTGAAGAAGGTATCGCTCAAGGTTTGGACAGTTTCACTGCACGAAGCAGATCTCAAGTTTATAGAGCGGCAAATTTATCCAAAGCTTATGGCGAAGTATGAAATTTCTCAATGACAATGTTTTTTTTAAACAAGATGTAATTTTGACGTTAAATATTCTCCGTCCAATATTTAATTTTAAGAATACATTTTTTTTTAACAAAATATTAATATTCTCTTGCACATAACAATAAATCCTTTTACTATTTTTTAATTTCTTTAAAAAATTTTAGCTTAATCTATCAAAAGTATTTTATAAGAATATTTACGAAGAATATTTACACGTGAAATCACAATTATGTCCTTAACAATTTAACAAAAATATTGAAAATTGTTTTTTATTGATTATTTCCTATTTTTCCAGATGATTGTGATAAGATATTGTGTAGTGAGAATAGATAATTTACTGCCACAAGATGTGAGAGTGAAAAATTTGAGAGACGTTTTGGAAAAATTGATTCTTCTTTATTCATTGACCTGCCTTGAAAAACATTTAGCCAGTTTCTATCAAGGTAAAATTTCATTAAATCAATTAAATAAAATATTATTTAAATAAATTTAATGCAATTTTAACTATTAATTTTATTAATTAATCTAATATTATTATTATTTTTATATATTTATTATTCTTTATTATAATTACTATTATTTATCTAAAGTAAATTATTTTAAAAATTCTACTTTTCTCTTTTCGCGAAATAATAATAAAAAAAAAAAAGTTATTTGCTCCACTTTTTTTTTCGTCAAATTGTATATAATTAATTCAGTAGCTTTATCACCAATAAAATTATTTTTCATATCTTGCGGAAAATAATTTTTTTATTTGATAAAGTTTACATCACATTTATATGACGAAAAAAAGGTGGAAAAAATAAATAAAGGTTATAATCTTGAAAAATATTGTTTCAATTTATTTTTGTTGTTTGATAAATATTATTTTTTTAACTTCAACAAAAATTAATTGTACAAAAAGAAAAGAATAAATATTTTGAAAATATTTCGATGAAAATAATTAAATTAAAAATATATTTTTAATAATTTCTATTAAAGTAATATGAAAATAGCAATATTGTTCATTTTTTTTTCTTTTCTTAAAAAAATAAATTTCAAAATTTTAAGGTGGATATTGTTCGGGAACACAAATGGCGGATCTTTTGAAACAAAGTATATTGAGTTTACTCGCTCAATTAAAATCGGAAGCTGTTGCCATTGCCGATGCTCTTGCACCGCCAGATTTTATTTTGAATTCGGTCCTTGGAACATCGGATGGAAAGGTGAAGATTTTTTTTTTCCATTTTCTTATTACTATTATTTAAATGTATAAAAAATATACTATATAATAATCGAGAATAATATAATAAATTAATTGAACGTTAATTTTTAAATTAATATTTGTTGAAATTGAAAAAAAAATTTTAGGAATGTTTTGTTTTTAATTGAAAGAAAGAATAATAATAGGTACATATTTAAAATCTTGTATTCAATTGATAATTCTTCAGTTTGTTTTCGAAAAAAAGTATTTTAATTATTTGTTAAAATAATAAAAATAAAAAATTTTTAAATGAAATTCAATTAAAGGTATACGAACATCTGGAAGAGGCCTTTAGATGCTATCCTGGAGGAATGGAAAGAGCTTCCTGGTGGACTGAATTGATATCAGCATCGAAAAATCCTCTCAAAAGTCTGGTATCAAAACTCTGACACGATCGAAACAAATTTAGAAATTTATAAAAAAAAAAGAAGAAGGAAAAAAACTAAAGAGTTATTCAACACGTTCCAATTGCAAAGTATAAAAATAAGTATTGTTATCAAGTGATAGATGAATAGTCATAAATTTAAAGTCAGTTTTTTCAAAGCTTTATTTATATATTATATATATGGTTGACATTTACACATTAGTGATTGCTTTTAAAAAAGCACACATTCAGTATTTTTCGCACTTAATAATTTTTAAGAAACAAGAATTTCAGTATTCTTGTTTTTTATTTTTAAATAAGAGACACAAATTTTAATCTACCTATACATTATATATTGTAAACTGCATCAGGGAAGTGCATTTCATAAATATCATTCTCAACACATTTTTGATTTAAAAAAAAAAAAAAAATTTACTAATATGATTTTCTATAATAAATTTGAAATTTTTTTAAAATAAATAATATTTAATTATTAATTTTCTATTCTATTATTCTATTATTAATTATTATATATTAATAAATTTTAATTAATTAAATTGTACTAAATTATAATTTTCATTATTTTCAAATAAAATTGAAAAAATTAAAAGTGCGTTTGAGTTTGATACGAAATGTTATTATTTTTTTTTTATTATAACTAAGCTTGAATTTTAGTTAATTATTAAATACTTCGTGATAATTGATGAATCTGTGTTTAGTTTTAATTTAACTCTATATCAATATTTTTTTATACTAACTGATATATATATATTTTTTTTTTTTGATGATTTATTTAAAGAGACAATATTTTGTTTTAATTCTGATCTGAAACACTAATGAAAGTTCAAATAGAAATGAATCGCACAAATGTATAGTATAACTATATAGATATACATATAAGACAATTATATATAAAAGACATCAGTTGTATTGATATATAGTTTTTACATTGTTAAGTGAAATGAATTTTTTACAATAAAAAAAATATCTTCTCAAACTGAATTTATTTACAAGTTTAGACATTTCATTAATTATATATATATAAAGAGTAATAGTCTTCATTTTTCAAATATTAATCACGATGAAAATTGTATTTTAATTATTTTTTTTGTAAGCTTACAGGGATATTTTAATTTGAAAGAAAAAAATGTTTTCATTGAAAAAAGAAAAAAAATTTTTTTGATTATTTTCAACCAGATTGATTTGAAATTGCTAGATGCAATCTACTTGGTGGTGGTCGACGAAGGGGTGCAAACGACATTCGAATTGCTTCTCCAGTTTCATCTGAATATTTAATTAGTTATTAATTTCAATTTATAATTGAATCGTGAATTTCAAAAAAAAAAAATCGCTCAACTCTAAAAATTGTAAAAGTAATTTTCAGTATCGATTGTTATGCGAAAATGATACTTACGCTTTTTCCAGTTGAGCGAATTTTTTTCGAAATTAACGATTCAATTAAAAAAATTAACGTAATTATTAAAATTCAATTATTATTAAAAAAATTAATTTCAATTATTATTAAAATCTGATTATTTTCAATTTTTTTTTTGAATATCTAATTAAAGTTTTTAGTCTTTTTTTGAAGCTCATCTCACATGTATTTCTGTTATTGACTAAATTGATAAGCGGATAAAGAAGAGGAACGTTCTCCATTCTCCAATCGTCAATTTCTTCATGATTTGAATTTTGAATCTAAAGAGAAAACATTTTTTTTTTTAATTATATTAAAAAAATATATAATGGAAATTAATTGTACAAATTAAAATAGCTTAAAAAGGAAAATTAAAATACAATTTTCATTGTTTTATTTATTTTTTTAATTTAAAAATTAAATATTTTCATTATATTTCTAAATTGAAGCACTTTAATTAATAATTGATTATTTACAGTTTCTACATTTGACGATCCTGTCAGTAAATGTAATCCTAATTGTTCTGGTGCTTCGTTAATTAGTTCATTAAATCTAATTGCAACTTGCTTCCATTTTACCAGATTCGTTGGCTAAAATGAAAATTTTATATTTAATGTTAATAATTAATTAAAAAAAAATTAATAACATCAATCTCTCCAAGTCTTGGAGAGAATAAGAAATTAATTAATTCTTAATTGAATATTTCACCAAATGATAAATTCTACTATATTTTGAAATTATTATTATTATTATTATTATTATTATTATTATTATTATTATTATTATTATTATTTGTATATAAACTATTTATAATTAAATGCAATTTTTATATTTTACTGAATAATAATAATTTTTATAATTATTTGTGTTAATATACGAAATGGAAATTGTACTCCAAGATTGAAAAAAACGGGAAGCAGAGCAATTGGAAGAGGTGATCCGTGTAATTCCGAGGGTGGCGAAGATAAAGTCAAGTGATTTAAAAGATCTAAAATATGAGCTAATAATTCACCATGACGTCCCATTAAATCCTGACGAATCAAACCTAAAGCATCTCGTGCAACTTCTCGAGCTTCAACTCCAGGATTATCAGCTTATAATTTTATAATTTATGAGACAATTTTTTAATTAATTCACTACTAAATCAATTTTAATTACAACCAAGTTTACAATGTTTATGATCAATGATTTTTAAAGAAAAAAATATTTTTTTTCCAAGAAAAGTTCTATTAAAAATATTTTCTGCAATTAATCAAAAAATTGCAACAAAAAAAAAAAGAAAACATTTTTAAATAAAAAATTCTAGAATTTTCCATTTGAAAAAAAATAATTTGTTTTCTAATCGTTGATTTTAATTAATTTTAAATATTAAATAGTTAATTAATTTTACGAACCAAGCATTAATTCTTGTACTCTTAAGGGAAGAACTGGTTTTTTTAAATCACTTAAATAAAGACGAAGTGCTGCGGCACATTCTAATGCTGAATCATTATCAAAGTGAGTTTTTTCCCCTTTTTTTAAAGCATTCAAAATTCTTTTTCTCAAACTATGTCTACTTGATCTACGAAAAAGTCCTTCTTCACGGGCATCTAATAATTTATTTACATTTCAATATTATTATTTACATATAAATAAAATTAATTTATAATTATTATAAAAAATCAGATTTCTGTTTGTCATTGTTCGAAATTTTTACTTTTTATTTTATTTTTAAATCGATTATCAATAATATTAATCAATTATAAAAGTAGGTAAATTAAATTTGCTTATCAAAGAAAAAATTTGATTATTAATAAATAAAATATATATATATAACGAAAAAAATTCAATTCTTACGTTCTTTTAAAAATGCTATAATTCCTTTGACAGATTCAAGTGATTTTTGTGATATTATATCGTCTTCTGATTCTTCCCTAATTAATTTTATTTTTTTAAATTAAAATATATTTTTCAATACTATTGCATAATTAATTTTTTTTTTTTATTTTAACTTTTTAATTTCATTACTTTATTATATATTTATTTGTTTATTAATTTATAAACGGTCGATTAGAAATTAAACAATCAAAATATAATTTGATTTATTAATTTCATTTTTTGAACAAATTAATTTTTCATATAATTAATTACTTTTTTGATATTTGAATTCCCATTATTTTTTCCAATAGTATTGAATTATTGCTTCTAAATAATAATGACTTGAAAATATTTTGCCTATGGGATTTTTTAAGTAGTTTTGACGAAATTCTTGTAAGTTATTCATATGTAAAAATTATATATGCTTCAATAAAAAAAAAAAAAAAAAAAAATATTCGCACTATTTTTTGAAAAAAAAAAACGAAATAATTTTTCCTGAATTATATGGTTAAAGAGGTTAATTTAAAAAATTTTGAATTTGACATTTTTTTAATTTCACTCATTTTTTTTTTTTGTCTTTTGTTATTACAATAGCAACGATTTATTTTAAAAAAATCCTGTTGAATTAAAAATTGCAATAAAAAATAATAAACAAAATTCTTATTTGATTGTAACAGGTAAACGCAATTGTTAATAATTTTAAATCGAAAATTTATAATTAGTTCGAAATAATGTAAAAAAAATAAATTATAAATAAAATCTGATTTCAAGTTTTTTTTTCTAAATTGAAGAGAAATTAAAAATTAATTAATAAGTAGAAAATAAATAGCAATTATTGAATTTCAAAATATTAAAAATTTGTTTGTTTTTTTTTTGTTGGATTTTCTTTCCTATTATTTTTTTGTTAATATTTATTTTTTTTTTATTTAAATTTATTTACATTCTTTATTATATATTTTTTAAGCTTTTCCGGTTAACGAATAAAGTTATGGGAATGAAGTTTCCTGTTCGTATGATAATTGTTGACAAATATTCACTGATAAGAATTCCAAATTGTGGGATAATATTGAAAAGTTGCGCATGCTTCCATCCTCACATTAGTCTCGATCTAGGTATCATCAATTTACTTATCAATAAGATCATTATCAAATAATGATATAGGAAATTTTATTTCCGCCAACAGTTATACAGTAAAGTGTTTCTATTCAAGAAAGAGAGAGAGTTTTTGGTCCATCTCGATTTTTTTCACACTTATTGTTTATTATAATCTATAGGACATTTTTTTTTTATCCAAATAGAATGCGGGAAAAGAAAAAGAAAATTTTACTTCTTTTTCTATCATTCATTTTTATAAATTTTATCGACATTATGGCCGCAACAATTAATTCATCATCTGATGACAGAATTATATTTCCCGATGAATTCGAAAAGGTATTTCTAATTGTAATGCAAAATAATGTTTTATTTTTAAATAAATCAATAAAAAAAATTCTTATCTACTTTAATTATCCAATTATTAATATTTGCAAAATAATTTTATATTTTTAAATTAAAAAAAATTTTTTTTTTTAATTTTTTCAATTATTATTAATTAAGAATTAAAGTTTTAAAGTATGAAAAAAAATTAATGTTGATGTTTAAAAACTATTGTAAATATGGGAAAAATTTTAGAAAATGAAAAAAAATTGATTAGTTTTTTTTTTTTTCTATTTTCATTTATGGAATAAAGGCTCAAGAAGAACTTTTAATACCGGAAAATATACAGGTATCTGAAAATATAAACGAAACCACGGATTATGATTTAGTGGATGAGGAAATAAAAATTACACCACCAATGCTGGCAAATAGAAATATTATCGGTGCACCAACTCGATGTCCTGAAGGCTACAGAGCTGATCCCACAGGAAAATGTCGAAAAATTTTACATTAGGTATGATTTGTTTTGAATTTTCCAAAAAAAAATTAATTATACTAATTTAACGTTAATTAATAATTATTATTTATTATTTTTCAAATATTTATTTTAAATTATATTATTTTTCAGGGCGCAAAACAATGTCTGATAAAAAATTTTATTTTTAAATTTTATTACAGTAATTCCATGTAGAAGAATTGAAGCAAAATGTCGAAAAAAAAAAATTGAATAAAATTTTCAGCAAATATTTTTAACAATATAAAAAAATGTTTAATCATGTTCTTTATTCAAAAAGGAAATATTTCTATAAAGGATGTAAAAAAATTAATTCTTTTTGCTTTGACTCATTTCGGAAAGAATGTTTTTTTTACTCTAATTCTCAAGTGATAAATTCCTATAAAAAAATTTTTCTGATTAATAATAAAATAAAAATATATTTTAATAATTGAAGGTAAATTAAATAAAAATGATTTTATAGAGAAATTTCGAAAAAAAATTTTAATATTTTGACAAAGAAAAAAAATAATTGAAGATTTATTTTTTTATGAAATAATTTTTTTTAGAATTTAAATTTTTTTTTAAAAATCTCTGCGTTTATTTTAATATAAATTTCGAAAAGTTCTATTTACAATGAAAGTAGGATATGAGAGTAGTCTGAGAAGCTAATTAATTAGATAATAATATATTGTATTTGTTTTACGATACATATGTGGTGCTATTATAAGAAAAGTTGACGTCAGATATATTAAGTTTACAAAATGATTATTTGCAATATATGTTAATTATTGTGTTTATAATAATAACACATATCAAAGTTTATATATATATGTATAACTTGCAATCAACTAATTATTATCAAATTGACTCGAAGGAACAATAAAAAATTTTAAAAAAAAATTTACTTTTAAACATTATTTATTTTTTTCTAATTTTTCACATATGGAATTTATAAACAAAAATAATTAAATTGAATAAATTTCAGGTTAATAAAAAAAAAAACCTGTAATTTAAAATTTCAGTCCTTTTTCAGGTCGAATTTGTATAAATTACTATTTCAAAAATTTTTCAACGCAATAATTGATTATATTCAAATTATATTCAAAGTCGTGAATTATAAAAACTATTTTTTGATGACGCAAAAACTATAAAAACTAAAAAAAAAATAATATTTCCTTTTCCTTAAAAGCTTGATAAAATTCTTAAACAAATGAAAATTATTTCAGTTTCTAAACTGTAATTTAAGCAATAAAATAAAAATGTATTAATTTTTTCTAACAAAATATTGAATATTACAATTTTTATGAAATACTTTGTAATTCGTCAAAACAAATTAAAATTGATAATTTGTTCTATATGCCGTAAGATTAGATAAAGCATTATACTTTAAACAATTTTCATTTATTATTGCATTTTTTTTTTTTTATCAAATTATATTTTATATAAATTTTTTATTAATGAATAATTTTAATAAATCTCCATATACTAGGTAAGAAGGTTTGAATTAAAAAAAAAAATTGATAAAAATTATTTTCAAAAATTTATTCTCTTTCATGTTTACTAAATTGAATTACATAAAAAAAAATAGTCAAACGAAGGTCAATAGAATAAATTATTAAATTTTTTTCTCAGGCAAAAAAAAAATTGAATAATTTATCCCATTGACCATTCCCTTTATCATTTTAATACTTAATTCAAGAATTAAAATTCTTTGCATATTTTTTAAAAGTAAAAATTTTGTCATTATATTTAAATACTTTTTTGAAATTAATTCTCTATAATCAATTTAAAAAAGCATTGTCATGTTTCTTTAAATTAAAAAAGACTTAAAAAAATATTTCCCAGAATAAAAGAATCTTATTTTTTAGAAAAAAATATTTTTTTACATTAATTTTTTTCCAATATTTCTCAAATTAAGTCAAATTAGATAAAAAAATTTGAAAAAATAATTCTTTTCTATTACAAAAATGCAACTTGTATTTCCATTAGTCGAATTCATTTCGTAAATTAATTTCAAAAATTTTCGTTAGATAAAAATATAAAATAAGCGATTCTTAATTCCTTTATAAATTTATGATTTTTTTAATCCCATACAATGTCTTTGGAAGTTGATAAAAAGGATTTTAATTTCTTTTAATGCAATCAGTAAAAAAAGGAAAGTTTAATTTTGCTATAGAGGAATAGATTTAGATATTTATCAATTCAGATTAATTCTTTTTAGTTTCATTTAAAAAAAAAAAAAAATTTTTTGTAAATTTACTTCTAAGTTTGTTTTGATTTGTTACCTTCACAAAATTATAGAGATATTTTTTTGCACTTTTTAAATTTTTTTTCGAGGAATTAAAAAAAAAGAAATTCCATAATTTAACTTTTTTTATTTCTTTTCTCTATTCTTAACTATTTCTTTTTTTTTTCTTTTTTTGAATTAAATAGTAAGTAGCTACTTTATTTATGATATATATATATATATATGAATATTCTTGGAACTTATCTAAGAATAAAAGATAGTCCACAGTAAAACGTTTATTTAGCAGATAAATTGTATTTGTTTTTGAGTGAACAATAGAAGATAACAGTAGAGAATTTTCGTGCCTCCAACTCAAATGCAATAAATTATAATATATATATATATTTTTTTTATAATTTGCATAAATAAATCACTTCAATATTAAATAAACATTCAACTTTATTGCTGAAAAATTATATTATTAATAAATTATCCTTTAAAATTATAAAATATTTAGAATTTTTAGTTTCCACAATATAAAATTTTCACTACAATGTCCACTGTGAATAATAATTTTATTTACTTTTTTTTTTCTGTGGCAAAATAATATTTAAAATCGTATAAAAATTGGTCATCATCATCTTTATATTTTATTTTTTACATTTTTAATTTTACTTATTTTTTAATTTAATTGAATTATTTTCTTAATTTTAAAAAATATTAAAAATTCTGTTCCAATTTTTCAAAAAGAGAAATTAAAATTTATATTGTAATTTTTACATTGCCCTAAAAAAATAAAAAAATTGCTGTAACTTTTTTTTATATTTAATAATTTCTTTGATATTGAAAATATAAAAAAGGATTCGTTTTTTCATTAGAAAAAAATTGTTTTTATATAAATATTGGAAATTTAAAAAAAAAAATTTTTTTGTAAAAAATTAAATATTAAAAAAAATTATAAAACACTTTTTATATACCTGTATATTTTCAACAGCAAAATAATTAATTGTTTCCGGTACTAATTTGATGGACACTAATTTTATTAGGTAATCAATAAATAAATAAATAAAATTAATTTAAGAAAAAATATAACGAGAAATATCGAATTTAAATTTAGCTTAATATATATTTCAAAGCCAAAAGTATAGTGAAAAATCGAAGAATTCGATTTTAATCTCACATAAGATAAAATTACTAAATATTTAAAAATGAAGAAACGATCAAAGAAAAAAAAAAGAAAATTAAATATTAAAAATAAATGAAACAAAAATATAAAATTAATTTTCGTCTAGAATTTCGAATTTTCTCTTTTTTTTAACAAAAAAAAAAAATTAAATAAACCTGTTTTACCAGAGTAGCTCATTGGGATAATATTATATATTATATACAGTGAATATGATCGTGAACTGAAAGGGCTTCTCGAAAGAAAATAAGTCTGTGCGACAACAACAACTCACCGCACACACGTTATACAATACACAATAATAATATTTCAAGACTGGATTTTATATGAAGTGTCTTTGTAATTAATTTTTTTTTTTTTTTTTTTTTTTGATTGTCAGAATGCGAATGCAGAAAGTAAAATAACGCATCGAGTATTATATAGACAAAAAGTCGAATCACTGTGTGGTATGTATATAAGGAAGTCATATGTAAGATAAGGTGAAGCTTATCTCGAGTGTGTTTTTTAAGGTCCATTTTTATTGATATGTCTTTAAAGAAGAATCTACATATCTTGCCGGCTACGGCTTGAAGAATACATATATCATGGCTGATCCAACTATACAGACATTTTGCTGTCATTCGAATAATAATTCCGATATGACAACTATAATAATGCAAAAATTTAACACCGATGCTTATAATATTGTGTGTATGGTTTCTTCAATAATGGGAATTTTAGGAGCAATTTATCAGGTAAATATATATATATATTTTTCACATTTTGCTTCCTTGTGAGTGTAATTTTCTGTAATCTATTTTATTTCATTGAATTAAATTCTTATTAATTGAATTAAACGATTTTTTTTTGCCAAAAATATAAATTTATATTTAGACGAAATTTTATGTGGAATTTTTAATTTAGTGAATTTTTATTAAAACGATTTTCAATTTAGCAAAATATTTAGCCGAATTTTTATTTTACAAAATTTCAATGAAACTAAATTTTTATTGAAAAATTTTTTATTATTTTTTTTATTTAGTAAAATATTTATTTAACATTCTCAAATCACGGAATTCATATTTATTTGGTAAAAACAAAATTTCGAATTTTTTTTTTTAGTAACAAAAAAATACAGTCGTAGGATATTTTTAAAATTATTCAAAAATTTTTCATTGGTTGGTTTTAAAATTCCCGCTAAAGTGTTTGTTTGAAATTCGGCTAAATAATAATTTTGCCTGATAAAAATTTGGTTAAATGGAAATTCTGCTAAAAATTCTGCTAAAATATAAATTTTACTTTTGAAAAATAAAAATTTTCTCACTAAATGTAAATTTTTACAATAGAAATTCCGTTGAATAGAATAAATAAATTTTGAATGTAAATTAAAAGTTTTATTTTTCTAAATAATTCTGTTAATTTACGAAATCAAAAAAAAAATTCCGCGAATGAGAAATTTGGTTAATCGAAAAATATGAAATAAAAATTCAATGAAATATAAAAAATTTGACTGATGAAAAATGCAATTAAATAATATTATTTTTAATTTTATCTAGCAATTGTTTTCTTATTTTTTTGAAAATAGAAAAATAATTTTTTTTTTGTTTTCTAAACGAAGGTATTACCACGTGAGGACTCGGGTTTACCACATCGATGGCAAAGTTTTTCTGGAACAAGAGGGAGACATATAATCATTTGTCTTGCAGTAGCTGATTTTTTTGCTGCCCTAGGTTCTTAAAAAAATTTAAACTGAAAAAATTAAAATTAAATTATTTTTTTTATGTTAATTTTTCCTAACAAAAATATATTTAAAAAAAAAAAAAAAATTCTCTTTCAGGCGTTTTTATTAGATCTGCATTGTGGATTAATTTTAAAAGTATAATGCCAGTGGAACATGACACGACAAGTGTAATATTCTGCACTCTTTCTTCGGTACGAATATTAATTTTTTTTTAAAACTAATTTTTACGATTTCTTTGAATTACTATTAATTTATTCACATTTAATGATTATTATTTATAAAATTAAAAATAAAATTGAAAATAATTTTCTAGGCTTGGATACAATACTTTTACATGGCAACATGGATTTGGACCTTTTGCTATGCAATTGATATGAAACTTCTACTTGGAGAGCGAGCAGGTTATCCAAAATTGTATCACGCATTTGCTTGGATTTGTCCAGCGATTTTGACCTCTATTGGCCTTGTAATTTTATACGTTCCCAATGCAAAGTAAGTTAAAATTTTCAAAAATTATTTTTTCATTTATCAAAGTGTATTTAATTTTTTTTTGGGCAAAATTTCATTTTCGTATTGAAGAAAAATTAAACAAACAAAATAATTGTAGTTTTCAATTAAATTTGCAATTTTTATAAAGTTGAAGAAAAAAACTTTTTCCAAAAATTTAACCATTTTTAGAAATTTAAAATTTATTTTTTGCTAATAATAATAATAATAATAACAATGCGGAGTGATTTTTTATATTATTACTAATTAGAAAATTTTCTTCTTTTTTTAAAATTAAAATTCTTGTTTTTAAAGAAACAGTAAATATTTGAGTTTAAATTGTAATTTTAAATGAAATGTTTTTTTTTCTTTTTTAAACATTTTTGCATTCATTAAACAGCTGTCACAGCTTAACGAGTCTATCAACTGTATTGCTGCGAATTCTTCCAAACTACTGTGTAACATATGTGCTTCTGGCAATTGTCATGATTCTTAATCCAGTATTATATATTTCGTCAACAAAAGATCTGAAAAATGCCGTCACTTGTAGTTTAGCACAGATGACGAATCGAGAAAGAAAATTAGTTCAAACTGTAAGATTAAAATTCGCATTGATAAATGTTGCCTATTATATTTGTTGGATTCCAAATATTATTAATGGAATTTTATTGTGGACCCTGTGGTTTGAATTACCAGCCAAATTGATCATTACTCTCTGGTTTATTATGGTAATAATTTTTTTTTTTTTCTATGTATCAATAATAAATTTTGTGATTTAATTTTAATTATTATTTATTCATTCAATTAATTTTTTGATAACTATTTTGTTTAATTCAATAATTAATTAAATATTTATTCGAAGAATTAGAAAAATATTAATTAATATTTAAAAAAAAATTTTTTTTATTTTTTTCAGGCGGTTACGAATCCACTGCAAGCGTTCTTTAATGCTTTAGTCTATCAAAAATGGGGACGTCGAGAAAAATTTCGCCTCGATTGGTGTTATAAATTAAAACGATTAAGATTTGAGCAAAGTAGAAGTAAATCGAGTTCAGGGGTCAGTGAAATTTCTCCTCTTTTAACATCGAGATTTCAACATACCCCACACACAAGTATCAATGGTTCTTCATCTCTCTAGACTGTGATAATTAAGATTTCAAAATCTATACTCAAGTTCAAAATATAAGTGCTTTTGAGATATATTATTTTTTATTTATATATGGAATTTTTTAAAAGTAAGGTCCATTTTTGTTTTTTAAATAGCTCGCTTACTTAAAAAGAAAAAAAAATAATAATAATATAAATATTTCAAGAATTGAAAATTATTCATTTTAGATTACATTAATCTAAAATATATTTTTTGAAAATATTTAGGTATAATTGTGTCTGTGTGTGTGTTATAATTGTATGTATTTTTTTAATATTAAGCTTCTTCGATGGTCTTGTAAAAATACTCGAAAAGTTTCAAATTGATATTTATAAATACTTTTTTTTTCGTGTGCTGTATATATGTACGTTTACACATTCTTAAATTAATTAAAAAAAAAGTATTAAATAATATTTTTGTCTATTGTATATTGCATATTTTATACAATCCATACAAATTGCTAATAAAATATTAAATATTCTAAATAATAATAAATTGATGAAATTTTGTTTTGTTCTGACCGTTGAATTCAAAATATAATTATTATGATTGCCTTGTAATTTATTTTATGTTAAAAAATATTAATAGAAAAAAAAAAATCTAAACTATTGTGAAAATTATTAAAAATATTTAGTTCATTTCTTGAGACAAACGCGTACTATAACAGAAACTTAAAATTTATTCAATACATTACAATAGATTAAATCAAGAGGTAGAGCCCACGTGTCCATATTCTCAAAAGACAAGGTTGGTTGTTAGATTATATTTTTTTTTTTATTTTTACAGCAAAAAACGAATTCACTGCCACAGCAGACTGAAAAATAATCACATTCTCTTTAATTTATTTCTTAAATAAGTAAAAGTAAAATTTTACTCTTAAGTAAAATTTAAAAGAAATTTTTAAGACAAAATTTGAGAATTTTTGAATTTTTAAATATTAAATTCATTAATATGTTCCAAATATGTATTTTCTATAAATTTGAAAATTTTTCGAAAAATGCAATAACAAAAATATATCAAAATAAAATCGCTTTTAAATAAAAAAAATTAAAAAAAAAAGTGAATTATAAATTTTAATATATCAGAACCATTGACAGTTTTTATTTAAAAAAAAAAAATAATTAAAATTAATTTATTTTATAAGATGCATGAATTTTAAATAACATGTGAAATTTTTATATAAAAAAAAGAACTTACTTCATGACAGAAAGTGGTGGCATTCCTACATCTGCTCCTTTTGCAAATCCTAAAAAAATAAAACACATTAATTTTATTAAAATTTATAAGAAATAATAATAATAATAGAATAATTGTTATTATAAAATTTAAATTGGGAAAAAAATCCACGAGCATAACCTCAAAAACTTACCAAGATATAAAACCGCTGGCATAAATCCCCAGTGAAATACAACTTTTGTTACATTTAAAACAGCACCAACTCTTTGCTTAGCTTTTGGAGACAAAGACATTTTTTTTTATGTTTTCAATGTAAATTTGTATTTTTTTAAATGTAAATTTCACTCACGTTTTCGAGTGTATGACAAAAACAAGTATACCAGGATTGGGAACCAGGGACACGAAATCCTTTATGTGTAGTTACGTTTCCAAACAAAATACACAAATTTAATTGGTTTTTCCAATAGAACGCTTCTTTTTAATTCTCTGTGGACAACCAATAAAATTCGTGTATTTTGTTTGGAAAAATTTTGTGGCATGTGAATGCAACTTTATTACTTCTTATAATTTCTCTTTTCAATAATTTAATACTCTAAAATAAAAAAATATATATAAAGAAAACAAAAAAAAAACACTGAAAAAAGGAAAAAAGAATTACAACAGAAGAAATTTTAAAAATATGAAAAATTATACTAATTTAAATTTGGCGCCATCCTCCAAATGATTCAGTAGAAGACTTCTCGTCTGCTACGGCAGACACGCATTTTTAAATAAAATATCAAATCATCTATAAGTAATAATTGTCAATAGAAATAAAAGTGTTGACAAAAATTCTCAATATTTAATTGAAAAAATAGAATATTTGGCTTGAAATGCCAACTCCTCATTTATTTCAAGCACGATTTACGGTAAATATGATTTCATCAAAACAATTTGCGGTAGCCATCTTAATCGTTTGACGTCATCATATATAGTTGAGTTCCCTAAAATGTTTTTGATAATCAATAAATGGTGTGTGCACATGACAGTTCTCGAAGAAATGGCTGTTATGGCAAAACATATCGTAAATTCATATCATCAATGATAAGAAAAGTGTGAGAAGAAAATTTTTGTGGTGAAAATGCCGAGAGACATAAAATGGAAACTCGCGATTTTCGCCGGAATTTCCGAATGTTTAGTTTATGTAGGTGACTTTGTGTGTGAAAGAATTTTTTTTTTTTTTTGACGACCTTGCGTGCTTTTTTAAAAAATTTGATTTTCCTCAAATTCAATTAATTTTTACTTAATATTTATTCTCATTTGTCGTTGAATAAATAGTTATAAATAGAAATAGTAGTTTTTATTTTGAAAGAGTGTTTGTTTACGGTGAAAATAATTTTTGTAATGATTTTTATAGTATATAAACAATAGTGTGATAAACTTGTTTTATTACAAAATTCGTAGAGAAATTATTGAAATTTGTAATGTTTATAACAATTTTCATTGTTTATGTTTGTTTTGTTGTGAAATTTATAAAGTATAATTTTAATTATTTCTTTTTTCTGGACATATTTTTCATTATACATGTTCGATAAAATATATAATTATTTAATAGATTTATTATTAAAAGTTGACTTAAATAATAATTTTTTTGTAGGCTGAAGCAAAATACTGTGCCTTTGAATTACAGGGAGAAACGAAATACTATGTGTAAGTTGAAAATTTTTAAAAAAATACTGTATTTCAATATTTTTTGAATAAATGTCAAAAAAATGTGTAGGTACAAATTTAAAAATTATTTTTTTTTTTTTTTAATATAAAAATTACATTTTTTAATAAACGAGATTTTTTTTTGTAAATTCAGTTTTTTGATGAATTAAAAATATTTTTAATTTTTTTAAAATAAAAACAATTGTTTTAGATGCCCGAGAACTGAATATTGCTGCAATTTCGGTTGCTGTGTGTCTCCCGGTTTCCAAATGTACCATCTATGGTATTACTGGTAAGATTAATAATTAATAATAATATATTATTTTAATTTTTTTAAAAATTTTTTTGTAATTAATCAGATTTTCAATTTATTAATTTATACATTCATTTAAACAAAATCTTATTTTTCGTTTACTGAATTTTTATTTAACTAAATTTTATAAATTATTTATATTGAACTTAATTTTCTTCACGGAGAATTTAAATGAATTTTTATTTAACATAATTTTTATTATTTAACAGAAAATTTTACATTCTCTAATTTATCGAATTTTTATTTAAGAGAATTTTCATTAAAAAGTTAAATTTTTATTTAACAGATTTACATAAAAGGTTCGATTTTACTTCAATTTCTAATTATTTGAATTTTTATTTAACTCAATTTTCATTTAACAGAACTTGTATTTAATCAAATTTCATTTAACACAATTTCTATTTAACGGTATTCCTATTTTGTTAAAAAAAATTTCTATTTAGACGAATTTTCAAATAACAAAATTTCTATTTTACCGAAATTTCATTTATTCAAACAAACGTCCGGTAAAAAAAACGGAGAAAATACAAAAAAATTGTGATTGGTTAATTTTAAAATTCACGCCGAAATATTTATACCAAATTTTTGTTTGGATAAATAAAAATTGGGTGAAATAAAAAATTCTTTCATTTAAAAAATTAGAACTAAATAGAAATTCTGATTAGAAATCTGCTAAATGAATATAAATTAAATCGAATAAAAATTCAGTTTTAATGAAAATTCGACTGAATTTGTGAAATATAAATTTTATTTAAATGAAAATTCGATTAAATAAAAATTGTGCTAAATATATAAATTCTGTAATGTTTTTCAAAAAATAATTGATTACAAGTAACAAGTGTTTTTTTTTTTAATTGAAACAGAACAAGAATTAAAGAATATTTATTTTCCTTAGTACTACATTCTTGTTTTACATTCAAAATAAGCCACGTTATACTAATTTAAAATTATGTGATAAAATTTTAATTTAAAAAACCTTGAAATCTTTTTTAAAACCGGGTATAATATCGTAAAAAAAGCCTTGAATTTTGTTCGCAAATTTTTAGTGGCCCTTCATTATGGTAATATGAAATTGTTTTTCAATATATTTAACGATATATTGATTTAATTTTAAATTCTTTGAAAGAAATGAAAAATGTTCCAAATTTTGAAAATAAAGATTTCTTCCTTTTAAGTTGTCAACAATGATGCTGAGCGTTCTGTAGCTTTGGTTATAAAAAATTTTAATAAATCAGAAGAAGGAAGTGCATTTATTTAGAACAGAAAACAGAAAATTAATTTTGGATACGAAAAAGAAAACTAAGAGTTTATCAAAGACGATGGTAAAAAAAAATGTTATTTAATAAAATAAAATACGTTAAAAACTATTGGAAGCAAGCGAAATTATTAATCATTTAAATTATTCTCTAATTTGAAATAAAAAAAAAGTATAATTAAAAAAAACAAAATTATTTTATTTGAAAAAAATACGTGTTTCTTGAAAATAAATCGCCTAAATATTAATTAATTCGATTTTTTTTTGATTTGCAATTATATTTTACTGAAAAAAAAATTCTTTTAGCCGTTCTGTAGATTTGAAATAAAAAAAAAAATATTTCGAACAACTCATTATGAATAATTTAATGTTGAACAGGCTCCTAGTAATAATCATGTTCCTGGTTTGTTCCGGGGGAGGATTGGGATATCGATATTGGTTACAAGCAAGGTACAGAGCAACAGCATCAGAATTTGCCAGAAGGACTTCCAATTCGAGGACACAGAATTCTCTTCGAGGTACAACATGTCATGCACAGCAAGCTAGAATATCGTATAATTCAGCAAGGAATACCGTCCTTTTGCACCGAATGTTAAAAGGTATTTTTATTACACACTTTATTATACACAGAAAAAATATTTGTTTACTTAAATTATATTTCAAAGAACGTTTCTATCTCTTTAATTTCCTTTAAAAAAAAAAAAAAAATTACGATTTTTGATTCACAAAAAAATTTTCATGATACACTCGAATCTCGTTATAACGAATCTCGATACAACGTTCGCTTGTTATTACGAACACCAAAACTCTTTATATAACGACAAAAATTTGTCCCCTTTACCCCCACCAATTTAAAAAAAAACACGATCGAATTTAAATATGTAAGCTATTAGATTCATCAATTTAAAAAGTTTTTTGTTGCTCAATTAACTTGTATGAGGTTAAATAGTAACCAACTATGTACTTAATTAGTTTAACCGCAATATTTCGGTAATTACAAACAAATATTTATTTTTTGAAACCTTGTAATTTCACTTATAAAATAATCAGAAATTACTTACTTTTTTATCCGATTCCATAATTGGAAATTAATATTATTCGTATATGTATACACTAAAGAATGTTTATATTAAATGTCAAACAAATTTGACATATTGTAAAGTTGGTTACAGATAAATTCACGTTTTTAAATAGAATGTGAAGTGGGGGCCCCTCTTGTCATCGTTATATCGAGATTTTAAAGTCCCGACCTTGTCGTTATAACGAGATTTAAGTGTAATTAATAATAATTGTTGAATTATTTGTGTGAAATCTTTTTTTTTAAATTAGTGTTTAAAATTGAAAATTTACTGAATAAAAAGAAAAATATTCAGTTGAAAAAAAAAATTTTTAATTTAATATTGTCATTTAATTATTTCCTTTTATTTTAACAAATTAGAAAAATTTTTAATGTGAATTCTATGAGGATTTGATAATTATTATTCAAAGTTAAAATAATTGTAATAGTTATATATGGAAAATTTATTAGATGCACAAGAGATATGATTTTAATAAGTGCCATCAAAATTATCTTATCCTATAAATGTAATCATAACAGTAACATTGAGTACTCAAACAACCTGTCTCAAGGTTCATCGATTTTCCGAGTTCCGCCTTAACAATATACATAATTAAATGGAACGGCTGCACGTGATCAATCAAGTTTGAACAAACTCAAACCACAAATTCTATTCTTCAATCAACCTTGATCTTTGAAAGAAATTTCCTTTTCTCTTTCTCAAGTTTATATTGTTTCTGTAAAGTCTCGAAACTTTTTTTTTCAAAAGGAATATCTTTTTTTTTTTTTTTTTTTTTTTTTTTTAAAAAAAAGAATTTGTAAAGTCCATTGACTTTTGTCTGAGAGTAGTTTAAAAAATTTTGTTTTAACACATGTTGAACATTTTCTTAGAATTAGTTTATTAATCATAAAAAAAATTGTGTAATAAATTTTATTTTTTTTTATTGAATGAAAATAATTAAGATTAAAAGGACATTATTTTTAATATTTTGTATTAATTTTTTAGTAAAGAATCACTAAGAAAATGGTCAAGTTTAACTGTGTTTAAAAACGAGATTTAAAAAAAAATTAATCTGACGCGAACAACAATGTTTTTGGAATAAATTTTTTTTTTTGTTGAAAAAAGTGGAAAACTATTGAAATAGAAATGGACATTTTTTAATTTTTTTTAATTTTTTATAATTATTTAGAAAATCTTAAGGACATACAAAAGTCCGCTTGAAGATTCGCCTGACTTTATGCCATTATTTTTACAAGTTACGATAAAGTAAAATAAATATAAGATGCGTTGCATTTGATTATGTTAAGACTCTGTAAACTAGGTTAAGGATTTCTATATTGTTCTTGTATTTTCGAACCCGTAAAAACAGGTCTCGGATTAATACGACTTTTCTGACTTTTTTTCGATTTTTTTTCAAATCTTCTTTATTTTAATTATTTAACAAATTTTTAGGAAATTTTTTTTCTCTAAATTAATTATTTTCAATAATTTTAATGAAATTCTTTACAAATTCAATTATCTTAAAGTATTTTTCAATTAAATATTTTGTGAAATTCAATAATTGTTTAACATTTTAAAAAAGTAATCAAATAAAATTGATAAAAATTTCAATTCACTTGAAATTCAATTATTTTCAAAAATTTTCATTTAAAACCTTTCAAAATTTAATTATTTTAAATTATCCAACTAAAATTTTCTAAAATTTAATAATTTCAACTATAATTCTTCCGAAATTCAATTATTTTTATAATAATTCTTCAAAAATTTAATTATCTGGAAGCATTTTTCAATTTAAAATTTTTAAAGTTCAAGTTTTTCTGTAATTTCTAATAAATTCTTCAGCAACAGAAATTATTGAAAATTTCAGTAAAAAATCACTTGAAGTTAAATTATTTTCAAAAATTTGAATTGTAAATCTTCGAAAAATCAATTATTTTAAAAAAAGGTTTTTTTTTAAATTATTTAATAAATTATTTTCAATTCTGTAAAATTTAATTATTATCTTAACAAAATCTTTTGAAATTCAATTATTTTTAAAAATTTCTACTGTAACTCTTTCAAAATTCAATTATTTTTAATGATTTTTAAAAAATTCAATTATTGGATAGCATTTTTTAATTAAAAACTTTTGAATTTCAATTTTTGTCTGTAATTTCTAATAAATTATTTATCAACAGAAAATCGCCAAATATATCAATTAAAAATCACTTGAATTTCAATTATTTTCAAAAATCTTCGAAAATTCGATTATTTTTTAAAAAGGTTATTTGATAAACTATTTTTAATTCTGTAAAATTTAATTATTTTTTGAAATTTAATTATTTCTAAAAATTTCAACTATAACTCTTCCAAAGTTCAATTATTTTTAATAATTTTAGTATTTATTTAAAAATTCAATTATTTAAAAAAGTTTTCAATAAAAACTCAAAAAATTGAATTGTTAGAATTTTTTTTTTTTTTTTTTAGAAATTTGTCTTACTTAATTAAATTTTTTTTAAATTTACGTCTTCGATTCTGAAATATTCAAAATAAATTTTCTTGATAATATTCCTATTTATTTATTTTTTTTAAGGAATTAATTAAATGGATTTAATATCTAATAACATTAATTATTTAAAGTAAAATATTTATTAACTAATTAAATTTAATTAAAATAAAAATATCGACTTTTTTTGGAATGTAAATCGACTAAAATGACTACTTTTTTAAAAGTCGATCCGAGGCCTATAAAAAGGAAGAAAAAAAATAAAATTTATAGTACTAATTGAGTAATTTAAATAAAAATACATTAGAATTTTAAAAATTAAAAAAGAAAAAATAATTTTGATTTTTCTTTAGGCCCACATAGAAGTGCATCACCTGCCTACAATGGCGCCGCTGCCAGTTCAACACACTACCAAAATACAAGTGTCGTTCTAAATGACAACAACTGCCCTTATTATCAATTATACGGTCCTCCGCCAAGTTACGAAACAGTTATCGCGCAAACAAGAGGAAAAATTTCAAATCCTTCGTCTCCCGAGCACTCGAGACTGCAATCGTCCGTAATTCAAAATCCAACTATAACACCATGTTTCGCTCATTCCTACAGTCCATCACGAATAAATGGTGTCCTTACAAATTCACAATTTAGCGGGACTGATGCCAATCAGGGCAATCAACATGTCGAAAATTTTGATTCAACCTATCCACATTTTGTTCAACAGTACAATACAACTGGTGCAGCAAATATTCTTCGAAGACAAGATTTTTGCCTACTCAGAAATCCCATGAATTTAGGAAGATTGTCATCCTGTTCCGAGCAGGTTGATTCATTGCGAGTTGATAATTCAAATCCCGAAAAATATTCAATTCAAAGGATAGACTGCGCAAGCGGTTCCAGAGAACATTGCGAGGCCTGTGCAGAAGAGTCAATTATTAAAATGCAAGGACGTACCGAGCCGCAAATCGAATGTCGTGTTCATCAAAAACCTATTTTGTCACGATCATCAACGACAGTCACAATTTCCAGTGATTTAGATGAGAATAACGTTGAAAAGGGTGAAAAAAAATTGAAAAGTGAAGATAATACCGCCATAATAAAAAGTGAATCAATATCAAAAAATAGCGGCAAAAAAAACTTGTGTCATCGATTGCACGAGAAGAATTTAATTAAAAATAATAATCTTTCATGTTGTGTTGAAAATCCTGGAAATTTTAGTTTTTCATCAGTTGCAAATTTTAGTGGCACAAGCCGTTTAACGGAACCTTCAAGGCACGATATTGTACCAGCAGGTACAAGTTCTTTTCAATCGAATCCATCCAACAATGTGATATTAGCTCCTTTTACTTCTAACGCCGTGAACGATTCACCACTTCCGTGTAATGTTAACGACAATGAACAACATCGCCTTCTTATCGCGCGTCAAGGGAGTACAAACTTGAATCTTGAAAGTACATGTAAATTAGACAGGTCAAGGTCTCTCGACTGAGCATCGTTATCATGTGAGTATAGTAGGAAGTAAAACACTTTTCAGTGTCCTGTTCTCCTCGTGTATTCTCTACACTCTTACAGTACAAAGACATCATTTTCAAGAAAAATAAAAAAGAAAAAAAAAAAAACTCGATGAAACTTTAGACAAAAAGAGATATAATTAAAGGAAATTGAAAATTTTATTAATTTTTCAAAAATTGGTCAGTACAATGAAAATCATTTGAATATAGGATTATTCTCTTTAACCTTCGCTTGACAAGATGCCCACCCAGGGTGGGCCAGACAAATTGAAATTGCCATATCTTCTAAAGTTTTGCCTTAATTGAATCGCAATTTTAAGTCACTGAACAAAATCTTAAGAACTTTCAAAAAATGTAAAAACAAATTTTTAAAAAAAATTTCTTCTTGATTATTTATAACTTTTATCAATGTATGTACGGATATAACCGGGATGATTCAGATATTTTTTTAATTCTATTTTACAAAAAGACTTGAAATCATGCAGACTTTTCACTATGAGTGTTTTATGATGTCAAATAATAGATATAAAAAATATTATATTGCATTTTTCATTTGTTTAAACAATTTATTGTTATTATTTATTAACTTTCTTTGTTCTGTACCTAGAAAGATGCAGTTTTTTTCTAATTTTGCAATTTATCAAGCGGAATATAATAAAAGATAGATTTGATGTAAAATTATTAATTCAACAATTGTTTAAACAATTATTGTTATTATTTACTAACTTTTTTTGTTCTGCTCCTAGAAAGATGCAGTTTTTTTCTAATTTTGCAATTTATCAAGCCGAATATAATAAAAGATAGATTAGAAGTAAAATTATTAATTCAACAATTGTTTAAACAAATAAAGTTAATAAATAACAACAATAAATTGTTTAAACAATCGTTTGAATACTAAATTCATATAAAATCTTCATGTTTATTATGTTGAGCTTGTTAAGTTGCAAAATTAGAAAAAAATTGCAACTTTCTTGGAACATTATAAAGAAAGTTAATAAATAGCAACAATTATTTGTTTAAACAATTGGTTAAATAGTAAATTCATATAAAATCTTTGTGTTATTATGTTGTGCTTGTTAAGTTGCAAAATTAGAAAAAAATTGCAATTTTCTAGCAATATTATGAAGAATGTTAATAAATAGCAACAATTATTTGTTTAAACAATTTATAATAATAGTTGTTGCAGATTGAATTATATATTTTATTTTATTTATAACCTTTGAATTAATAACTACGAAGAAAAGGTAACAAATTTATAAAATTCTTCTACTGTCATATGTATATTTGAAAAAGTTATAAATTATTAATAATAAATTGTTTAAACAAATAAAAAATCAACAAAACATTAATAAAATATATTATTTGGTAACATATAACAATTTTGGAAAAAAACTGAATGATTCTAAGTTTTTATTGCAATATACAAAGAAGAAAACATTTGGCCCACCCTGGGTGGGATCTTGTCAACCGTGTATATAAAAAGTATCCAGTCCGGCGAAGGTTAAAAGGTATTTATAAAAAAATTAAATAAAAAGAAAAACGTTAAAAATAAATGAATGAAAAATAAAATAATAATATAATTGGAGAAAATAGTGAAATTTTTTTTTTTTAAGATGGAAATATTAACAACAGATCAAGGCAATATATGCCGAAAATACCGCGAATGCGATAACTATGAATTAAAAAGAGGATCCACAATCTCGGACACTATAACTGATATTAAAAGAATAAAGAATATAAATATTATAAAAAAAAACCAATTGACTCAAAATAAAAAAAAACATCAATTCTAATAAAGTAAATAAAAAATGCTTTAAGGCTAGGAGGAGAATTAAAAAAAGTAATTTGAAGGAAAAAGAAATAAAAATTTAAAAATCGAGAAAACCAATATCAATTTAGAGGAATTTTTTGGACCAAATTATTTAGAATATAAAATACAAACTTTATTTGCCAAATTAAAGAAAAATTTTAAAAAATAATAAAATTAGAAATTTAATAATGAAGAAATTTTTTTTTCTTTTATTTTCTCTCTGTGTTGTAAGTGATTTTAAGTGTCACATTTTGTTTTTTTCTCTCTTTTCATTCTTATACTATTTTCTATATCTTTTTTTTTTCCAAATTAAATAGATCATTGATTAGTGGAATATGGTATTTTTTTTAAGATGGATAACGAGCATCATGATTTTGATATTGTTCTATTAATGGAAGAATATCCTTCTGAAATTCTCCAATTCAATAAAAAATATGATGTGAAAGTGTTAAATGCAATAATTCCATCATTCGTTAAAATAAAAGTAAACAAGTTTCAAGAAGGTCATGAACATCAGATGTCTGAACTCAAAGAATTTTATACAATATACAATGAGTCATACAAATTTATATTTGAAGGCGAGTTAGCAAATTTCGCAGGATAGCCTGTTATTGCAAAAAACAAACGAAAATAATTATATAAGAGGTAACCTCATGTTATTTAACACCGGAATACAAGACGCGTTTCTAGTATACGATGTGGACAATGATGTCCATATACATATAAATAGGGAGAACATCTTTTATATAATATATAAATTTTTGTATATAAAAAAAATTACATAAAAGTAGGACTAACAGACATCGTACCTAATAATAATATTTATTGGGATAAATATACGATGGATAGATTCAGCGTTTTGATGCAAAATAGAACATTTCAATTCTATCTGAAGGCTAGAATCAACGACATCAATATGGGATGGGGAATTCTTAACAGACTTTGGTCGGTTGATGACAGGCTGATAGAATCACACTTAACACTCGAGGAATTTCTTTTTCATTGATCATAATATTAAGTAGTAATTTTTTTACTTTTTTTATTTATTAACTAGTGATTTTATTTTTATTATTAATAAAAAAAAATTAAGCTGAAAAATTCCACTTATACGTAATTAAAAATAAACCGATTTTGATGAAACAAAAACGATTTTAGAAAATTACAAATTTTCAGAAAATTATAAAATAAAATTTTGTTATTATAATAGAAAAAAATGAAAAACAAAATTTCTTTTAGATTTTTTTTTAATTTCGATCCCTTCTTTTAATTTTTTATTTTATCTTTAATTTAGAAAAAATCTATCCCAGAGACTTTTTTTAAATCTTGAGATATCGTTTTTTGAACATTATCATCTCAAGGAGAATTAGGATTCATGTTTGTCTTTCTATACTTTCATTTTTTTTTATAATATTGTTACAAACTAGAAACAATATTATAAAACAAATAAAAGTATAGAAAAATAAATCTGGATCCTACTTTTTCTTGAGATGACAATATTTGAAGAATTATATCTCAAAATCTAAAAAACTCTCCAGGGTGAATTTTTTTTTCAAATTTAAGATAAAATATAAAGGAATATTAATAAAATATTAAAAAAAGGGTCGGAATTGAAAAAAAACTCTAAAAGAAATTTTGTTTTTCATTTTTTTTTCTACTATAATAATAAAATTTAATTTTTATTTTATAATTTTTTTAAAATTCGTAATTTTTTAAAATTGTTTTTGATTCATCAAAATCGCTTTAAAATTAATCGATATATAAAGAAAAGAAAAAAATGCAGTAACAAAATTGAAAGTGATATAACTCCTACAATTTTAGATATTTTGAAAATTCCTTTTATTTATTTTTAAAAAATTATGTATTAATTTTCAAAATTTGCTTAATTTTACTAGTCCAGCACAAAAAGAAAGAAAACATTTATGAATTAAAAAGTTTTTTAAATAATTCAATTTAAATATTAAAAAAAAAAGATTTTTTTATCCAAAAATATTTATATTATTTATTTATAATAATACGCGGGCTGAGAATTCCGAATATTCAAATATTTCCCAAATACAATTTTTTTTGATAAGTTTCAATTTTTTTTTAAATAATTAAATTTTAAAAATCAAAAATAAGTTTTTTAACCCAAAAATATTTAAAAATTAATATTTTTCAAAATATTCTACTTAATTCTTTAGTCTAAAGCAAAAAGGAACAAAAAATTTACCAAAAATTAAAATTTTTTAAAAATTATATTCAATCTTAAATTAAAAAAAAAAATACAAAAAATTATTATTTCTTAAAAATAAATTTTGTGCTGAATTTTACTAATCTAGTACAAAAAGAAACAATTTTAAAAAAAAATAAAAAAATAATTAAAGTAAATTAAAAATTTTAAATTAAATAATTTTGAAAATTGTTTAATTTTTCGTAAATTTTTTTAGTTTCTTTTTTTATGCTGGACTAATACAATTCATTACAGAAATTTATTTTTGAAAAATATTAATTTTCAAATATTTTTGGGTTTGAAAATTTATTTTTGAATTTTAAAATTAAATTATTTAAAAAAAAAAATTGTAATTTTTTCATAAATGTTATAATTCTTTTTTTTAGTGCTTAAGTAACACAACTTATCACAAAATTTGTATTTGCAAAATAATTAATTTTTGAGTATTTTGTCGACCGATTGATAAAATCATTATTTATAATTTTTAAATAGTTTTGGATAAAAAAGAATGTTTTTTTGTATTTTTAAATTGAATTATTTTCAAAAATTTTTATTTTCCATAAATGTTTTATTCCTTTTTGTGTTGGTCTAGCACAATTCACTTTTACGTTTGAAAAATAATTTTAGGATATTCGTAAATTAAAAAATCGTTTTTTGAATTATTTTTGTATAATTTATCAGTAAAATTTTTAAAAATTGTTTTAAGAATTTATTTTTGTTCTGATCTTGTACAATTATTTATTTTTAATTACATATAAGTGACATTTTTGAGCTTAAAATTTTTATTTTTTTTATTTTTGAAATTTGAGTACTAATTATTATTTTTTAAACAAAATTTTTGTAGCACAAATTAGGACAAATTGGAACAAAAATTATAAACATTAATCTGGAAATTATATGAAAATAATTCGAAAATGATAAAAACAATTATATGAATTTAGTTTGGTCAAAAATCTGAATCTGATTGTATTAGTCCAAAATTTTTTTTACATTTTTTTTTTTTTTGCAAATAATTCGCAAATATACCCATTTATTCTAGTCAAAAATCTAAATCCGAAATTATGAAATCAAAGCATAATATGAAATTAAAACAAATTTAAATATTAATTAAAAAGTTTAATTGAATTTCATATATTGAATAAATTTTTCATTGAATACCAATTCCATTAAAATATTATAGTTTTGTCTAAAGTTTTATTCGAGAAG